CATATCTGTCAGCCCTGGACATTGGAGCTGCATGTGTATGTCAAGGCTGGAGTAAAACCATCATTCTTGCATGTCTTTGTCAGCCCTGGACATTGGAGCTGCGTGTGTATGTCAGGGCTGGAGTAAAACCAGCATTCTTACATGTCTTTGTCAGCCCTGGACATTGGAGCTGCATGTGTATGTCAGGGCTGGAGGTAAACAATCACTCTTGCATGTCTGTCAGCCCTGGACATTGGAGCTGCATGTGTATGTCAAGGCTGGAGTAAAACCAGCATTCTTACATGTCTTTGTCAGCCCTTGACATTGGAGCTGCATGTGTTTGTCAGGGCTGGAGGTAAACAATCACTCTTGCATGTCTGTCAGCCCTGGACATTGGAGCTGCATGTGTATGTCAGGGCTGGAGGTAAACAATCACTCTTGCATGTCTGTCAGCCCTGGACATTGGAGCTGCATGTGTATGTCAAGGCTGGAGTAAAACCATCATTCTTGCATGTCTGTCAGCCCTGGACATTGGAGCTGCATGTGTATATCAAGGCCTGAGTAAAACCAGCATTCTTGCATGTCTGTCAGCCTGGACATTGGAGCTGCATGTGGATGTCAAGGCTGGAGTAAAACCAGCATTCTTGCATGTCTGTCAGCCCTGGACATTGGAGCTGCATGTGTATGTCAGGGCTGGAGGTAAACCATCATTCTTGCATGTCTGTCAGCCCTGGACATTGGAGCTCCATGTGTATGTCAAGGCTGGAGTAAAACCAGCATTCTTGCATGTCTGTCAGCCCGGGTCATTGGAGCTGCATGTGTATGTCAAGGCTGGAGTAAAACCAGCATTCTTGCATGTCTGTCAGCCCTGGACATTGGAGCTGCATGTGTATGTCAAGGCATGAGTAAAACCAGCATTCTTGCATGTCTTTGTCAGCCCTGGACATTGGAGCTGCATGTGTATGTCATGGCTGGAGTAAAACCATCATTCTTGCATGTCTGTCAGCCCGGGACATTGGAGCTCCATGTGTATGTCAGGGCTGGAGTAAAACCAGCATTCTTGCTTGTCTGTCAGCCCTGGACATTGGAGCTGCATGTGTATGTCAGGGCTGGAGTAAAACCATCATTCTTGCATGTCTGTCAGCCCTTGACATTGGAGCTGCATGTGTATGTCAGGGCTGGAGTAAAACCATCATTCTTGCATGTCTGTCAGCCTGGACATTGGAGCTGCATGTGTATGTCAAGGCTGGAGTAACACCAGCATTCTTGCATGTCTTTGTCAGCCCTGGACATTGGAGCTGCATGTGTATGTCAGGGCTGGAGTAAAACCATCATTCTTGCATGTCTGTCAGCCCTGGACATTGGAGCTGCATGTGTATGTCAAGGCTGGAGTAAAACCATCATTCTTGCATGTCTGTCAGCCCTGGACATTGGAGCTGCATGTGTATGTCAGGGCTGGAGTAAAACTAGCATTCTTGCATCTCTGTCAGCCCTGGACATTGGAGCTGCATGTGTATGTCAGGGCTGGAGTAAAACCAGCATTCTTGCATATCTGTCAGCCCTGGACATTGGAGCTGCATGTGTATGTCAAGGCTGGAGTAAAACCAGCATTCTTGCATATCTTTGTCAGCAATCTCTCTCTCTCTCTCTCTGTTGGTGTGTGTGTGTGTGTGTGTGCGTGCATGTGTGTGCGTGTGCGTGTGTACATAATACTGATGATGAATAAATGCACAATGTGAAGAAGAAATACCATTGTCTTGTGAAGAAAACACAACCGGTATCTGAGGAATCATTTATTTGATAGACTTGGTAATATTGATATTTGGAGAACAATTCCTGGGACAAGAACATCAATTCAAGGAAATATATTGATTGTTTAAATGTTTATAACAATATATATATTTTGTTCCAAAATGCTAAACAATTGTACTGTTATTATGGTTGTGTTTCAGCAGGAAAGAGCACATTGATATGCACATGATACATTAAGGTACACCTGTAACTAACACACACATGACCAACTGATCAGGAAGTCACTTCCTTTATAAAATGCTGTGTATTATCACATAAACTTTGATGCTGTTGATTAGCTAAAATATTACAAATTGACAGATATATTTATCTAGTTTTACAGTAACTGAAGACACTTTTCAATGATGTTGTGTGACCAGACTTTGTTTACATATTATACATCTTCGTGATTTATTGATTGGTAATTGTTTAATTATTAATAATAAATATTATTTTGAAAGTCAATGCCAGGCTAGGTGACTGAAAAAGGGAGAATTTAACCATGTGATTATCATACGACATCCTGAATGACATGTAATCAACCGCTTCTACCTGTTTTTAGATTATTTATTTTCTAGGTTCTTGGTATCTAAGTCCTGGGCATCTTTTACTGGGGGTTTGTTAATGTTCAGTGTTCATGTGGTGCGTTTTACAAGGCCAAATTCTATATTACTTTTGTGCACATCCAATAGTTAAGATCCAGATAGTATGCCAAATATCGACGAATCTGTCAAGAATCTACAATGGCTCTTAGTTTCACATCTAATACACTTAATACCATATTTTCTTGTGTATATTGCACACATGATAGTGTAACACCAGAAATACCATGTCAATAACAGCATAACAGGAAATAAAACTGAAATTGTAAATCATCATGTCAAGTGGTGTTTTATTGCAAATGTCACATGTTCATTGACAAAGATTGTTATCTCCTGTTTGTTTATCTGAAGCGTAATTATGTAGTTTTCAACTTCATAGAAGCGACGAAATCGTAATTTTCCCTAAATTTAACCAAGAGTGAGTGATGCATTGTACTCAAGTGGGCATGATACACAAGTAAATACAGTAGGTATACATATCTTAACAATAATGTATAAACAATCAGGTCAACAGTCAACAAACAACACTGGCGCTGTTCCTCAGGGCCACAGAAGTGACAGGTACAGACTTCATTTGGGTCGGGATATTGTAAAACATTCAGACATGACAACTTCTTTCGAGGCATTTAGACCTTGGAGTCGAAGTAAGGAAAAGATATATGGATGAACAACTTCTTTATTACAATTAGGAGTGACATTTCGGTGTAGGATCTAACAAAAGGATACTACTGCCTTCACCTGTTAGGATGTTAACTTATATCACCCCTCTCTGTGTACACAATAGGCGACCCGTGAAGATCCGGGGTAGAATAGATCTTCAGCAACCCATGATTGCCGTAAAAGGCGACTATGCTTGTCGTAAAAGGCGACTAACAGGATCGGGTGGTCAGGCTCGCTGACTTGGTTGATGCGTGTCATCGTATCCCAACTGCGTGGATCGATGCTAATGATGTCGATCACTGGATTGTCTGGTCCAGACTCGATTATTTACAGACCGCCGTAATATAGCTGGAATATTGCTGAGTGCAGCGTTAAACAACAAAACAACAAAACAACCAACCAACCAACACAACAGGCTTCTCCACTCCAGTTTAACTACATCCCCATCTACACACTGCTCATCCTGTATATATGCTTGTCAACCATGCTCTGAACATCACTTGCTTGATATCAGTGAATCTACCCCGAAACACTGCTCCAAATTGTAATAAAGAAGTTGTTCATCCATCTTTGTCACCCTTACAAATTCAGACATGATGTACGATCAGTACATACAAAGAGGACTTCACACACCTGGTCCTTGTATGAAAACTCGGCTCAAATCAGACTTTATTTCAAAGATCAAGACACAACCAAATCAACACACTTTTGTAAAACCATTAACAGTGAAGTAATTATTATATGGTCAGTACAATATGAAGATCTGTTCTGTTTGTGTGTGGTAAATATGTTTTGATAAAAATATCTATATAATGTAAATATATTACAAACAGACATGAATCCAGTCTGACAGAAAATATGAATATAACTTTGGTTTATTAAATCTTTACAGGAGCATCTTCCTGAGACAGATGTCTATGTATAATGAACTAGTAATCTGTGATGTAAATATACTATAAAACACACACACACACACATATAAAACTGATGAACTCAATTAATTAGAGAACCATCACATGATGCCATTTAAATGATAAGGCCACACATTTTTTATTTTTCGTTTCACGGGCCCCATCACCCCTACTGAAAAGCAGCCTGTCTAAGAAATAAATTAAACATTATTATGTCTCCTGCTAGTAATTTAGACCCACTTATACCCTTTAGTAAAATTGAAATATTTTTTACATTTGTATACTTATCCTGCATTACTCCTCAATTTACTGCTTACCTTACAACAATAATGGACAGCGCTTAGCTTTGGTCTTGGGTGAAAAGAAAAATTGTTTCACTCTCAGATCCCTCTTTGGAGCCCTAAATTGGTGGAATAGTGAAGGAACGATCGGGTTGGCCTGGACATTGAGATTTCGCTATAAAATCCCAGCACAACACAAGATGTAGCGCTCCCTATGTACCAAGCTCAAACCGGAGACTGGTGATGTCAAGTGCATGTAACTTCACCCACGTCGCAGTGACTAAAGCCAATAGAAATTTATATTTTCATGGTGAGGTCATGACATAAGGATGTGTTGAGGGGTTGAAGGAGGGGGGAGGCTCACAAACCTCAAAGTGCCACATTCAAATCTCAAGCAGGGGGGCGGAATTTGGCCTTCTTGTCCTCAAGCCTAAAAGAGCCAAGTAGGGCCTGTAGTTCCCGGACCTTGGTCATCTTACCATTTCTCCAGAAAGGCCAACACTGAATTGAATCAAGGTCACATGACAGTGGCGATGGTCCATATAAAAGTGGGATCTGAGAGCGAAACAACTTTTCTCTTCACCAGAAACCATCACTAGGCGCTGTCCTTAGGTAAGCAGTAAATGCATTAAGGAGTTATTGCAGGATGAGTAAAAAATATAAAATGTTATATCTTTACAGAATTCCATGTCTACTATCAGTGATTGAAGAGGCCACCTGCAGTTTAAATCTTCAGCAGAATGACTTTCATATAAATAAATAAACAAATAATTGACATTTATTTTATTTCGACCGAATTTGAAACATAAAATTAAAAAAGTGTGGCCTAAAATACTCCCAGAGTAAAGCACACGTTAAAAATAGCAGTTGGATAATGTTACTTGAACTTGATCCAACACGTACCAATCAGTAAATCTTACATTTTATAACTCAAGATATTGCCACATATTGCAGTCGTTTATACATCACTTTATTATACATACTTTTCATACCTTGAAAGGGATACTGACATTTCTCTAAGACACATCAAACTGATTACTTCTTAATTTGATCTTATTTTGCCAAGGCATACGTTTCAGTATCCCTATCAAAAGTTGAGTACCATATTTAGTGGTAACAACTATAATAGTTTATTTGACCTGTCAGGTAAGGACAGCGACCATTAATAACATAACATTTCAGTAATTGGTAATTCAGAGGTAATTCATCCATCCTTACTTGTTGAATAAACTTCATCTGCTTGAGCCATTGTTCTTTTATTCCTTGGATCACGGATCCGCTGACCCTTTTTACTTCAAAATTGGAAAATATTTATAATCCAAATTTACACATATTTTTTGCCTGCCGACACATCATACATGCAAACCCATTTTGAGATTACTCAGTGTGTAAAAAAAATCATCTATAAAACTTATCATGCTCAATTTGACATTATTGTTTTCTCAAAATCGTTCAGTGCCAGACTTAATCAACATGGCATGATGTCAGCCTTTTTCAAATCTTTTTATTCCCTCCTCCGACTTTGACCAAAAAAATCTGTGATCCAACAAATACAAAAATGGCCATAGATATTTGAAAAGTGACACTCAAAAAAATATATCTTTTTTTCATGAGCATATTGAGCAAAATGTACATTGTTTGATATGAGAAGGATAATACTACTGACACTTTGTGGAAGGAATCATTCTAATATCACAATAACAACGGTAATACATTAACAGTAGCATTTCATTCAGTGAAAACAAAAAACTTTGGCTTTCTAAGGTCCACTTCTGTGAATACTGGTAAAATACTGAAGGATAAAATGACATTGTAATGCTGTAAAGGATGTAACTGCAGAGGAGTGCACGTTGTTACATTTAATGTGTAGATGTAACATATGCAGCACAGCAGATCAGTGACCGTAAAGAAAACGGATATTTTTGGACAGAATACTACAGAACTCCATCATGTGCTGTGGAGGTACCAACATCCTGCACAAAGTACTCCTCCTGTTCCAGATCAGCATGTCCACCCCCCACAGCAGGTACCTCGTTCTGGGGGGATATCTGTGGTGGAGGAAATGAACTTTGACCTACAGGAAGTGGCCAGTGAGGAGGTGATATTGGGCTTGCAGAGGGTTGTGGGATGCTTGTGGGCATTTCAAGATTGGCTGGTGCTGGCTGGACTTCAGGGGGAGACATCGCTGTTGGGGGGTACCTTTCTACAGGGGGTGACATCGCTGCAGGGGGAGACGTCACCTCTGGTTGGGGCTGTGGGAGGCATGAATCTGGTGGTAATGACACAGCTGCAGCAACACCTGGTGATACTGGAGTGAAGGCTTGTTGTGCTTCTGCTGCATGCTTTGCTTCAACACTCTTGTGGTAGTCTAGCAACAGCTGAGCTTTGTCAGGACGCAGTTGATCCCATACAAATGCACCGTGGCGCTAAAACAATATTTAGAATACATCAAAGTGGTTCTATTGACTTTATTTATAAATACTGTAAACTACGGTTATAACAAAGTCAAAGGGATAACCTTAATAACCTTAGTTTGTTATAAGCATATATACAGTATATATATACAACAAATGGCCGGGACTAAAAAATAAGTTTGTTATATCAGTCAGTTCGTTATAAGCGTGGTCGTAATAAACATAGTTTACTGTAATGTGATAATAGTAATATCAAATATTGATAGTGATCATAATCATACTTAAGTTAACACAGTATTAATTCTTTGGTCTAAGGTCCTCTTGCATCAAGAAATCCATCCCTGCATGAATGCATTTTATTATGCTTATTCCTGCTTTTTGACAAAATGAAAATTCAAATGCGATATTAGCACACTTTGTACGAAAAAAATGAAAAGAAAAAAGGTTGCCCAGCACCATATACAAATTTCAAGATTTAAATCTATCTCTAAATAACGATGGTTCAATGTCAATAGTCCGAAGAAAAAAAGGTATTGAGGTATAAACTGTTTGCTGAGAACACCTCTCATGAAGATTGTTGCTATGTAAACTTGGAAGAATGAATTATCAATGAAGGATGACATAATATACCATACCTTGGACCTGATTGGGTAGTTTGGATCTCCCCGACTGTCATACTGATGCTCAAATGAAATACCTTCCTTGTACAGTCTCTTGTCACCAGATCGACAGCGAAGGAAGTTCACTGGAACTAATTGTTGGAAAGAGAATGATAAAAGTTGAAAAACAGCATTTGAGTTGTAAATGAACAATCAACACACAATTAATCAGTAATATTAGTCATTGTTAGGCACTCAGTGAATTAATCCTGAGGGGTGTGAGTGGTGCAAAACTTTGTGTTTGAATCCACTAACTTGTCCCTTATCATTAACTTGGCATTACCAGCTTACAAGCATATTTGTTTTACTGGGCTCCTGCTACTAGCTGAAGATTAGGGCTGGGATGAGTCCAAATTTACTACCTGGGTACCCACCCCATTATTACGCGACCCTACCACTGGTACCAGCTGTAGGTCTCAAGAAATAGGTACAAAATGTCCAATTGTGAATAGTTTGAGTGTAGACCTGGACAAAATGTATTTAGATACACGTATAAAATGATCTGGTCATGCATACACTGAAGTTGACTGAAGTTTTATCTTTATTCAAACATATAAAAGTCAGAACGAATGGGTGCATAGTCAGAAAGATATGCAAACATTAGTGACTTCTAGTGTATAGTTCTGGATGATTTGTGTCATTAAACAATATTTCACATGACTAACCAAGGCTAGGTAGTCCTGTGGGTACCCAGGTCCTTCTCAGTACCCACCCTACCCAAGTTACCCATCCCTGACCTACTAAAGATGCTCACTGGTGGTGATGTCACATGGATATAGCTTTTTTTTACTAAACTTAGTATTTAACATAACTAAAATATAAATAACTTTCTGTCTTTTTACATGTTTGTCTCTTAACAGGTACCTCAAAAGGTAAATATCAATGCTGGCAAAATGAAATTATGTTTCTGAGGAGCAAGTTGTCACCGATCTCAATCTTGGTAAACTAACCTGTTCCTAAAGCAGGCTCCTTATTTGGATTAGCCAGGTGACGGGTGGAGCCCAGTGGAACCGCTTCCTTTGCAAACTGAAAATCTGCTCTTTGTGTTGTGTCTCGTGTGTATTCAGGTTGGTTGAGAGGGTCAGAGCTTGTCCGAGATGGCCACCAGTTGTGTTGGTCTGGGTAGGTACTCCTCGTAAACACTGTGCATACAGGTTCATTCAGCAATCTGGCGTCATGTCGCAAAAAGCCACAGCTTACAGGTTGGGGATTATGAGCCCGGAAATCTGGAGTTGTGTGGGGTAGAACTCTTGTCTCTCTGATGGATATATCTGGCAGTAATTTCCTGGATGGCCTTGGATCAGAGGCATACACAGGTTTAATGACTGCATCTTGAAACTTTGGATGGAAATCCTCGGCATCAAGGCTCACAACCCTGAAGGTGTCAGGACTGGAATAAAAACATAACAGGGATGAGTGTCAGGCGGAAAATATGTCGGATCTGAAAAGAACAATTGTTTTGTTCCTGTTACTTGATGGAAAAACACAGGACGGGGCAAGATATTTGTGTAAATATTAATTTACTGTTCTCTCTAAACAAGGCAGGCTGCCATATGCTCACACATAATGATGCACCATGATATACAATACAAAATGCAAGTTTGTTACTTGCTGTATATATTTACTGAAAAAAAACTGGACAGGGGCCAAGACATTTGTGTAAAACTAATTAAAAGTTATAATTATATTGATATGTACATAAAATAAAATACTTTATGAAGGAAAGATGAACACTTCTGATTAAAACACTTCAGTAACTACATATATCTTTATTTTAGGCCTAAGCACCCCCACCGCACCTACCTGTCCTCTCTTAGCTAGGGCTATAGCCTTGGCCAACACTTGATCAACTGTTGATCAGATTATTCTACGGGTACAATTCACACTTTAACTTATTTCTTTTGATACCTGTTCCTACGTTGTACCACTGGCAATGTGCATGTATTGATTGATACCTGTCACTACTCATTAATGATTGATTGGTGGACGACAAAGGCATGTATGAGTGAACATATGATTATGATCATAAACGCCGCTTTTGCCTTGGCATACTGATGTAACAACCGTAAAATAAACTTTTCTACACCTACTTGTACTTTTCTGGAACCCTCTTCTTTCGCGCTATTGGGGGCATATACGTTGCCATCGTGCTATATTTGTTTTGATGGCGTTATCATTAATAAAATGGTGTCATAAACTTTTTTCACTTGGCGGAAGCCGCCATATTGTTGTCATGTCGTCGCCCCTAGAAACGGAAGCGGAAGTGACAGCCATACTTGACAACAATAAACAAAATGGCGGCGATGGTGAGGTTGATGCGACAAATTGATGGTGTTATAGAAGAATGCTATAACCGAAAAAAGTAAGTTTAATGTCAATTGTGTACGTGAAAATTTTATATTGTGGCAATGGGTTACTATGACCTATCGGAATTTCATTATTCATCGGGTTTTTTATAAGGGCAAAAGGAAACAAGGTTGTGATTGTTTTTGACTGTCTGAAGGGCCCTGAAAAAGTGATATGAGAACACCTGCTACCAAATAAATACTAGCAACATAAGGAAAGGCTATGAAACTGCTATTTTGGCTCAAAACATGCCTGCCTATACTATGCTTATCTAGTACAGTAGTTAAACAAACCCATGGACAACAACTTTCGACAATTTCTTTTCATTTGATTTTAATGTCGAGGTTTGTTGCTCTTGCAGGATACCATCTTCCCGAGGCAAAGAGCGTCCACTAGCCTTTTTATCAAAGTATTGAAACTAGGCTATGGTACAGGCTATTGGCCACGCTTGCCTCGGGAAGATGGCAGGATACATGTCAGACTATATTCTGTTTAGTTAATTGTGTGAGTCCTTCAGACACGTTTTACAATTTATTTGATGTCAATGTTCATAATTATATAAATACGACATCGAAAACGTTTTTCCTGCTGTTAAAATATTCATCTAGTGAGTAGATACTTTGTCAATGAATTGTCCCTGCCAGACATAATAATGAAAATGGGATGTCACATGAATACAAAACCCTGACACCTCCTTCACAATATCACTGTTTAATAATAATATGAATAATTAATCAGTTGGAAAAGAATATAATGGGGGACTGTTAGAGTGCTTTATACCCAACTATGGCTAAGAGTTTAAAAAAAAACACTCTTACAGCTTTCACAAACTCCCATGCTAGGGCGATGGTATCTGACCAATGTTAACTTTCTGAAATGATCCTGAGGTGGAAAAGGGAAAAATATATAAAACAATGATGGATGCTGAATACTTAATAAAATTTTACAGCTTTGTTAATTTTGAATATATACCAAACCTGTATTCAAATGAACGAAACCTGTACCCCTGAAGATCCTGGTTAGAATTTATCTTCAGCAACCCGTGCTTGTCATTAGAGGCAAGGGCGGTAGAGTAGCCTTTTGGGTAAAGCTTTCGCCCGTCACGCTGAAGACCCGAGTTCGATTCCCGACATGGGTACAATGTGTGAAGCCCATCTGTGGTGTCCCCCACCGTGATATTGCTAGAATATTGCTAAAAGCGGCGTAAAACCATACTCACTCATTAGAGGCAACTAACAGGATCAGGTGGTCAGGCTCAGTGAATCAGTTGATGCATGTCTGGAATATTGTTGAGTGCCACGTTAAACAACAAACAAACAGAACATGTGAGTGTCCCTACTTGTCTATTATATTTTATAGGTGAGCATCCCTCTTCTTTATTCACATACCTTACAAATTACGGGCATTTGTTGTATTATGTACATGTTGCATATTCATTGACTTTACTGACAATAAATCTATACTGTGAATGTTCATGAATTTGATTATATGCTTTCTTTAATAGTGAGGCTGAAGAGCAGAGAGAGGCTGAATATGTTGCAGCTGTTAAGGTTCAAGCCTGGTTTAGAGGAACACGATCTCGGAGCTATCTGGGGTAATTTGTGGAGGCCATATGACATAAACATTTACTTTACAACCATTTGGGTAAACCATGGTGAAATAGGCAGATATTTTATTTTGTGACACCATTATTTTGATCATACTGCCTTTTACTACAAACTGTTATATTTTTTCATGGTATGTGGTAGAAAATTTTCTAAATTAGCATACGAAAGTATCTACAAGTTTGACAGTACATTTATCGTGTTTATGGGTTAGGGTCAAGAAATAAAAACTTATTTCAGATTCTATTTTGGAATGATTTTTGTTCTAAGTTTATTCAAATTAGTTTAGGGGGCACAGGTGGCCCAGTCGAAATCCCCGGTTTGCCCTGATTATGTTTCTAGGTTTGTCATCACCATACCCGTGCTGGTGGGTTTCACCAAAGTGGTAAACGTCTGAGACCTGCATCACTTCAGGATTTCCTCCCACATTAAGCTGACACGCCCATGATATAACTGGAATAAAGTTAAAAATGGCGTTAAACTCAACTCACTCACTCACTCAAATTATTTTAAATGAAATTCACTGCAATTACAAAACAATCTTATCTATTCTGATTAGGATGCAATCAGAAGAGAGATTTCTCTATTCAACAATCTATTGGAACCAATATTTCGATTGAATGTGGATGCTTATTGATATGATAGATCTATGTAATATCAGACATATTATGAATAATGCAATATGTTCCGTGACTTAACAATTATAGGTTCCTGAACAAATGTGCAACATCTGTTCAAAAAACATGGAGGGGCTACCTTGGACGTCAGTACTACCGGCTGCTTGTCAAGGTGATTATGTGTGTTGATCTTCTTAAGGTCTTATAAAGTTGACCACAATACTCAATTACATCTTTTTGCAGAACTTAATACTTTACAGGGTTGTTTTTTGCCGCAGATAACATTTTGAAGAGTTTTAACATGCTATGAAAACATAAGTTTCTATTGTATATGTATTTTGTGTTCTCAGAACAGTGTATTCATCATGAAGCTGAATCACTACAACGCAATGGCCACCAAGGTGATTACTCTATACGTTGGTTTCTTATCAAAATATTTCTTCTTCACTTCTTTGAATCACAACTGTTTCTTTTACTAAAAAAGTCAGTTTTACCTTACCTGATGCAACACCTATAGCACTGTGTAGCGTCAGGTCAGTATAAAAACATTGCATTTAATCAGAAATGCATGCTCATCATTCTGTCTAAAAAGGTATGTTATCAATGATAATAATTTTCCATGAGTATTCTAAACCTGTATAGATTGCCCGCAACTTTGGCCACAAGTCCGAAGCCCGAGTCTAGTAAATTGATGTTCAGTCAAGTAGGCTCAGATACCAATAGTCCATATACAGTAACTGAATTAAAATCTGCTGATGAAGATGCTAAGAGCCAATTTCGGGCTAGTGGATTCCAAAGTTTTTAACACAGACTGGATAAATATCGTACTCATAGCATGACTGTGTAGTGTTGTATTTGTGTTGTTACCATGGTTACAGATCCAAAAGGTGTGGCGAGGTTACTATGTCAGGAAATACATCTTTAACTACTACAGCCGTAAACGTTACCTTGAGGCATTGCAAGTGAAGAATGAGATTTTCAGGTAGGTCTCATCTGTGAGCTTGTAACATTGTATTAAACATGCAAGTGATGTTGGGACCATGTTTGTGACATATTTGTGTATATTTACACAGAATAAAAACATACTTATAACCAACAGGACAAAGTCACTTTTTACCTACAGAATGATTGGTCTTGATTTTTTCACTATTAAATAAATATGTCACTAATGATGGATGACACACTGATCGGAAGTTGATATCCAGACTGTGGTCGAGTACAAAAATTTCCTATCATATAATATATATGCTATTGACGTCCTAATCTTTTATCAAAACAGAACTGAGCTGGCCGATTTCACAGAGCGACAGGCTCAGATCAGACGAAAAATGGAAGAACGGGAAGAACACAGAAGACAAGCTCGGGCTGCCAGGAAGAATCACTACCTGCTGAGTACCGAGGTGATTCCTGGCATCTACAACTCCCCCTTCCAGCCGTGAGTTATCTCCGTTATTACGTATTGTCCAGCCGTATCTCTTTTATTACTTACTGTCCAGCCGTGTGTTATCTCCTCTATTACCTACTGTCCAGCCATGAGTTATCTCCTCTATTATTTACTGCCTAGCCGTGAGTTATCTCCTCTATTATTTACTGCCTACCCGTGAGTTATCTCCTTTATAATTTACTGTCCAGCCATGAGTTATCTCCTTTATTACTTACTGTCCAGCCATGAGTTATCTCCTTTATTACTTACTGTCAAGTCTTGTGTTATCTCCTTTATAACTTACTGTCCAGACGTGAGTTGTCTCCTTTATTACTAACTGTCCAGCCGTGAGTTATGTCCTTTATTACTTACTGTCCAGCCGTGTGTTATCTCCTCTATTACTTACTGTCCAGCCATGAGTTATCTTCTCTATTATTTACTGCCTAGCCGTGAGTTATCTCCTTTATTACTTACTGTCCAGCAATGAGTTATCTCCTTTATTACTTACTGTCCAGCCGTGTGTTATCTCCTCTATTACTTACTGTCCAGCCGTGAGTTATCTCCTCTATTACTTACTGTCCAGCCATGAGTTGTCTCCTTTATTACTTACTGTCCAGCCGTGAGTTATCTCCTCTATTACTTACTGTCCAGCCATGAGTTGTCTCCTTTATTACTTACTGTCCAGCCGTGAGTTATCTCCTTTATTACTTACTGTCCAGCCTAGGTTATTTCCTTTATTACTTACTGTCCAGCCTAGGTTATCTCCTCTATTATTTACTGCCTAGCCATGAGTTATCTCCTTTATTACTTACTGTCAGGCCATGAGTTATCTCCTTTATTACTTTCTGCCCAGCCATGAGTTATCTCCTTTATTACTTACTGTCCAGCCATGAGTTGTCTCCTTTATTACTTACTGTCCAGTTGTGTGTTATCTCCTCTATTACTTACTGTCCAACCTAGGTTATCTCCTTTATAACTTACTGTCCAGTCATGTGTTATCTCCTTTATTACTTACTGTCCAGCCTAGGTTATCTCCTTTATTACTTACTGTCAAGTCTTGTGTTATCTCCTTTATAACTTACTGTCCAGACGTGAGATGTCTCCTTTATTACTTACTGTCCAGCCGTGTGTTATCTCCTCTATTACTTACTGTCCAGCTGTGAGTTATCTCCTCTATTATTTACTGCCTACCTGTGAGTTTTCTCCTTTATTACTTACTGTCCAGCCGTGTGTTATCTCCTCTATTACTTACTGCCTACCCGTGAGTTATCTTCTCTATTATTTACTGCCTAGCCATGAGTTATCTCCTTTATTACTTACTGTCCAGCCGTGTGTTATCTCCTCTATTACTTACTGTCCAGCCATGAGTTATCTTCTCTATTATTTACTGCCTAGCCGTGAGTTATCTCCTTTATTACTTACTGTCCAGCAATGAGTTATCTCCTTTATTACTTACTGTCCAGCCGTGTGTTATCTCCTCTATTACTTACTGTCCAGCCGTGAGTTATCTCCTCTATTACTTACTGTCCAGCCATGAGTTGTTTCCTTTATTACTTACTGTCCAGCCGTGAGTTATCTCCTCTATTACTTACTGTCCAGCCATGAGTTGTCTCCTTTATTACTTACTGTCCAGCCGTGAGTTATCTCCTTTATTACTTACTGTCCAGCCTAGGTTATTTCCTTTATTACTTACTGTCCAGCCTAGGTTATCTCCTCTATTATTTACTGCCTAGCCATGAGTTATCTCCTTTATTACTTACTGTCAGGCCATGAGTTATCTCCTTTATTACTTTCTGCCCAGCCATGAGTTATCTCCTTTATTACTTACTGTCCAGCCATGAGTTGTCTCCTTTATTACTTACTGTCCAGTTGTGTGTTATCTCCTCTATTACTTACTGTCAAACCTAGGTTATCTCCTTTATAACTTACTGTCCAGTCATGTGTTATCTCCTTTATTACTTACTGTCCAGCCTAGGTTATCTCCTTTATTACTTACTGTCAAGTCTTGTGTTATCTCCTTTATAACTTACTGTCCAGACGTGAGATGTCTCCTTTATTACTTACTGTCCAGCCGTGTGTTATCTCCTCTATTACTTACTGTCCAGCTGTGAGTTATCTCCTCTATTATTTACTGCCTACCTGTGAGTTTTCTCCTTTATTACTTACTGTCCAGCCGTGTGTTATCTCCTCTATTACTTACTGCCTACCCGTGAGTTATCTTCTCTATTATTTACTGCCTAGCCATGAGTTATCTCCTTTATTACTTACTGTCCAGCCGTGTGTTATCTCCTCTATTACTTACTGTCCAGCCATGAGTTATCTTCTCTATTATTTACTGCCTAGCCGTGAGTTATCTCCTTTATTACTTACTGTCCAGCCGTGTGTTATCTCCTCTATTACTTACTGTCCAGCTGTGAGTTATCTCCTCTATTATTTACTGCCTACCCGTGAGTTATCTCCTTTATTACTTACTGTCCAGCCGTGTGTTATCTCCTCTATTACTTACTGTCAGGCCATGAGTTGTCTCCTTTATTACTTACTGTCCAGTCGTGTGTTATCTCCTTTATTACTTACTGTCCAGCCGTGTGTTATCTCCTCTATTACTTACTGTCCAGCTGTGAGTTATCTCCTCTATTATTTACTGCCTACCCGTGAGTTATCTCCTTTATTACTTACTGTCCAGCCGTGTGTTATCTCCTCTATTACTTACTGTCCAGCTGTGAGTTATCTCCTCTATTATTTACTGCCTAGCCGTGAGTTATCTCCTCTATTACTTACTGTCCAGCCATGAGTTATCTCCTTTATTACTTACTGTCCACCCGTGAGTTATCTCCTCTATTATTTACTGCCTAGCCGTGAGTTATCTCCTTTATTACTTACTGTCCAGCCATGAGTTAGCTCATCGTTGGACAGTCAGTAATAAAGGAGATATCTCCTTTATTACTGACTGTCCAGCCATGAGTTGTCTCCTTTATTACTTACTGTCCAGCCATGAGATGTGTCCTTTATTACTTACTGTCCGGCCGTGAGTTGTCTCCTTTATTACTTACTGTCCAGCCATGAGTTGTCTCCTTTATTACTTACTGTCCAGCCGTGAGTTATCTCCTTTATTACTTACTGTCCAGCCTAGGTTAACAACTCTATTATTTACTGCCAGCTGTATCTCCTTTATTACATAATGTAGGAATTAGGTCTCACTTGTATATATTGTATGTTGTCTCATGAACTGTTGGCTTCTTTTGAACATCAGTCAATGCCATGATTCAGGTATCCATCTGAGCAGGAGCTCATACTACGCAGTATCAAACCTCTTGTCCACAAGAAGAGGAAACAAAAGGCACACCTGTTTGATCCAGCATGGGCCAGTTACAACCTGCCACGTCCAGAGGCCCTTCCTCCAATATCCCAAAAACCTCAAGTACGTTGCTGTGTATCAGAATCGTGTTTACAAGGGATTTATGGCAAATTGTTTCATGAATGGTTTTTATCCTCATTGATTGTGATGGGGAAAATATGATCTGGAATAAGCCATCATATTTTTGTGTAACTGTCAATTTCTAAATGAGTGATTTCTTTGGTGGTTATTGATGTTTAACTCCTGGCCTGTCATGCTGGTATTCAGACACAAGGAGATGATTTCATGTGCAGCCCTGTTCCGTGTTTCAGGGCCCATTCCGTGATCCTGAGGAAGTACAGAACCAGCGCTACAAGCCATTCCAACCCTCACTGCGAGTAGCCACATCCTTCTACTCCCTGGAGGATGCTCGCAAACAGATGAAGGCCGAGGAGTGGGTCACCCGTGTCAATGATGATGTGTAAGTGGACTCTTCTCGGTGATTGATATTCAAACTTAGCCCAGCTGGTCTTGAAGGCGGTGGGGTAGCCTAGTGGTTAAAGCGTTAGCTCGTCACACCATAGACCCGGGTTCAATTCCCGACATGGGTACAATGTGTGAAGCCCATTTTCCGGGGCCCCCACCGTGGTATTGCTGGAATATTGCTAAAAGCAGCGTAAAACCATACTTTTTCACTCAGCTGGTTTTGATATGATCCTGCCCTTTCACCTTACTATAAAAATGTTGATGCCACACTTTTTACATGAATTCTTTTGTTGCAATGTTCTTCACATGTGCGATCTTAATTATCCATAGTATATAATTTAATTGGTATGTAAGTATCAGGGTCTTTTTATTGTGTATGTCTGTTTGATCAGTTGTTCAAAGCCTTGTGTTTGGTTTTTGGTAATAAAGATGATAGAAACTGAAAGTCAGCCATTGACTTTTTGTAACTAAACTTATTTTTTAACTTATCCTGCATTACTCCGTATTGCATTTACTGCTGTCTTTGACAGAGAGACGAACTGTGTGAGATCCAGCTGCTGAAGAAAGTTGTTTCCATCTGTCCAGGAAGCAGCGCCCCCTCCCACACAGTCGGCACGTGACCCGGAAGACATGACGTCATGTCAAAACTCATAACTGCTTTGTCAACCACATGGATCGGACGTGAACTGTATCCCTCAGTGGAATTATTAAAGCTTTCTTGGTCCTGACTTTCTTTCGTTTTCTACGACAAAAGTCTGCTGTATTACCTTTGCCTTCATTATATTGTTAATTGGTAACGTTTCTCGCTCGGGTTGTGACTCTCGTCACGGTTTTTCCGAGCGTATTGTTGTTTCCCGCCATTTTGGTTTACCGCCATTTTTTCCCGCCCTGTTGCGATTCACTACGTGTCCACGTACTTTCGTGTTTTGTGTCTTGAATTCGCTCTATGGTTGGAGTTTTACATTAAGTTTAATGATTGTTTTTGGCGTGTTTGAAGCGTAATTGTTTGCTCTTATTAACTTTGTAACAAGAATAAGTTATGTTGAGTTACATTATGTTTCACGTTGTGTGTTTACACATCGTTATGTTTTTTGCTTCAATTCCAGTATGTCTCGCTGCTCTCGCTGCCGCGGGAATAAATCTGGACGGGACCCCCACCCCTGCTGCCTGGACTGTACAACCCCGTGTACCCTAACAGAGCGTTGCAGTTATTGTAGTCCCCTGTCGCCAGTCTCCTTCACCGCCTACCTAAGAGTGTCTCGGAAACGATTCACCCAGCTTGTGCGTCGACTCTCCAACATGTCATCCAACGTAGAGTCTGCCTCCCATGGCACGACATCCGACCGTACACGGTCTCCTACACCACCCTTACCGTCGTCTGCTTCGACATCATCGTCTGCAGCATCGCCCGTTTCGGGTTTCCTGTCACCTCTACCATCTACGACAACTCCGGCGCCTCCGATGTACCCGGCGCCTCTTCGTCCGGCGCCTCTTGGTCCGGCGCCTCCGATGTATCCGGCGCCTCTTCGTCCGGCGCCTCTTGGTCCGGCGCCTCCGGCGCCTCTGATGTATCCGGCGCCTCCGGGGCCTCTTGGTCCGGCGCCTCCGATGTATCCGGCGCCTCTTGGTCCGGCGCCTCTGATGTCTTCGATGTATACGGCGCCTCTGACTACTTCGGCGCCTTTGACTTGTGCTGCGCCTCCTACTTATGGACATGCCCTCCCGTCATCGTTCATGGATCCATCTTGGATGCAAGCTTGGATGCAGTCATTGTTTGCGCAAGCTCAACCCACCTCAGCGGCGCCGACGGTGCCTCCTGCGACGCCGGCGATGCTGACGGCCCCGACTACTGTTACTTCGATTCCTGCGGCCCCCTCCACATCGGGTGCTTCTCGGTCTCGAACATTGTACACCTCGTCGCCTCCGACTGTTTCTCGGCACTCGTCCAAGTCTGCTCGTTCCCGTCGACGCTCTCGTAGTCGCTCACCCGTACATAGACGACGACGTCGTTCCTCCTCCTCGGAAGGATCATTTCGCCCCAATTATGACCCTCCATCTCCCAAGATTGATACACACTTGGGCCTTTCACAGGTTGCTGATTGGTTGGCGGACCGTCTGGCCTCCGTCGCTCCCTCCCCGGGCTCCGATGTGGATAAAAAGTTGACGATCTGGTCTAATCCGACTTCTCTACCACCCGATCCAATGCTCACTGACCTGGTTACGGCGTTAGACGAGGACTTCGCTAAGTTGTCCCTCACGCCGTCGTTCAAGGCTCCGCGTTTCCGGCGGGAAGATTTCCCCGTCCACTCCTTCGACGTGGCCGACGGTGCACATATCCTTGACGAGGACTTACATCGAATGACCGGGTCTTCCCAGTCCGTCACCATACGTATGCCGGACTCCCGACTCGCTTTCGTGGAAACAGAACTGCGCCGTACTTTGAAGCCACTATCTACACTTGCCTCATCTGCCAGAGCCGTTGACCAGGATCTCGCTGAATCCAATCCTAACAGGATCGACCACTTGCGCACGGTTATGACATTCCAACTTCGCCAGATCGATCACATGCGCAATCACCTGAGAGCTGCGCTTGCGGAGATCACCACTACTCGACGGTTGGGTTACTTGACTTCCACGGACTGGGATTCCGAATTCAAGCGTTCCTTACTACGACAACCTTGGTCGGGTCCTACCCTTTTTAATGGTGCTATCTCCGCAACCCACACCCGAGTCTCCAGCTTCGCCAGGGATGAAACTGCTCTCAGAGCCTTGGAGCATGTAACACACCAATCAGCGGCCAAGTCCTCCAAAGGCAACTATAAACCACGCCGTTCCTCCCTGAAGGTCGTCTCCAAACATACCTCGCCCTTTCGTGGGACAGGGCGTGGTCGTGGTAGAGCCCGTGGCACTTACCAACCCCGAAGGGATCGTCGCCCCGGCAAGGGTGCCGATTCCACCTCTAAGCGTCGACCGGCGGGACCTCAACGACTGGGACCTCCCACCCCCAGCCGTTCCGGTCACCGACACACCTGTGGGTGGGAGACTAGGCCGGTTTTGGAGAAACTGGTCCATACTGGAGGACCCGTTCGTCACCGACGTCCTCCGTCAGGGGTACCGGCTCCCATTGTCTGCGCTGCCTCCTCTGACGTCTACTCCGTCAACAGCCGCTTATTCACCCTACCAGCTTCGGCCCCTTCACGACAGCATCGTTTCCCTACTGCAGAAGGAGGCCATAGAGATCGTACACGACCCGGCTCGACACCCAGGATTTTACTCTCCGGTGTTTCTTGTGCCCAAGAAGGGGCCCACCAGCTGGCGCATAATACACAATCTCTCCACTTTCAACCGGCACTACCTGGAACGTCCTCCCTACTTCCGAATGACGACGTTGCGACTGCTCAGGACGAGAATCTCAGCTGGCGATTCCCTGATCAGCCTCGACATCCAGGACGCCTATCTTCATGTACCCATCCACCCCAACTACCGGCGCTTCCTCAGGTTCTTTTTCAATGGTACCCATTACCAGTGGGCGGTCCTACCATTTGGAATTTCATCGGCCCCGTGGCTTTTCACACGGATCACCCGCCCGGTCGCCGCCTACCTACACCTGAGGAACATCAACTTCGATCCATACATCGACGATTGTCTCCTCAACAATCGGGACTCGGCGTTGCTACTGCGTCACAGGGATTTTACCCTGCGGCTCTTCAATCAGTTGGGTTGGATCGTCAATCAGACCAAGTCGGAGCTGACCCCATCGTTCCGTCTGCAGTTTATCGGGGGCCTGTTTCTCACGGATCAGGACCTCCTTCAAGTCCCCAGAGACAGGTGGTTGAAAATCCTCGCTCATCTCTTCCCTGCCCTTCAACAGGCTCGAACTCTCCGCCAATGGCAGGATCTATTGGGTCTCCTCACGTCGGCTCAAGACCTGACTGCCAGAGGTCGCCTCCAACTCCGTCCAATTCAACGGTTTCTCGCACCCTTTATCCGGCAGCAGGATCCGGAGTCCCTCATCGTCCTCCCGGTCCACCTCCACCCCTTCCTCCGATGGTGGACGGTGGAATCGAACGTCTGCGGCGGCGTCTCCTTGACCGCGCTACAGCCCTCCCTCCACCTGTTCGTCGACGCATCCAAACAGGGTTGGGGGGCTCATATGGGGACTCAAACAGTTGCAGGGCTGTGGTCCGGAGATCGACTCCACTGGCACAGCAACAACCTCGAACTCGAAGCTCTCATACTGGCCGTCTCCCACTGGCAGAGCATTCTCCGTCACGCCCAGTTGACCATCTCCACGGACAACATCACCGTGGTGTGGTGTCTGAGGAATCAGGGTACTCTCCACTCTCAGTCCCTGCTCAACCAGACCTTCCGCTTCTTCGACCTGGTGGACCGCTTAGACTTGCAATTCCTTGTTCAGCACATTCCAGGCTGCAAGAATGTTCTGGCAGACGCTCTGTCCAGGCCGGACAAGGTGGCTCCCACCGAATGGCGACTCCACCCAGAGATCTTCACAGTCCTTTGTCAAACGATCGCCACTCCAAACATCGATCTGTTCGCCACGTCTCAGAACTGCCAGCTGCCGACTTACATCTCGCCGGTCCCGGATCCGGCCGCTGTAGCAGTCGACGCCTTCAGTGTTCCCTGGGAGGGATTAAGCGCGTACGCTTTTCCGCCTCCGGTTCTCCTTCCCAGGGTTCTTCAAAAGATCCAGGCCACTCGACACTTGACACTGATTTTGGTCGCGCCTTGGTGGCCGGCCAGAAGTTGGTTTGTCGACCTCCGAAACGTCGCCAGAGACAACCCTCTAGAACTGCCAGCGTGGTCCAACCTTCTGCTCCACCCACACAGTCGGTTGCCCCACCCAAGTGCCGATCGGTTTCATCTGCACGCCTGGCACATCTGCAAAAAGCCCTAGGAGCCAAGGGCTATTCGACTAGAGCAGCCAAGGCTATTGCTTTCGCCCATCGTCCATCTACACGGGGACTATATGATGATAAATGGTCCTCGTTCCAGGCGTTCTGCTCTGACAAGCATCAGGATCCGATGACGGCATCCCCGCAGTTCCTGGCTGAGTTTCTTCTGTACTTGCGCAGCACGCGTCGATTAAAAGGCTCTACCATCTCCACGTACCTGGTCGCCATTAACTCCGTCCTTGCCATCCCGGACGACCGGAGAATGACGAAAATTCCCGAACTCCAGGCTATGCTGCGCTCGTTTCGTCTCGACGACCAGAAAGCCAAGTTCAGACCGCCTGCGTGGGATCTGAATGTGGTCTTAAAGGCTCTTCGGGAGGCTCCCTTCGAACCACTCCACACGTCTTCCTTTTACGACTTAACGAAGAAGACAGTGTTTCTACTGGCCTTGGCTACGGCCGCCCGGGTTAGTGAGCTCCACGCCCTCGACGTCTCTCGGGTTAGGTTCGAACGCGGGACTCATGGAGCAGTTCATCTTGGGCTGTGCTGGGACTTCATCGCAAAGAATCAACTCCCCGGACAGCCTGATAGATCCTTCACCATCCCTCCACTTTCGTCGATTGTGGGTGCCGACGATGTGGAGGAGCTTTTATTATGCCCAGTTAGGGCCCTGAAGGGTTTTCCTGCGACGATCTAAAGCCTGCCGTAAGTCTAGGAAACGCCTTTTCCTACCGGTCTCCCCTTCGTCGCTGTCGGAGGTCAGCCGGAATACTATCTCCCTGTGGCTCCGGGCGGTCATCCTCCAAGCTTATAAAGTCGCCGGATTGGACCCCCCCAAGGCTAACAACCCCCACGAGATTCGGGCGGTCGCGTCTACCATGGCTCTGCACAGTAACTGTTCCCTCAAATCTATCATGGAAGGCTGTTTTTGGCGTTCCGACACCGTTTTCGCCAACCACTACCTCCGTGATGTAGCCTTGGAAGATGTCGCTGGCGTTCATAGCTTTGGTCCCCTGGTGGTAGCTCAACAGGTCACCAACCCCCGACGCCACTGATTCTCCGTTACCCTGAGCGGGGCCCGTCGAACTCTCTGGTGTTTATCACCACAGATTAGAGGGCTCTACTGCGTTCCGCATTCGCTCTTAGGTCAGTGCTAGTTTTGGCATTCCCGCCTCATACTATTTCTGTCACCTATTTCGGGTTCCCTCTTTTGCATCGACTCTCGTTTCCTTTGACAGGAATGGTCGCTGGTGTTCCGGTCATCTCTTGTCCATGCGGTGCGATTTCATCGGACCTTTGTCGAGGGTTTTCTTCTGGCTCACATCTGAAGGTATGCCCACCGGCCGTGCCGTCTGATAAAGATGCAATACGGAGTAATGCAGGATAAGTTAAAAAATTTAGTAAAATCTAAATATTTTTTACATTTGTATACTTATCCTGCATTACGAAGTCTAAGTGCCCCCCCTGCGCTCCGCTTCCTCCCCACGAAGTTTCCGATGTTATGTTAAAGCAGTTATGAGTTTTGACATGACGTCATGTCTTCCGGGTCACGTGCCGACTGTGTGGGAGGGGGCGCTGCTTCCTGGACAGATGGAAACAACTTTCTTCAGCAGCTGGATCTCACACAGTTCGTCTCTCTGTCAAAGACAGCAGTAAATGCAATACGGAGTAATGCAGGATAAGTATACAAATGTAAAAAATATTTAGATTTTACTAAATTTCTGCTATATTTTCTGGATTAGGTTCGTGCCATTTTCAAGAAGAGACATGTCTTATGATCCACTGCTGCACACCACCTCCAAGTTCGGCCACCTGCCGTACGGAACCAAGTACTTCAGGGAGGAGTTCATGGACAAACATGTCTCCCATCAGGTATGGATCACGATCTGGTCACTGCAGGTCATCCTCTATATCTCCAGGGATCCCATATCGGCATACCTACACTAACTCCTGGATCCATTCCCATGGCTGTGACCTCAAATTACCCGCCCTTGAATTTCATAGGCAATTTCAATTGCTACGCTACTCAGTCTAACGGACCAATCAGAATACGAGTTACAAACCAGCCTTAATGTTAGGTTGGCGATATGAACAACATTGTGTCAAGACCCATTGATTACGATAGAGTTTGCAAGAGACTCAACTTGAAAAACTGACACTCGCAAAAGAAAGTCCTCAGAAACCTTTTTGATGGTAGTGGCAAGTCCTCCATATTCATTTCCTCCTTCCTTATCTCGACAATATGTTGATTAAATTCAAGGGTGATTAATTTTAAATCGTGAGAACTGGATCCAGGAGTTAGTGTAGGGTTACTGAAATAAGAGCCTTGGAGATAGAGAGGATGACTTTGGGTGGGAAACTAAAGCTAATAACTCCTCAGCAAGTCTAGGAGTTTTAAGGTTTTATTGACCCTATTGATATATTTCATATCAAATGACACTTGGGTGAGATTCTAAATAGGCTTTCTATGTTTTTCTGTAGATACTGTACAGCTTTTTTTTACTAACACTGCCATTTATCATTTCTTTCAGAATTTCAAGACTCTTGTACAACCAGTTCCAATCTTTGACAAGCTCAATGACACATATTCACAAGGCCAGGTCTAGCATGAACATTTATATATTGATAAACAAACCAAATGTGATATTTACAATTATTGAAGTCATATGTAGGATTTAGAAACAAATCAGCTTTAGACCACAGAATCAGCCTAATGGCGTTACAAAACAATAACACATTAACGTTAACAATTGGTTAAGCTGTTGCAGCGTGTGGATTCTATGATAAAATCTTTGAATGTTATCCATTTTATGTAATTGTATAAAGTATGTAAATACCCTTGTATGTAAGTAGAAGTGTTTATCTGTAGTGAAAATACACTTGTGAGACTGCACATAGCTTCCCATGATGGTCTTGTTACCAGGTTTTGTATAAAGCCAGTATAAACTGTGATATGATTGGCAGGTAAACATTGTAAACAGTCACAATTAATAGGTCTATGATGTTGCAAGTCATACTTTTGTTTGGTTATGTTTATTCCTTTTGTTTTGCATGTAAGCATAATTAATAGAGCTAATGATGCAATAATAATTTGAACAAATATATTTTTGATTATGCCACCTGATTGCCGATAGGTGTTGGTGTTTGTTGGTTGATGTTCATGCTGGAAGATAGAACTTCATCTGACTGTTTGCATCAAGACAGTTGTCATCATTTCAGAGCTGTATTTTGTTGTTTTGAACAATAGCTATATAGTCTCACACATGCTTGTGGATTTGGATTTTTGTTATCAAAAACCATGTTTGAATTGCATTTGAATGTTCATGAATCCGTCCATAGACTATAAATGAAATATACTGGAGAATAATACTTGTGTTGTGTGGTTGATGCTTATTCATGATCACGACCATCGTCTTTGGTGCAACCCCTACATCATCTTGTCCAGCATCAGGGAGCTGTACTAAAACCAGTTTGGAACAAGAGCTTGTATGACAAAACCTCATCTTGTGACCAACATATGACACTACCACAAAACATTTACAGATTAACAGTCATGTGACCATCAGAAGAGTGAGTTAAATATAACGTCGCAATGGCACTATTTCAGCCACATAGCGAACCATCAGAAGAGACAACCAGAACATTTACAGTCATGTGACCATCAAATGACACTTCCGGAATAATATTTACAGATTTACAGTCATGTGACCAGCAGAAGCAACAAACAATAATTACAGTCATGTGACCATCATATGACACTACCAGAATAACATTTACAGTCATGTGACCATCATATGACACTACCAGAATAACATTTACAGATTTACAGTCATGTGACCATCAGAAGCGACAAACAGAATAATTACAGTCATATGACCATCATGTGACACTTCATGTGACCAACATGACACAACCAGAACAATTACGGTCATGTGATGTTTAAAAGACCCAAACAGTACAACATTAATGGTTTTCAATATGGCTGTCATGACAGCCATATTGAAAATCTGATTTGAACCTCTTGGACAAGTTCAGGCCATTACTTGGTGTAACAAGTTTGCCATACTGCTACCTTATTGGTCCAGTCAGTGGGTTCATAGTCGATAATTATTGACAGCAACTTATAACATTATTGGATTATTGGGGGTCAAAAACCTGAGGGGCTGAAGGTCCCTTGTGCTTTCCTTGATGGCTGACACAATGTTTGGGGCTTGGTCGGCCAAAGGTAACTGACAAGCTCATCAAATTGGTCCAATGGTGGTCTGTTGTCAGTCCGGTTTTGATCTGCTTGAACTTATTTTGGTGTTTCCTCCTAAACCACACGATGCACGATGGTGAAACTTTACTTGGAACATCCAGTTGATGATGGCCTCAAACAGTTGGTTTCATGGCAAATATATGTCAAAACATACTTTTCATTATGCATCACCATATGTACAGACCATACAATGAAATGTGGTTATATGGGTTTAAGATATGTTTTTTCCAGTGTTTGCACATACTTTTATTAGTGACAACAGTTTGGCTTCAGCGAATTATACCATTTGGCCATATTTGACCTTCTAATGACAAATGACATGAAACAGTATACATGTGGTCCTGACAGGTTCCAGTCTCTTGAGTATAACAAATATGCTTTCTGAAAAGTAGTTGGCTGTGGTGCAATAGATTCTGAGATAAAAAGTGAAAAATAATTATGCAGCATTGTCCACAGCACTGAAGTTGTCTGATCATGATGATGCCTTCAATAAATTTAAATCTACCAATGGCCATACACCATTTTAAGTACAAGTCCAACATTTTAAACAAACTATGATGATCATTAGAAGAAACATGCCAAACATCAGTTTCATCTGTAAACCAGTTTCAGAGAAGGTGCTCACAGGGCAGAGAAAGCATTTGGAAAGAAATTCATGGCTTAGTAAAAGTGTGAAGGTCAGATCAAAAACAAATTACATAATATCACTAAAAGCAGAATATATATATTGAGTAAACCCTTTACTAGACATATACCAAATTCCCTTAAATTGTTTTAAAAATGATGGCCATTTTATATATTTTTTAAATGTGGCTACAATTAGAGTCATTTGAAATTTGGGTTTGAACTTAAAGAACAAATTCAGATGTCCTCATCAGTGAGAACAAGTATGCCAAGTAGGTTTCTGGGGAGATATTTACAGGTGCTGTCCCCGACCAACAAGGCCATGATTTTCCCTCAGGTGAGCTACAATTGGCTTTCACTGTGAAAACATTGGTTATTTTAATGCAACCCACGAACACACATACAGTGCTGGTCATGCTGACAATATATACAATGTGGAATTCAACCCCACTAGTAGCAGATCCTGCTAGCGAAGGGATGTAAATCTGCACATCATTTCCAAGACCGATTACACTGAAAGATCAATGAATGTCAACATTGAACATCCATGTTCTGTAGTGAGTGAGTGAGTATGGTTTTACGCCGCTTTTAGCGACATTCCAGCAATATCACGGCGGGGGACACCAGAAATGGGCTTCACACATTGTACCCATGTCGGGAATTGAACCCGGGTCTTCTGCGTGACAAGCAAACGCTTTAACCACTAGGCTACCCGACCGCCCCTCATGTTCTGTAGAATGATCTAATCATCAGAATTACATGCAATGTGTATGGATGTCATCCATGCCAATCAAAGAATCACCTCATTGTACTCATGGTGGTTCTTCAGTGACATGAACACACACATCTCACACTGTGTGTTTAAAGTCCTCCATGGTCTAGTAGTAGAGTGTCTGCCCCTAGAGCGGAAGGTTCAGGGTTTAATCCCCAGCCATGTCATACCAAAAGACATATAGGAGATAAACCAACTGTGTTTTGAAATTTGATGTAATCCCACTGTAGAGTAGATACCTCTTATTTTAATTTGGAACCGAGTGCTTAAGCGCTCTATAAATCAGAGGTATCTACACTACAGTGGGACTACATCAAATTTCAAAACCCAGTAGATTTATCTCCATTCTACCATGGCGGCAACGAGGTTTTTTGGCGAAAAGGCTTAATATATTTGAAAGGGGTATCCGTAGGAAAAAGGAAACCTCTTTTAAACTAATCAGAATCAAGCATTCATCAATATCATGGTAGAATAAAAGATGTGCTGTGTATCAAGGGGCTAAAACAAGAACTGTTTAGCTTGGAGTCAGTATACTGTGTCAGAGTGAGGTATTCATGTTAAACTATATGTTGGCATCACTCCGGACTAGTACATGCAGCCACACACACACCTTCATGCACGTTACTATATGAGTGCAATAATTTTGGATGCAACGTTAAACCCTACTTCACTTCACCTCACCTCACCTCACCTCATCTCACCTGCAAGAACACACTTGACCATTTTCTTGTGCTGAGGTATGTGTAGCATTGTTTTACAGTGTGTTACAGCAGGTCACATATGTACCTGCAGTAGCTTTCTTGAATAAAACTTTCTGCCTGTTTATATGCCGAAGATTTATCTAGACATGATCCAGAGCTGTTATTCAGCCCCAACATGTTCTAGATTGGAACAATGATTTTCCAAGTTATAAGTAATGTTATGGCTTTGTTAGAGGCAACTTGTATTACACAGATAGGACCAATACAGAGGAAGTGACATTAATAATTGGTTTTACATTGAGTGTAATATTAAATACTTCTAGATAAAAAAAATTAATAAAAATAATATGAATATATTAATATATCCAAATTATGAAGAAAATAAAAAATTTCCCAATTTGCTAGTCCAGGGTACTTAGTTTAAATTTGTGACAACTCCCTGTATGCACCCAACTTTATCTTTTAAACATATATGTCAAATAGTTCCATACCCAGAAATAATGTATAGAACTGGAACTTTAAAAAATATATTCTTCTTTCATTACTGGGTGGAAATATTGTTTTTTGTCATATTTGATAATATCAGATCATATTGAAATGAAACCGAAAAACACAAAGAACATATGATATGAAATTTATTTCAAAACCCATAACACACCATGACACAATATTGGACGGAATGCATGTGACAACAGAATAATGTGTGTTTGTATCTGTCTATACAATGTACTATGCTGTGTATCACAACCAGATCTGATAACAACCAAACTTTACATCACCACACCATCCTGACAGTTCAGTTTGTTATGGGACCGTCATTTATAGCAATTCGGGCTGGAATATTGACATGATTGACATGGAGAAACTGTAAAAGAAGTCAAACAATATGAGAGAGGGTCATGAAAATTGGCCATGCATTTGAAAAAGAAATGACAAACATTTGGGTAAGGAAATCTTTACTGGCAGCTTCACTCCAGCCCAATCCTGAACAAAGGGACTTGATGCAATGTCAGCAATATGACAGCAGTCTGTGTTTGTGTGTTTGTTGGTTTGTTGTTTAACACCGCACTCAGCAATATTCCAGCTATATGACAGCAGTCTGTAAATACTCAAGTCTGGACCAGACAATCCAGTTATTGACATCATGAGCATCGATCCTCACAATTTGGATACGATGACATGCATCAACCAAGTCAGCGAGCCTGACCACCCGATCCCGTTAGTCGCCTCTTACGACTGCCAGTATCAACCACTGCAGGATCTTCATTCCCATCACACTTTACTGATGAGGTGACCAGCTAGACTCAGCCCACTTGTGAGCTATGTGCCAATGTCTAGCTTAATTAATTTTTACTAAAGGTTTTGTAGTACATTCATCCTGTCCTAAGGAAGACCCACATATCAACCCAACATGGCCAACAATGTAGGTCTATAGTTTAAACGTGTTGAAATGTAGGTCTTCAATAATCTTGCAGAAACGTTTGGAAAAGAAGCATGTTAAGCATGGTCTACAACTCCAAGTCATCAGTGGTCAGTGCAAGTCCAATTCGTGATAATCCATTCTCACTCCCCTGGTCTATGGTTCAGTGTGGCTTTGTTTAATGTAATAGAGTCGTGAGTCAATTATCCAGCCAGTGTTGTAGACACTTTAATAATCAGACAACTTCATTAATAGATTCGTGTTCCTTGAATTCCTCTTTCTCCACGTCCGAGATCATCTCTGACGTCACCTCAGTGAACAGTCGATCCCAGTCCCATGGGCGGTCCTCCTACAAACATTATTTACAGACCGCCGTCATATAGGGGAAAATTGCAAATAACACAAACAAACATAATAATAGGACAATAATAGTCCAGTTATATGGCACTTTTCCATGGTGGATATCACATGCTCAAAGCGCACAGAGAATTATTACCCCAGTCAATGGATCAGTGTGCAGTCCATTCTCAACTCCTTGGGGAGTATATAATCCAAGCTGCCTGTTTGGCGCTTGAAGGTTAAATTACCATCAGATCACAGTGCTCGCTACAGCTACACGAAGATCTGAGAACATCCGATTACAGGTCACGTCAGAACATCCTTTGGTGAGCTTTACTAGTTTTAAGCTGTAAAGTTCTTGATTCAAAAGAAAATTCTGGAATGTCTTATAGATGGCTGAGCCATGGACAGTCTCTTCTGCTTCAAATGATTATCCAATTGAAGCAATAAATTGATCATAATGTCATACATCCCGAAACTGTCATTCTCTGCCTCATGTTAACCTTTTAGATGTTGCATGATTTGAAAACACATTCAGACTTTCAAGTTTGCGATCTCGGTAAGCAAAGCTCTGATTGGTCGGATGAAAGTTTGTTCTGATGTGACCTGTGAGCACTAAGATCTGATTTTAATGAGATTCACATTCAATGGAATTGTTAGCAATATTCACACAAACAAGTAGGTTGGTTTCGATGCCTAACATGTTCTATTGGACACTCACCTCTATTAAGTCTTGTTCTGGTGAAACAGCCTTTGTTAATAATTTGAGATCTATTTCATTATCCTGAAACACAAACCATAAACAATGATTAATAACAACATACAAAATACCGCCATGTACTTCCTGCCCCAAAACATACTTCCAGACCTTGACCCAAAGACGTATATATACGTCCTTGCTTGACCTTAATAACCTCAACAACAATTACCAAAATTTTAGGATTGTAGAACTACAAGTAATTGTGCACCAGTCACTGACAATAAATGATGCCACAATGTTTCACAATAACCTGAGAAGACCTTGACCTTTGATAGACAGTACCTACATAAGGTATGGTAGGATTTGTACAGATACAATAAACGTATATATAACGAACATGCTTATAACGAACTGACAGATATAACGAACATATTTTTGGTCCCGGACATTTGCTGTATATATATGTTTATAACAAACTACGGTTATATCAAGGCCGTAGTTAACTTTTTTTGACAGGGGGGTTCAAACATTTGTACAAGTGTCACTTGTCCCCAACTTGATTCAAATAAAACTGTTTTCTATAAAAAATACAGGGGGGGCAACTGCCCCCCTGGCCCCCCGGCTGGCTACGGCACTGTATATCGAACTAATATTAGTGGTCCCTTTGAGTTCGTTATAACCATTGTTTACTGTACTTGCAAACATAAAGTTTGATGCCAGTAGAGGGGTAACCAAGCCTCAGAAACTGACAAAGATATCACCATGTTTCACAAAACAGCCTAATGCTGACCTTGACCTTTGTCTTAGTTTGACCTACACCCTTTCAAAGCAGTGCCCCATCCAAGGGATGGTATAAACCAAGTATAATGCTACATGCATTTATACCATTTGAGATTTTTCTATTATGTAGCCTGGAACTTTGAACTTCTCACTGCATGTACCAAATAAATTCTCCAGGTCCATGTGGAACAAGACAATTCTAGTATATTCTTTAACACCAGTAATCTTAGCGCCATATTTACCAGAATATGATTGTTAAAAATTTCTCTTAGGTGACCTTGACCTTTGAAATAATTGGATGTGATGTTTGATGTGGTAGGATTTCTGAAGTAACATGTAAATATAGTTCCATGCCTAGGCCTGTAGAGAGATAACCATTTCTCGGAAACTGACAATGATATAACCATGTTTCACGAAAAGCCTGGACACTGACCTTGACCTTGACTTATGTAAACCAAAAGCAGAACCCAATCCTAGCATGCCCAAGAGGAGGTACATACCAAGTTTATTGATAATTGCAATAACATTTTGAGAAGGTGAAACCCAAGTGTGTTCAGTGAGTTTTTTTATTTCTTGTGAAATTGACCTTTTCATGGCATGTACCTAAAGAATTCCACAAGGCAATTTGGGAGAAGTCCATGGATGAATAAATCCATTCCTCAAAGCATGTCTGCTTGTTCAATAAACTATTGACTAACGTTCTCAATAAGAATAGAGAGGGTTTCCAGATGTGTGGATGTTCCGTAACCAAACATTTGGGACTATATATTAATGGGGGGTTCACTGAACCATTGTATTCTTGGGCAGTTTTTATAGCTACTTAACTGAGCAAAATTATGACACTATTAATAAATAGAAATAACTGTCAGTTATTATAGTCCTTAGGATATTAGTGTGTTCTCAGTATTTAGCAGAAACTATTTATATATCACTGCAAATTTTGGTACGTGGCTTTCTTTGTTGACAATTTAAACTGGTAACTATGTATCCAGGTGAGCTACAGTGCTGTGACACAATTTGTATTTCTAATATATGATTTTAACAAGACAGAAACATACTCAGCTAATCACTTCTATTTAGCTATTGAATGCCTGGGAATGTTAACAGCTGAAACCTCCAGCCAAAGGCACTGTTTCCAAATAGATTCCTAAACACAATACATTCTGAAAACAAATCTATAAACATCCTAGATAACCATGTTAGCTCAAAAACAAATGTCCGTACCAGTGTGAGGAATGCTGCTTGTCGCAGGAGATCATTGTCCAGCTCTCTGTATGTGGCCACTCGGTTGACCGCGACACTGTGGGAGTCAGTAACAATCAGTGGTCAGATGGTGTGGTCAAACGAGCAAACAAACAATTCATATCAAATCCGTACAAAACACTACGGGTAAATATTTTTTAACTTGATCTTCAAATAAACATAGTTCAGTTAACATTTCTTTATTGTTCCTTCTCAAAAGAAACTACTTGTAAGTAAATCATAGTCTTAAAATAAACTAGTGTCCAAAAGAAACGATACCAACTTATTTTCAAAATTGTTTTTTACTAAGTGAATTGTCTAGTATGAAAACATGCCAATTCGTATTGCACATCCCAAACACAGCATAGTCAATAAAAAATACCGGGAACACGTGATCACTTCCGGGAAAAAACGTAAATTTTGTGAAAGTGACATTTCCCTCTCTAGCATGTTCTGCACGTGCATACAAACTGTATAAAACGGCTGATCAGACACGTTGAGATCACAGCAACAAAAAGAACACAAGATATGCCACGTTTGACAGCCATCGAGAGAGAGAGAGCCGTTGGAATGGTCCAACAAGGAGCGTCACACGTCGACGTCGCCAAAAGGTTGGGCTGCGCACGCATCACTATCACCAGGTTGATGCAGCGGTTACGTCAGACAGGTCAGACATCAGACAGGCCCAGGAGTGGAAGACCACGAGTAACCACGCCCCGTGAAGATCGTTACATCCGGGTATTACACCTGAGGAACCGCACCGTAACAGCGACGTCCACAGCACTGGGAAACAGGATCAGTCGACAGACCGTCTACAGGAGACTACGGCAGTATGGTATCCGGCCACGTCATCCCTACCGCGGACCGCTCCTGACGCCTCGACACCGGAACAACAGACTGATCTGGGCCAGGCGAGTTCGACGTTGGCAACGGCGGGACTGGGCACGTGTTATGTTCTCTGATGAGAGCAGATTCCTCATCTTCAGAAACGATGGACGGCAGCTTGTATACTGACGATTTGGTGAACGTTTGGCGCCTAACTGTATCCAACAGGTCCGGCCGTTTGGAGGTGGAGGGTTAATGGTTTGGGGTGGCATATGTGGTGACGTCAAAACGATGCTTGTCGTAATTCGTGGAAACCTGAATGCACAGCATTATCTTGATGACATCCTACGGCCTGTTGTGGTGCCCTTTATTCAGCAAAAGCCTCGTGGACTCCTTTTCCAACATGACAATGCAAGGCCACACACAGCAAGATTGACACAGAACTTCCTTGCCAACGCCAACGTACAGGTTTTGCCATTGCCCGCATGTTCACCGGACATGAATCCCATCGAGCACTTATGGGACCACCTCGATCGGCAAATCCGACGTCGCTGTGTGCCTCCAGTCAACGTCCAGGACTTGGAACGATGTCTCCTCGAGGAATGGCAACGCATCACTCCCAACGTCATCAGACGTTTGACGTCATCAGTCCGTAGGCGTGTTCTGGCATGTATTGATGCTCACGGTGGACATACCCGCTACTGACTTGACTTTGAGACGTGTGGTGTGACATTTCCCGTTGTTTCTGTGATCAGTGCTCTAACGAAATGTTCATTTTTAGACCCCACCCATCTTTAAAGGCTTGTCATATTGGTTGTACAGATTTTATTGAAATGAAATTTTTGTACAGATGTTGTGAAAGGATTTCTCAAAAGCATAACACAAATCCTAAACTTCTGCATTGTTTAGTTTTTCTTTTATGTCGTTGCAAACAGGTGGTATCGTTTCTTTTGGACACTAGTTTATATTGTTACCATTCACTAAACATATCAGTTAAACGTTAAAGACTAAGTGTTTGGCCATCACCAAATGCTGATGTTTGTTTATAATAAGAAACAAGTAGTATGTGCAAGCAGGGTCCAGTTCCACACAGTGATCTTAGATATACCAAATGTCGTAAGTCTTCGTTAAAGGGAGTTAGTCATCTTAGACAGGGGTGTTCAATAAGTATGTCTGACTTGGCCGACCCATGAAAGTGCCGGGCAAGTGGGAAAATATAATTTAGTGCCCCTGGGCAAGTATGAAAATTGGAAGTATTAACTTTGTAACTAGAAGATGCATCATGTGTTTGTCTACTGCAGATGAAGTACCTGACTAGTCATTTTTCTAGTCTACTTAAAATGTGACCTTGAACGAATATCAGCTCTCACATTACTGCTTGTTGCCCAAGCTTGAAAAAAATTAGGTTTCTGAAGCCAAAGTGGGGAGGCAATCTGCAACGGATACATCCTTAGATGAAGTAATGCAGGATAAGCATACAAATGTATAAATATTTAGATTTTACTAAATTTTTTAAGTATCCTGCATTACTCCTTAATGCATCTGTATCACATGATCAGACAGTATGGAGGAGGGTATACCTTCAGATGTCCAAGAAACAGCCTCAATAACTCACACCCCAAAGGTGACACATGTTAGTCAATTAACCGTAAGGCGGAAAAAACATAAATACGCTGTGACGGTACACGCATGACAGTGAAAGCCAAAAATCTTTACCTACTGTGTTACTGAGCCAAAGCCGATAAAAGCTTGAAGCAATTCCTTGCACCAGGCGTGTCTTAGATAATACTGCCCAGGATGGAAACTGGCTCCAGATAGGATGAGTTAATTTTTTGTGTTGGGGGTCGGTTACCTGCTGGGCTACTACCAGAGGGCCAAAACTGTGCACCCCTTCGACTTGCAGGATGCATACCTGCATATCTCTATCCATAATGCAGGATAAGTAAAAAACATTAATATTTTCTTCTTTTCTCTGATTTAGCAGGGCAAGTTGAAAATCATACAGGGCCAGTATAAGTTTAAAATTTACTTGCCCTTTGGCAAGTTTCAAATTTTGGTACTTGAACACCCCTATCTTAGCGCTAAGATCTTTTTTGTTTGTTTGCTGTTTAACGCCACACTCAGCTATATTCCAGCTATATGACGTCAAACTGTAAATAATCGAGTCTGGACCAGACAATCAAGTGATTGATATCATGAGCATCGATCCATGCAATTGGGATACGATGACATGAATCAACCAAGTCAGCGAGCCTGACCACCTGATCGAGTTAGTCGCCTCTTACGACAAGCATAGTCGCCTTTTACGGCAAGTATGGGTTTCTGAAGACCTATTCTACCCCGGACCTTCACGGGTAGCGCTAAGATCGCTGTATGGAACGGGGCTCTGGTGTGTAGACAACTGACTTGGGGGCTACAGCCACTTTAGTGCTCATGTCCTCTTCCTGCTGGTCCTCCAGCTCTGGGATCACCGGGATGTCTGCAGCGAGACAACGCCCATATATACAACTCATAATACGGCAATATCACATTCAACACTTCTCTCAACCAGTAGCCAGCTACAGGCCACTAGTCATGGGCCAGGAAGATTTGTCTTAGGACTGTATCATATTCTGCTGCTTCCCTCCCATCCCCTCCTTCAATACACACAAATACATAGACATTTGTTCAAGGCCCCCACAAATACATGTAAGGCTTAGAAAAATAAAGAATTGGTTCTCAGACAATATAATGAAAATATAGTGTTTTTTTAGGGTTGGGGGTTGTTCAAACTAGTATGTAACCAAATAAAAAGTTAAATTTAATCAACCTGGGAAAGGGCCTCCCTACATAAACATATTCCTTGATGAGTAAAATACTGGAATACGGTCTTTGACTACCGTTATACTTTGAGTATGTAAGGATTTCGTTGTTTTTTTTAAAATGGAAATAAAAACGAAATGTGCAGCACACTTTATGAAGATGCGGACAGTGCCTGAGAACCAAGACTATTATTTTTTTTAGCCTTACATATAGTTAATGTTCATCAAGACCTTGCTTATGTGTAAGCAATTAACCACAAAAACAAAGGATCCTTGAAATAGACCTTATGTTACAAAGCTAAGGTTAAGGGGGGTCCCTAGGTTCAGTTACTATGGCAGCAATACTCAAGGACCCAGGACCCCCTTTAAATTCTAAAAATGCATTAGTATTGACACATTCAATTACATAGTATTCCCAACATACCTTGATCTGAATCGGATTCTTGATCAGGGCTCCTTGGTCGTAGTCTCTCACTGTAACACAGCAAACACACACTGACAACATGGACCACAAGGAACACTACCTTCCTCTTGTGGCTCCTATTGGTATCATGGCTGCGGTTATCGCGTACTCATAGAGTTGAAGGATTTGTTACATTGTTAAATGTTAGACATACTTGAAAATAGTCACAATAATCAATATATAGATAATTAGCATGTTCAGACACACCATAACACAGGGCTAAAGATAAGCTTTGGGCTTTTGGGTATTTTACCCGAGGGTTTGATTTTGATTGCGTATCCACAAGTTTCAGAAGGTATTCAATTTTTTTTACCCACCTGTTTCTTGACATTTGGGTATTTAACTTAAAACCTGTTTCGTAACAATCACTGTAAATCCTTTTAGACTACATGAATAGTAGTATACCTGCATCTGCTGTGGCAACCTCTCCGGGAAGACATTTTTTGTTCACAAAACCTAGCATTGTAAGAGGTGAGGTGAAATTGGGTTTAACGTCGCGTCCAAGATTATTGCACTTATATAGTGACGTGCATGCACATGTTTGCGTGTGGCTGCTTGTACTACTCCGGACTGATGCCGATTTCATAGTGCTAGCTCACTGAGATACCATGCCGCAGTTTAACATGAATACCCCACTCAGACACAGTATACTGACTCCGAGCCGACCAGTCCTTGTTTTAGCCCCTTAATGCTGAGCACAAAACAAGGTAACAACAAGTACCATCTTTTAACATCTTTTGGTATCTTTAAGGTCGAGCCCCAGACCTTCCGCTCTCTGGGCGGATGCTCTACCACTAGACCACGGAGGCGGTCTAGCATTGTAAGAGAGGTGCTATTGTTTTAATTACAAATCAGCGACTGATTAAGATACAACATGTACAGTGACTAGGCACGATGCGCTTTTCAATTGGCATCCATCAGTATGTTTGTCGTAGTAGCTTTGCCAAATTTAACTTCGGAAAGTGAATATGGCGATAGATGATACAGAATCATTTTGATACGTTAAGATTTTACTTGTCTGCATATTTCAGATTATTTAATGCGTATTTCACGCAAATATACAGCTTATCTCAAGCTCTGATAACATATTTTAAACAGTATTGTCGTCTATATTTTTTCTAACCTGTCAGATGCATCATGAGCCACCTGTGGTTATAGCTATAGTGTTTGTTAGTCAACTGGAACAACGGGTTAAATACACTCGTGGCATTGAAATGTAAAACAAAACAAACCTTGTGGCAAAGGTTGAGTTTTGAATGATAACAAAGAGACAACAATAGAAAGACTGAAAGCATGACCACTACATCACATGATCGTCTTGAATCAATCAAAAAAAATATGAAAACAATTGATATCATCCATGATATCACTACTAGAACACTTCTAGGCAGAATAAGTACTTTCAGAGACCAAAAGACATGAAATGCAAAAAATGTTGCTTAGAGTAAATAAATATTAAAAATGGAGTCAGTGTACATATATCAACGTATGGTACGACTGGTATGTGATATTCGGTACCTGATCGTTGTTGGTTTGTTGTTTAACGTCACATTCAGACAGCAGTCTGTAAATAATCGAGTCTGGACCAGACAATCCAGTGATTGACATCATGATCCACACAACTGAGATATGACAACATGCATCAACCAAGTCAGTGAGCCAGACAACCCGATCCCGTTTGTCACCTCTTAAGACAAGCATAGTCACGTTTTATGGCAGGCATGGGTTGCTGAAGACCTATTCTACCCCGGGTCTTCATGGGTATTCAGTACCTGAAGCTATTTAGAAGATAACCAACGAACTACAAGGAATTACGGATCATTTGCCCCGAGTGAATAAATGGTGGATGTCCTGATCCTTTGTTGAGTGATTTACAGCATTCATTCACAAGGGACAGATAATCCGTAATTCTAAGTAGGTTATTCTAGATATTACTCATTGACAATTAAAGAGAAAATGAAGAAAAAATGTACCTAACAACCCTAACAGAGAAACTACACTGCAGGCTGCATATTGTCCTGAAGACATACATAATTTGTGACATCATGAGCAATGGAGGACATCACATCATATTTTCATCAACTATAAAGCACTGTGACACATTACGGCTTCAATTGACCAATCGGCATCAAGGATCGTTGAAATGCACTTGAGCAAATATCGAAAGGTGATTACACACAATCATTCTACCTTTACGGGCAATATGATAAGTGTAGATGTTCATCCGATCATTCAGGGGTGTGTGTGATGGTGTATGTGTATGTGTGGGTGTGGTCATGCAAACCAAAGTCAAACCAGTGCAAATGTTGGAGCGTGAACATGGGGGGTCAGTCACACTGGGTCAAACATCACAATTACCCAAAGAGACCACTCTGGTCTACATGGTCAAACAGATCGCTGAATGTAAAAATGGTGAATCATTAGTGCTATACAATCAATGTAAGTATTCCATGCATTAATGTGGCAGCATTCAACCACATTCTGAGCTGAAAGTTAAGTGTGATTCTGACAAACTAACCACCATCACAGAAACTATCCAGGGGCCTGTTCCACAAAGCGATCTTAGTGCTATGATTGTCGTAAGTCAGTGTTAAAGTATGGGAGTTACGATCATCTTAGCGCTAAGATCGCTTTGTGGAACGGGGCCCAGGTTCTCTTCCTTCAAATTTCTGCCTAAAACTTACATTCCCATATATTTCCTTGTTTTTAAGGACACAGGCTATAACTGTTAATTTTTTCAAAAGCAAGCAAGAAATTAAAATATAAAGGATAAGTTTTATTTTAAACAGAGGCAAATTATTTTCTCAGTTCTTTTGGACTATTGGAGCTTTTTTCACAAATGTGATAGTATTGCCTTAGTTGTCAACTATTGCAATAGTATCAAGATAGTTTTAAACCAACTTTAAGGCTTGATAATTATACCAATCAATGTAATAGAAATGAATAAAGTATTTCTGACAATGTCAAAGTCTGCCATTTTCGTCCCTGTCACTCCTCAAACCAAAGGGATGTAACTCCAATCTGTAGTTGTCACAATTCTCGCTAATAAATACATGACAGATTTGAAATCAGACTGTGAAAACTTGAGTTTTCTGAGAGATAATTTATGTTCTATTTAGAACTAACTGCAACTATTGAAATTATCCATTGTTGGGCATACTATTGACAACAACAATGTCGTTTTAAAATTTATATTAATATAGTACAATTGTAAGACAAACAATTACAAAACATCAATAGTTTGATATATTGTTACACTCCTAGAATCAACACTAATAACATTATTCATTTTTTTCATATTGTATGTTAGTATAGATCTACTGACAAGACAATATCAATAACAACTAAAATAATATGACCGAACCCATTTCCCATAATGCTCTAAATGTAAAAATCATCCATTATCTGTTACTTTCTGTGTTGATAGAACCACACAAAAAACACATATCTCAGTCTTATTTCTCAACATACCTGGAAAAAACAAAGTAAACATGAACTGATAAAAGAAACATAAAATACCTTTCCAAACAATGCACCATTAGAATACCATGCAATGCATGCAGCAGCACTAGCACTGGGTGACACGTGTGAAGCATTGTGACATGGTCATATGAATACAGCCCGTTCTCTGATTCATACACCATCCTTTGTACAATCTTAGGATTGTGCTGTGTACGTCAGAAAAAGCATTGCATCTTAATCGCAAAACCAGAATTGTCCCACTTTTCACTAGCTGCCAAAAAGGTTTTAAACCTAAAAAGGAAATCTGCTTGAAAGGTTTAAGCTTAAAACCAGAAATCTGCTTATCCTAACAAGACGCAGGATTGGGGTGTCCTCGAAAAATTTAGATATCGATAGATTCAATACAATCTTAATGTCGACACGGTATCGATACAAATAAATAATTCACTCTCACAGAAACACTTACATTCATTAAGATTACCATGGTAAAGATGGCACAAAACATATTCAGTTTTAAACATTTAATAGATCAGTGGTAGAAACGAACATTTTTAGTCCACTTGTCCTTATAATGATAACATATACCAAAATCCTTAAAAATGGCAAATTTCTACTGGTCCTTATGATACCTTAACTATTGGGCAGTTTGGCAAGGACGACAGGACCAGTGCCAATTTCTAAGGCTGCAGATGAACCTAATTCATATACTACTAAAAAGAAGTTAAGAACCACTCGATTCTTTCATGACAGAGTAACTATAGTAATACAAAATAATCTGGTGGTCCTTAACTTTTTATTTGTAGTATATATTTAGCATTTTGTTGATAAATTGCAGGGATAGATAGGAATTTTGTTTTATCTAAACACATACAGAATAACTACTTTTGTTATTAATCAATATGTAATTTTCATTTCACAATAAAAAACTTTCCAATCAAATGACATCCCTAGTTTTGTAGTTTTGATTACATTGTACACCGACAGAATATATGCAGACGGTCTGTTCAAATAGTAACGTGTAAATCAGACAAGCAGATTATATATCAACAAATGGAATTATTTCTGATTTTTCTGTGCAACTGTATCATCTTGCACACAGTGGAACATTCTGAAGCATATTATGTGCATATACTCACTCTTCAAATGGCTCAAATCCCTCTCCCAACTGCCGCGAGCTGATTGGTCACCATCACAACATTTACAGCAAGGGAAAGGTCCATTTTGGGAACGGGGAGGAAGAAATAACATAACAACAAGCAGTCAGCATGGTCAGTAGCTATCCTCTACACTCCTGAGGTACACCACAGTCAAATGAACCATGTTTTAATCAGATACATAACACCATCAGTCAACAGCCATTTTTGAAACTATTTAAAAATCATTGCACTTATACTGCAATGTTTCTATTGATTTGTTTCCGCTGATGAAAGGGTTTTTTCACATTTTTTAATATTTCTCAATAACCAAGGGTTAACATGCCAAAAAATCAGTGAATTTTGCATTCAATCACACAGATGATTATCTTTTGAGGATATGATACATATATATATGATACGCTGTGAGTGGATCATGTGACTGTCGTGAGGTTTGTACCACCTGGAGCATGCTCCACCATTACCACATACAATGCATTTAGTTCCCCTTCACAGACAATACGATTCATCACTGTTATTTCTTCACTTATTAAACAGAAGTTTATACACACACAGTGTGTACAAATAAATAGCTTCAAACAACATCTGTGAAGTAATATTCAAGAAAACTTTTGTGAGTGAGCATGCACAATTGCGAATTTTGTTCATGTCAACAGCTTCCGTAAATATGTAAACTCTCCTTGCCCTCCTGCTGTACTCAAAACTGTACTTATACTATGAGTCATTGACTATGACTTTATAATATGTTATATATAGATTTGATATACCGGTATTGGTAGCTTAGTTATGTGAACTGATTCTTTCCAATTCACAATCTCATTAAAATCAGATCTAAGTTCTCCCTGCCGCTAAACAAAGATCGGAGGACATCCCATCACGGGTCACGTCAGAACGACCTTTCGCGAACTTTGCCCGACCACTGAAATGACTAACAAGAAGTCGACATCAGCCAGTGAGAAAGCAGCTTTCTCAAACTTTACAGCACTCGTTTCAACCTGGTGACTACCATTTCAGACTACGCTTGAAAGATATGTTGAAACAGTTCTTGATTAAAATTTTGAAAACTGAACAAACGAACATTCTGGAATGTCTAATATATGGTTGAGATTGTATGGCAGTGCTTCCCACGTACTGTCCAACGTCTCCTCCGTTCTGTTCAAATGTTTATGCCACGGAAGCGAGAGATACACGATTATTTTGACGGAATCAGTCATACAGGCCGTACCTGTCGTTCGGACTACCCTGAGTTAACATTTTCGAGGTTGCATGATTAGAAAACACATTCTGACTGTCACTTTCATGATCTGGTAAGTGACCCCTATTTGGTCAGATGAAAGGAATTCTAAGGTGACCCGTAATGGGATGTCCTCAGATCTTTGTTTAGCGATAGCGAGAACTAAGAGCTGATTTTAATGAGATTGTCCAATTCATAAGGTAAACATTCAAACATAATTTCAAAATTAAGAGGCAAGATGTTACTTAAACTCTGAAGTGGATTATTACCTGATATTTGTGAATCATGCAGGCAGTGAGGATACAGGAAATGGAATGTTCAAAAGTGACACCAAATATAGTGACCAACTTCTGAATAGTGGGCATGGTGGGGAGAGATTTCACATCTGACCAATCAATACCAGTGATGAAGCATTATGTTGTGAAAAATGGCATTACAATTATAAAACATGCAAACATACGCTTCAGCTAGCAATGCTACAATATTCTAAATTATATGTCCAATGATAAACACGACAGCTTTATCAGATGTGAGAACTGGTTATAGAAGTATGACCAAACAGATTCATTATTAGAAATGAACATGACAAAACATGTCCGTAACATGTCTACCAGATTGTTTTTGGATTAATCTACTGAAGATGAATACTCTTTTTGAAAAAATAAATATTTGAATCTGGTTAGTACAAAAGACGAATGACATAAACTAAATAAATATGAAAAATGATAATTTATTTCATTTACGTGAAAACAATTTTCCAGATTGCTGACATGATCAACATTAGACATTATACAGGTCATAAGCAATGTAAGTGTGCATGATATTGTTCACTGTATCACTGGTATGTTTCAGCTATTGCACATGCAGTCATGATAAATAAGATACCGATATACAAATGTAAACTGTCTATGCATCACTCAGTCAAGCGTGGTATCCAGCGTGGTATCCATCATGGTAATCCAAAGGTCAAACACCTTCATTTCATAGCAGTCATAATTTATTATTATTGAAATTGTACATGTGACAATAAGGATATTGGTAAAAGTGCATATAGCAATATGATCAAAATCCTTTAATATACTGATCAAGTTGATCATGTATTAAATGCAAGAAAGTTATCCTCCAAAATATATTGCTAAACATGCACTACATTCAAACATTCAAAATGTTCAAAGATTTCTATTTCTCACTACCATTTACTATGAAATTTAGATTAGAAAATCAGTGTGCAGGCTTTACAACATTAAAAGCCAGTTACAGCTATAGGTATGTTGTCGTGGAGGCAATTAGTACCTTACCGGCTTTTTCTAGGTGCTTCTTCTCCCCAGCCAGAAACAGCCTTTGATGGACGCCCTGGGGGACCATCCTGTCAGACACAAAAAAGATAAATCTGAAACTTACTTATACTATTTCAACTGGTATGATCGACTCGGCAAACTTATCAAACTGCAAAAAATAATTGAATCTCAATTAGACAAACTGGTGATAAATATTGTGAGCAATGGTCCATGCAATCAGAGCACATTGACAGGCATCAACCACATCACCGAGTCAGACCACCCATTCCACAAAGGTGTCTCATACGACAAGCAGGTTGGGCGGTACAAATACTAACCTGATATACCACTAGGCATTGTGAACAAATCAGGACAAAGCGATAGTATATGGATTACCTTGTTTGATGGAGGTTGTGATACAGGGGCATCTTCTTCCGGTCCATCATCGTCGACAGCAGCAGCACTACGCTGTGCTCGACGGCCTTGCTTCGCACTCTGAAACAATTTAACTTGATTGACAGCCGATAACTTTTCACATGAGCATTTCCAAATTTGCCAGCAACGTTGCTATGGCAACTTTGGAAACTTCCCGATTTATCAAATATTGATGGGTTTCCATCTCAATCCAAGGAATATGAAATACAATCTGACTGATCATTTAAACAAATGGTAAGAATTCTGCCCGTATCCCAACACATTTGATAGATCTGAGTTGGAAGAAATACGCTAACTGTAAATATATATAATATATATAACTTTTGGAGGGGGATACGGGCGGAAGTCTTTCCAACATAATAATCTGGCTATGATAATCAAAATGCATTTACCCTTGACTTCGCAGTCGGTTGGAAATCTAGATCTTCGTCGTCCATCTCGTTCGTAAACAAACAATACTCTGCTGTTTCCCTGGAATGCGGGAGCGTCGAGATAAACGGTTTTTATTATCTGTTACAAAGCAACTTCGCTGAAAGGTAACAGAAAACAAATTCCGCTTAAAACATTGTTACTTCCTTTAGATAGTATAATAAATAATAATATGATAATCCAAAACTAATGGATATCCGAAATTGAAAATAACTAAAATAAATCAAAACTATACAACGATGTATCCCTATGAAGAACTCTTTTGATAGGAAGTCACGATACAAGTTAGACTGGTTCCACTGACGGTTCGCGCAGCGAACTTATAGACTGGTTCCCGCTCATTCCCAAGCTCCTCACAGCGATATTCCGTTCGCGGAGAGAATAACGAAGGTATCACGCGCTGGGAAGGAGCTTGATTTATTCCCAAGACCCAGGCTCCTCACCGCGATAGCCCGTTCGCGGAGCTCTCTATGTTACGAAGGTGTCACGCGCTAGGATGGAGCTTGCCCAAGACCTACAACGATATAACCCAAATAGGAATGTATAAATTAACAAAGATGTTACCATTAAATGTTAACCAACTTGTAATACTACTAATTCGTTTCCGATTGTTACAAGCTCCATCTCAGCGCGCCACATCCAGTATCGTTGTGCGGAGTTAGTTGTGCCGGTACCCGATATCCATTGCGCAATGGATTCTGCGCTCGCGTGTCTAAGTTAGAGACAAGACACTAGTTTGACCAGCTGAAAAGACTAACGATGTTGTTGTCGAGAATAGTTCAAAACCACAGTTTGGCCAACCGATTACGAACTTCTGTGTTGGTTTGCAGACCAAAGATTAAACGTGAAATTTTCTCGATGTCATGTTTAGGAAACCAGACCCAAAGATGCCACGCGCGTTTGCTGTTCAACAGTTTACTACAGTTGGGTGCAAAATGTGACTTTCTTCCCAAGACCTCGCCAAGGACGATCATATCGAGGCATAAGTCTTATAAAACAAAACCAAAGACCACGTTACCCTTCGAAGTCGATTCCAATGTGTCGAAAGATGTGTTAGTGTATTCATTCAGTGGGAGTCGCTTCTACAAGTTGATCACATTGTTTGGGGCTTCCCAGTTTATATTTTGGATGTATTTGTCAATATTTTCATTCAGCAATTTGAAAGACATTTCACAAGAGGACGAGGACAAACAGTTAGGCATTAAAAGAGATGATAGTCTGGTTTTTAAGGTACTGATGCCGGTGAAAGGCTATTACAAAACAGGACTTGGCTTTCTCTTCCTGAGCGTAGGTGTGTATTCAGATGGTACAGCGTTAGCATGAACACGTGTTTGATTATCTGCTGCCAGTGGGTTCGAATCCAAGAGTTGTCCCATTTATGACCCTACTTTGTCAGCACCAGACCAGTGGTTGTGTGTTTCAGTTAAGTTGTAAATGTAACATGGTTTATCTGTTAACTGACATTCAGTGAATGTGATTGTAGAATTTAGTCCCAAATCAGTTATAAATACTTTATGATAGTGGCTGCATGTATGTGTGTGGAACATGTTGAATATTTGGCATGAAGCCGAGATGAGTCAACCATATTTATCACCTGGCAAATAGATGATTTACCCATCTGTGTCAACATGGTCGAAAAAATGTCTAATTATCAATGAAAAAATATTTTTATGACTGAAGGGGGAAAAGATTTTTTTGATAGTTTCATTTTACACACCCACCAAGTCACCAACTCAACTGGCTGAAAGTCATGTGACCTCATGTCGAATGTTATATATCCATTATCTATCCGACCTTTGTTACTTTTTTTACATTTTTGATATCTCCCCTGAAACCACAAGGTGTATGAAGTTTAAACTTTGGGTATGTGGCACCAGTTATGTCGTCTCTTAAAAGTGCACACAGAATTCACGTCTGATTTTAAACATGGCCGCTGTGACAGCCATTTTGGAAATGCAACTTTTGGCTTTTACTCTGTTACTTCTGTGCATGTGTCATAAAATGTCATATTCAGCAGGTTTGTGCTATGCCAAACACATTTCATATCTTGCTGTGTATTGTGATATTTGACACAACTTGAGGAACTATTATGGCTGCCAATAGCATGGGTACCCAGGTAGGGCCGGGTAATAGGGTGTTGGGGACCCAGATAGTAAATATGAACTTAAATTATCCCAGCCCTAGACATTTCTAGCTCAATTGTCTAATAATCTGGGTCACAGAATTAGTTACATTGAACTGTAACTGGAGGGTAAAAATGAAAAAAGACATAAGCAAGAAATATTGCAGATGTACAGTGCTCCCTGAAATACAGATTTAACTAGCATAGCTTAGATCATGTAGATTCCTATAAGTATGAAATTTATCTGGTATCAGCTTGTTTATGGCAGGTTAATGCTGCATTAATGTTAAATGTCAGGTAAATCCCTGTATATTCCTGTTGAAGAACCAGAAATACTCAAGTATTCATATTTTATAAGGGTGTTAATGATTAGAAAAAATATTATCAATATGTCAACTCAAAAGTATCAAGATATATATGGATTTATAACAAAATTATTTATTCTGTATGTGTATAGATACAAATTTCCTGTTTATACCTGCAGTTATATAATGCTAAATATGAATTATGACTGGTGAATTAGGGGTGCATTATTTTCAGAATCAAGGAAGTACTTGCTTGATAAAGGTACCTAGTTCTAGCAGATTTGCCTACCATAAAGATCTGGGGTAGACTAGGTCTTCAGCAACCCTTGCTTGCCGTAAAAGGCAACTAACGGGATCGGGTGGTCAGACTCGCTGACTTGGTTAATACATGTCATTGTATCCCATTTGCGTGGATCAATGTTCATGAAGGCAATCACTGGATTGTCTGGTCCAGGTTCAATTATTTACAGACCGCCATCATATAGCATTGAAAAAGTAAAGTTGAAATGGATAAGTCAACTTGGTCTTCCTGATCCCTGTCTGTTGATAAGTTGTGATCATTGGTTTCAGGTTCAATGGTGCTGTTCATCTGTTGGATCTACCCACAACGTGCTGTGAACCAACTCTGGCTGTTGAAGGGAGGCAAGGGGGTACAGATATCCACCTACACTTGGTTTGGAAACACACGCTCCTTCTCATCGCCACTCAACCATCTCTCCTGCCTGCAGTCACGCACAAGCTCTTCATCACAGATTTCAATGAAAGTCAAACACCATTGGTTCCATTTTCTCTTGGACAAAAAAGGAATCTTTCACAACACAGAGCTTTTTGATCGTGCTGTTGGACTTCAGAGGAATCTAAAGAAATAATTCATGAACTATTAGTTGGTTTCTTTCATAGTGTACAGAGTACATGTGTTATAAATATATCGTGTGTGCAGTGTGTTCATCAGTTATGATGCTGTGTAATCATTGTTATCAAGGAGCAGGTTTAGATACATTAAGGTACTGAGTATGCCCGAACATACTGTGTGATCGTAGTGTCACCAGTGGTTATTATGAGTTACGGATCGCCTCCGTGCTCTAGTGGTAGAGTGTCTGCCCGGAGAGCGGAAGGTCCGGGGTTCGATCCATGGCCTTGTCATACCAAAAGACATTAAAAGATGGTACTTGTTGTTACCCTGTCTGGCGCTCGGCATAAGGGGGCTAAAACAAGGACTGGTCGGCTCGGAGTCAGTATACTGTGTCTGAGTGGGGTATTCATGTTAAACTGCGGCATGTTATCTCAGTTAGCTAGCACTATAAATCGGCATCAGTCCGAACTAGTACAAGCAGCCACACAAACACACACACGTACATGCACGTCACTATATAAGTGCAATAATCTTGGACACGACGTTAAACCCCATTTTACCCATCTATTATGAGTTACGTCCCTTCTATGCCTCCACTACTGACCAATCAGATTCCAACTCTCATATCACTTTCATTTGCTGCAATGGCCTAGTGGTAACGTCCGGCCAGAGAGTGAAAGGTTCAATCCCTGGCCTCATCATACCTAAATGCATTAATAGATGGTACTTGTTGTTATCCTGTCCGGCACTCGGCAGTAAGGGGCTAAAACAATACTGTGTCTGAGTGGGATATTCATGTTAAACTGTGACATGGTATATCAGTGACCTAGCACTATAAATCGACATCAGTCCGGACTAGTACAAGCAGCCATACCACACACACACTTGCATGCACGTCTCTGTATAAGTGTAATTATCTTGGACGTGATGTTAAACGCAATTTCTCCCCACTCCACCTCAAACAAAATGACGGTGCCTAGTCAAGACGATCTCATCGATAATAAAGATCTTTATTTTAATAAAACAGGTTTAAACTCGCGAAGTGCATCACATCACTTGAGCACCTTGATTTAAAACAATGTCTGTCAACACTAAGTTGACAGTCCACATGTTCTGAATATCCTGCAAGTAAACAAATTTGGCATGGCAGTTGCCATGTTTATTAACCAGATGTCGATTTCGCTACAGGATTTTGATTGGACTATGCATAGACATGTTAGTCCAGGCAAAATATAACTCCAAATTTCCAGCCTAGTCGTCAAGGATGGTAACTGGACTTTAAAAGACAGTCAACTCCCTTGCCTCGGGAAGATGGTATTATTTATGATCTTAATAGACTGTATGTTAACTCAGATACTGGCTTGTAGCCATTACTTGTAAGAACATTTTTAAGAAATCTTGCATTGGTCCTCATGCATTTATATTTATTTTGAAATATTTCAGAAATAACCACACAATACCAGGGGCCAATTGGAGAAGCATGTGGGATACAACCTACAATTTAAATCATGGAATAATATCCCATTCAATATTGTAGACATTCTTGGCAGTTATAGTAGGCTATAGTCTTGACTAACAATGTTTCAGTTGTGGATCAAATAAAACAATGGCTGTCTCTTTTTAGCTGACAGTCAGTACATGGTGGTTAACCAAGGTGCAAGATATATGGCTGAGTCAGTACTGATGCAACCTTAAGTATTTACTGTGTCACTGGGTCACTAATTGCAAGAAATATGAAAGTCCTTTATGGAAGATACTTCTGCCTCCTGAGATTATCTACTCTATCAGCATCAACAAGTGCATTTCTGATCATTACATGGAGGGCAGTGTTAGCCCAGTGGTCAATCGTGTTGCAATTCACTATTCAGAGTTATGTCCCTTAGCTATGACAGGATTTGCCGATCAGGAGCTGGAATCTCAGATTCACCTTCATTATGATCCTTTGGTCTGTCATCTCCTTCCGTTTGGGGCTTCCCAGTTTATATTTTGGATGTATTTGTCAATATTTTCATTCAGCAATTTGAAAGACATTTCACAAGAGGACGAGGACAAACAGTTAGGCATTAAAAGAGATGATAGTCTGGTTTTTAAGGTACTGATGCCGGTGAAAGGCTATTACAAAACAGGACTTGGCTTTCTCTTCCTGAGCGTAGGTGTGTATTCAGATGGTACAGCGTTAGCATGAACACGTGTTTGATTATCTGCTGCCAGTGGGTTCGAATCCAAGAGTTGTCCCATTTATGACCCTACTTTGTCAGCACCAGACCAGTGGTTGTGTGTTTCAGTTAAGTTGTAAATGTAACATGGTTTATCTGTTAACTGACATTCAGTGAATGTGATTGTAGAATTTAGTCCCAAATCAGTTATAAATACTTTATGATAGTGGCTGCATGTATGTGTGTGGAACATGTTGAATATTTGGCATGAAGCCGAGATGAGTCAACCATATTTATCACCTGGCAAATAGATGATTTACCCATCTGTGTCAACATGGTCGAAAAAATGTCTAATTATCAATGAAAAAATATTTTTATGACTGAAGGGGGAAAAGATTTTTTTGATAGTTTCATTTTACACACCCACCAAGTCACCAACTCAACTGGCTGAAAGTCATGTGACCTCATGTCGAATGTTATATATCCATTATCTATCCGACCTTTGTTACTTTTTTTACATTTTTGATATCTCCCCTGAAACCACAAGGTGTATGAAGTTTAAACTTTGGGTATGTGGCACCAGTTATGTCGTCTCTTAAAAGTGCACACAGAATTCACGTCTGATTTTAAACATGGCCGCTGTGACAGCCATTTTGGAAATGCAACTTTTGGCTTTTACTCTGTTACTTCTGTGCGTGTGTCATAAAATGTCATATTCAGCAGGTTTGTGCTATGCCAAACACATTTCATATCTTGCTGTGTATTGTGATATTTGACACAACTTGAGGAACTATTATGGCTGCCAATAGCATGGGTACCCAGGTAGGGCCGGGTAATAGGGTGTTGGGGACCCAGATAGTAAATATGAACTTAAATTATCCCAGCCCTAGACATTTCTAGCTCAATTGTCTAATAATCTGGGTCACAGAATTAGTTACATTGAACTGTAACTGGAGGGTAAAAATGAAAAAAGACATAAGCAAGAAATATTGCAGATGTACAGTGCTCCCTGAAATACAGATTTAACTAGCATAGCTTAGATCATGTAGATTCCTATAAGTATGAAATTTATCTGGTATCAGCTTGTTTATGGCAGGTTAATGCTGCATTAATGTTAAATGTCAGGTAAATCCCTGTATATTCCTGTTGAAGAACCAGAAATACTCAAGTATTCATATTTTATAAGGGTGTTAATGATTAGAAAAAATATTATCAATATGTCAACTCAAAAGTATCAAGATATATATGGATTTATAACAAAATTATTTATTCTGTATGTGTATAGATACAAATTTCCTGTTTATACCTGCAGTTATATAATGCTAAATATGAATTATGACTGGTGAATTAGGGGTGCATTATTTTCAGAATCAAGGAAGTACTTGCTTGATAAAGGTACCTAGTTCTAGCAGATTTGCCTACCATAAAGATCTGGGGTAGACTAGGTCTTCAGCAACCCTTGCTTGCCGTAAAAGGCAACTAACGGGATCGGGTGGTCAGACTCGCTGACTTGGTTAATACATGTCATTGTATCCCATTTGCGTGGATCAATGTTCATGAAGGCAATCACTGGATTGTCTGGTCCAGGTTCAATTATTTACAGACCGCCATCATATAGCATTGAAAAAGTAAAGTTGAAATGGATAAGTCAACTTGGTCTTCCTGATCCCTGTCTGTTGATAAGTTGTGATCATTGGTTTCAGGTTCAATGGTGCTGTTCATCTGTTGGATCTACCCACAACGTGCTGTGAACCAACTCTGGCTGTTGAAGGGAGGCAAGGGGGTACAGATATCCACCTACACTTGGTTTGGAAACACACGCTCCTTCTCATCGCCACTCAACCATCTCTCCTGCCTGCAGTCACGCACAAGCTCTTCATCACAGATTTCAATGAAAGTCAAACACCATTGGTTCCATTTTCTCTTGGACAAAAAAGGAATCTTTCACAACACAGAGCTTTTTGATCATGCTGTTGGACTTCAGAGGAATCTAAAGAAATAATTCATGAACTATTAGTTGGTTTCTTTCATAGTGTACAGAGTACATGTGTTATAAATATATCGTGTGTGCAGTGTGTTCATCAGTTATGATGCTGTGTAATCATTGTTATCAAGGAGCAGGTTTAGATACATTAAGGTACTGAGTATGCCCGAACATACTGTGTGATCGTAGTGTCACCAGTGGTTATTATGAGTTACGGATCGCCTCCGTGCTCTAGTGGTAGAGTGTCTGCCCGGAGAGCGGAAGGTCCGGGGTTCGATCCATGGCCTTGTCATACCAAAAGACATTAAAAGATGGTACTTGTTGTTACCCTGTCTGGCGCTCGGCATAAGGGGGCTAAAACAAGGACTGGTCGGCTCGGAGTCAGTATACTGTGTCTGAGTGGGGTATTCATGTTAAACTGCGGCATGTTATCTCAGTTAGCTAGCACTATAAATCGGCATCAGTCCGAACTAGTACAAGCAGCCACACAAACACACACACGTACATGCACGTCACTATATAAGTGCAATAATCTTGGACACGACGTTAAACCCCATTTTACCCATCTATTATGAGTTACGTCCCTTCTATGCCTCCACTACTGACCAATCAGATTCCAACTCTCATATCACTTTCATTTGCTGCAATGGCCTAGTGGTAACGTCCGGCCAGAGAGTGAAAGGTTCAATCCCTGGCCTCATCATACCTAAATGCATTAATAGATGGTACTTGTTGTTATCCTGTCCGGCACTCGGCAGTAAGGGGCTAAAACAATACTGTGTCTGAGTGGGATATTCATGTTAAACTGTGACATGGTATATCAGTGACCTAGCACTATAAATCGACATCAGTCCGGACTAGTACAAGCAGCCATACCACACACACACTTGCATGCACGTCTCTGTATAAGTGTAATTATCTTGGACGTGATGTTAAACGCAATTTCTCCCCACTCCACCTCAAACAAAATGACGGTGCCTAGTCAAGACGATCTCATCGATAATAAAGATCTTTATTTTAATAAAACAGGTTTAAACTCGCGAAGTGCATCACATCACTTGAGCACCTTGATTTAAAACAATGTCTGTCAACACTAAGTTGACAGTCCACATGTTCTGAATATCCTGCAAGTAAACAAATTTGGCATGGCAGTTGCCATGTTTATTAACCAGATGTCGATTTCGCTACAGGATTTTGATTGGACTATGCATAGACATGTTAGTCCAGGCAAAATATAACTCCAAATTTCCAGCCTAGTCGTCAAGGATGGTAACTGGACTTTAAAAGACAGTCAACTCCCTTGCCTCGGGAAGATGGTATTATTTATGATCTTAATAGACTGTATGTTAACTCAGATACTGGCTTGTAGCCATTACTTGTAAGAACATTTTTAAGAAATCTTGCATTGGTCCTCATGCATTTATATTTATTTTGAAATATTTCAGAAATAACCACACAATACCAGGGGCCAATTGGAGAAGCATGTGGGATACAACCTACAATTTAAATCATGGAATAATATCCCATTCAATATTGTAGACATTCTTGGCAGTTATAGTAGGCTATAGTCTTGACTAACAATGTTTCAGTTGTGGATCAAATAAAACAATGGCTGTCTCTTTTTAGCTGACAGTCAGTACATGGTGGTTAACCAAGGTGCAAGATATATGGCTGAGTCAGTACTGATGCAACCTTAAGTATTTACTGTGTCACTGGGTCACTAATTGCAAGAAATATGAAAGTCCTTTATGGAAGATACTTCTGCCTCCTGAGATTATCTACTCTATCAGCATCAACAAGTGCATTTCTGATCATTACATGGAGGGCAGTGTTAGCCCAGTGGTCAATCGTGTTGCAATTCACTATTCAGAGTTATGTCCCTTAGCTATGACAGGATTTGCCGATCAGGAGCTGGAATCTCAGATTCACCTTCATTATGATCCTTTGGTCTGTCATCTCCTTCCGTTTGGGGCTTCCCAGTTTATATTTTGGATGTATTTGTCAATATTTTCATTCAGCAATTTGAAAGACATTTCACAAGAGGACGAGGACAAACAGTTAGGCATTAAAAGAGATGATAGTCTGGTTTTTAAGGTACTGATGCCGGTGAAAGGCTATTACAAAACAGGACTTGGCTTTCTCTTCCTGAGCGTAGGTGTGTATTCAGATGGTACAGCGTTAGCATGAACACGTGTTTGATTATCTGCTGCCAGTGGGTTCGAATCCAAGAGTTGTCCCATTTATGACCCTACTTTGTCAGCACCAGACCAGTGGTTGTGTGTTTCAGTTAAGTTGTAAATGTAACATGGTTTATCTGTTAACTGACATTCAGTGAATGTGATTGTAGAATTTAGTCCCAAATCAGTTATAAATACTTTATGATAGTGGCTGCATGTATGTGTGTGGAACATGTTGAATATTTGGCATGAAGCCGAGATGAGTCAACCATATTTATCACCTGGCAAATAGATGATTTACCCATCTGTGTCAACATGGTCGAAAAAATGTCTAATTATCAATGAAAAAATATTTTTATGACTGAAGGGGGAAAAGATTTTTTTGATAGTTTCATTTTACACACCCACCAAGTCACCAACTCAACTGGCTGAAAGTCATGTGACCTCATGTCGAATGTTATATATCCATTATCTATCCGACCTTTGTTACTTTTTTTACATTTTTGATATCTCCCCTGAAACCACAAGGTGTATGAAGTTTAAACTTTGGGTATGTGGCACCAGTTATGTCGTCTCTTAAAAGTGCACACAGAATTCACGTCTGATTTTAAACATGGCCGCTGTGACAGCCATTTTGGAAATGCAACTTTTGGCTTTTACTCTGTTACTTCTGTGCATGTGTCATAAAATGTCATATTCAGCAGGTTTGTGCTATGCCAAACACATTTCATATCTTGCTGTGTATTGTGATATTTGACACAACTTGAGGAACTATTATGGCTGCCAATAGCATGGGTACCCAGGTAGGGCCGGGTAATAGGGTGTTGGGGACCCAGATAGTAAATATGAACTTAAATTATCCCAGCCCTAGACATTTCTAGCTCAATTGTCTAATAATCTGGGTCACAGAATTAGTTACATTGAACTGTAACTGGAGGGTAAAAATGAAAAAAGACATAAGCAAGAAATATTGCAGATGTACAGTGCTCCCTGAAATACAGATTTAACTAGCATAGCTTAGATCATGTAGATTCCTATAAGTATGAAATTTATCTGGTATCAGCTTGTTTATGGCAGGTTAATGCTGCATTAATGTTAAATGTCAGGTAAATCCCTGTATATTCCTGTTGAAGAACCAGAAATACTCAAGTATTCATATTTTATAAGGGTGTTAATGATTAGAAAAAATATTATCAATATGTCAACTCAAAAGTATCAAGATATATATGGATTTATAACAAAATTATTTATTCTGTATGTGTATAGATACAAATTTCCTGTTTATACCTGCAGTTATATAATGCTAAATATGAATTATGACTGGTGAATTAGGGGTGCATTATTTTCAGAATCAAGGAAGTACTTGCTTGATAAAGGTACCTAGTTCTAGCAGATTTGCCTACCATAAAGATCTGGGGTAGACTAGGTCTTCAGCAACCCTTGCTTGCCGTAAAAGGCAACTAACGGGATCGGGTGGTCAGACTCGCTGACTTGGTTAATACATGTCATTGTATCCCATTTGCGTGGATCAATGTTCATGAAGGCAATCACTGGATTGTCTGGTCCAGGTTCAATTATTTACAGACCGCCATCATATAGCATTGAAAAAGTAAAGTTGAAATGGATAAGTCAACTTGGTCTTCCTGATCCCTGTCTGTTGATAAGTTGTGATCATTGGTTTCAGGTTCAATGGTGCTGTTCATCTGTTGGATCTACCCACAACGTGCTGTGAACCAACTCTGGCTGTTGAAGGGAGGCAAGGGGGTACAGATATCCACCTACACTTGGTTTGGAAACACACGCTCCTTCTCATCGCCACTCAACCATCTCTCCTGCCTGCAGTCACGCACAAGCTCTTCATCACAGATTTCAATGAAAGTCAAACACCATTGGTTCCATTTTCTCTTGGACAAAAAAGGAATCTTTCACAACACAGAGCTTTTTGATCATGCTGTTGGACTTCAGAGGAATCTAAAGAAATAATTCATGAACTATTAGTTGGTTTCTTTCATAGTGTACAGAGTACATGTGTTATAAATATATCGTGTGTGCAGTGTGTTCATCAGTTATGATGCTGTGTAATCATTGTTATCAAGGAGCAGGTTTAGATACATTAAGGTACTGAGTATGCCCGAACATACTGTGTGATCGTAGTGTCACCAGTGGTTATTATGAGTTACGGATCGCCTCCGTGCTCTAGTGGTAGAGTGTCTGCCCGGAGAGCGGAAGGTCCGGGGTTCGATCCATGGCCTTGTCATACCAAAAGACATTAAAAGATGGTACTTGTTGTTACCCTGTCTGGCGCTCGGCATAAGGGGGCTAAAACAAGGACTGGTCGGCTCGGAGTCAGTATACTGTGTCTGAGTGGGGTATTCATGTTAAACTGCGGCATGTTATCTCAGTTAGCTAGCACTATAAATCGGCATCAGTCCGAACTAGTACAAGCAGCCACACAAACACACACACGTACATGCACGTCACTATATAAGTGCAATAATCTTGGACACGACGTTAAACCCCATTTTACCCATCTATTATGAGTTACGTCCCTTCTATGCCTCCACTACTGACCAATCAGATTCCAACTCTCATATCACTTTCATTTGCTGCAATGGCCTAGTGGTAACGTCCGGCCAGAGAGTGAAAGGTTCAATCCCTGGCCTCATCATACCTAAATGCATTAATAGATGGTACTTGTTGTTATCCTGTCCGGCACTCGGCAGTAAGGGGCTAAAACAATACTGTGTCTGAGTGGGATATTCATGTTAAACTGTGACATGGTATATCAGTGACCTAGCACTATAAATCGACATCAGTCCGGACTAGTACAAGCAGCCATACCACACACACACTTGCATGCACGTCTCTGTATAAGTGTAATTATCTTGGACGTGATGTTAAACGCAATTTCTCCCCACTCCACCTCAAACAAAATGACGGTGCCTAGTCAAGACGATCTCATCGATAATAAAGATCTTTATTTTAATAAAACAGGTTTAAACTCGCGAAGTGCATCACATCACTTGAGCACCTTGATTTAAAACAATGTCTGTCAACACTAAGTTGACAGTCCACATGTTCTGAATATCCTGCAAGTAAACAAATTTGGCATGGCAGTTGCCATGTTTATTAACCAGATGTCGATTTCGCTACGGGATTTTGATTGGACTATGCATAGACATGTTAGTCCAGGCAAAATATAACTCCAAATTTCCAGCCTAGTCGTCAAGGATGGTAACTGGACTTTAAAAGACAGTCAACTCCCTTGCCTCGGGAAGATGGTATTATTTATGATCTTAATAGACTGTATGTTAACTCAGATACTGGCTTGTAGCCATTACTTGTAAGAACATTTTTAAGAAATCTTGCATTGGTCCTCATGCATTTATATTTATTTTGAAATATTTCAGAAATAACCACACAATACCAGGGGCCAATTGGAGAAGCATGTGGGATACAACCTACAATTTAAATCATGGAATAATATCCCATTCAATATTGTAGACATTCTTGGCAGTTATAGTAGGCTATAGTCTTGACTAACAATGTTTCAGTTGTGGATCAAATAAAACAATGGCTGTCTCTTTTTAGCTGACAGTCAGTACATGGTGGTTAACCAAGGTGCAAGATATATGGCTGAGTCAGTACTGATGCAACCTTAAGTATTTACTGTGTCACTGGGTCACTAATTGCAAGAAATATGAAAGTCCTTTATGGAAGATACTTCTGCCTCCTGAGATTATCTACTCTATCAGCATCAACAAGTGCATTTCTGATCATTACATGGAGGGCAGTGTTAGCCCAGTGGTCAATCGTGTTGCAATTCACTATTCAGAGTTATGTCCCTTAGCTATGACAGGATTTGCCGATCAGGAGCTGGAATCTCAGATTCACCTTCATTATGATCCTTTGGTCTGTCATCTCCTTCCTCAGGTGGTTTCATCTGTTTGTCTATCCTCACACAATATGTACGCCCTGATGTTACTGAAATTTGGTTTATGGCTACACTTACTAATTATTACAGGTGCTTATTTAACCATGGACTGTTAACTGAACCAATCGTTCGCTGATTGCTCTCAGAATACTCACATTTCCTTTGTAGATAGAAACCGGTTGATTAAGAGCATTAATATTTATTCACAATGCAAACCAGAAAAAAAACTGCGGTCACTTAATTGACATGTACCAAGGGTCCAAGGCTACTTTGTGCTGTGGACCTGGAGTCTGGTCTACACTGCACTGAAACATGCGTCACCACTCGCGTCTTTCCGTCACCCTCCTGAAAACTTGATCATGGAATGACACAGATGGTCACGAATATCCAGGGAATTTCCAGGGCCTCGTTTAACGAAGCACTCTTAGCTACAACTATTGTAAGTCTGTGTAAAACTATGGGAGTATACAATCATGGTGGCGGTCGGGTAGCCTAGTGGTTAAAGCTCGTTCGTCACGCCGAAGACCTGGTTCGATTTCCGACATGGGTACAATGTGTGAAGCCCATTTCTGGTGACTCCCGGGATATTGCTGGAATATTGCTAAAAGCAGCGTAAAGCCATACTCACTCACTCACTACGACCAAGGATCTCCATGTGAAACGGGACCTGAACACTGCTGTCAATCAAAGACCCTAACAGGAAAGAACGTGATACAAATCTTTAATAAAAACACCGACATTCCATTCTCGCGCGATCACTGAATGCGCCAACCTTCTGATGGTACGGAGCGTCTGCCGGGCGAGCGTAAGGTCACCGGTGCAGTCTTTGGCCGTGTTATGCCAAAATAAGATGAAGAAGGCACTTTTTGTTACCCTGCCTGAGTGCGACGTAAAACAACAAACCAACAACAACAAAGCAAAGCTTTCCAAAAGTGTTATGGTAGACAGGTGGAGGACATTTCCAAATTTGACGCATCAGTTACAAAAATGGTGTCCGATGCAATTCCGACTTTTGACTTGTACCATATGTTACCAAATGGTAAAGCGACCCGACTTACAGTAGAGATTATTTAATGTTATGAACATGTTTTGTCGCTTTTTATTCGATTGAAGTTCCATCTGTTAATCTGAACAGTTGGCTTCTCAAGCCAAACAAATTATACTCTATGATTAGTCTGTCATACAGCCCATGCAAGTCTATTATATTTGGCAAGTCTAGATTACTGCAGTATCATGCTGAATATGAAGAAAGTCTCTGGACTCCTTTTTATTATATTTTATAACAATAATGTAACAACTGTTTTTTCTGTAAAATATGTTCATTTCAGAGACTAGATGTTTGTCTACTCTTCGTTGTGCAGAAACTCTCATGGTGCAGGAAGCTAGATACAGTGGCCAGGGATGATTGACAATCAACTACCAACAAACGTTGTTGTGGGCATTGTTAGGAGAATCTTCAGAAAATTCGCGTTGATTAAGATTTTAAAAACAATTAAATAAAATTTAAACACAAAGGGAAGGCTCTTTGACAAGACAGTGGAACATGGTTATTATTTATATTTCAAAGGATTGCTTTTCATTGTCACAAACCTTGGTATGTATAATGCTAAAGTGAAGTCTTAAAGTATCAGAGTCTTATAACAAATGACACACGAGCAGAACACAGACACTCACAGACCTCTCACAGAAATCGTGTTCAATATTAATATTAAATAACTAAACAGGCATGACGAACTGAAAATGATCCTTCATGTGTCATTATATATAGACACATGTTTCAGTAAAGTTTTGACAGGCAGAAATTGACACAAGGCATATGTTTCGGTGAATGGCTTCAAACGGGGAAAGAGGCGGTCGGGTAGCCTAGTGGTTAAAGCGTTCGCTCGTCACGCCGAAGACCCGGGTTCGATTCCCGACTTGAGTACAATGTGTGAAGCCCATTTCTGGTCTCCCCCGCCGTGATATTGCTGGAATATAGCTAAAAACGGCGCAAAACCATAAACACTCACTCACTCACTCAAACGGGGAAATATTTAGTTAATCAAAACCATAGAACGTTCAAACAGTAGGGCGTGAGGTCTACCACGGAGGTAGATTTAGCAGGTGCGCGCTTGAGGAAAGGATAGAGTTACCTCCCTTTACGTTCTCATGCATTGAAGATTCTGTTTGTTGAACTTGGAGACGAGTGAGCTGACTGGATCTCGAGAGGTGTACACAATGGGTTCTAACGGGACTACGATACCTAACACAAACACATCATCTGCAGCAAAACACCGGTGGAAAATACTTGCACGAGTGAGACGATGGTTTATATAATTTCAAATTGCATGTACCGTATTTGTATGTATCGACACACCATGTATCTTCCACTAGCCTCCTGTCTGCTAGAGTTCACAACTGACTACTGTAATTTGTAAATTTACTTCAATTCGTACTGTACACATTCAGAGATAGAGATCAGTGAAGATCTACCCTGATGTCAGAAATATGCGGCGTGGTTACGCAAAATGGGGAGGAATGTGTTTTTCAGTGCCAGACCATTCGACAACCAGTCTATACGTTCGCTGTTCCAACACCGGCTAATTACTAAAGCGCCCCCCCCCCCCCCCCCCCCCCGAGTCTACCTGTCATATCCCGCAGTTAAAGAAGAGTTATATACGTTTTTCATTGACTTCTATTTACTAACAAAAATACACTAGTAAGGTTTTTTTTAAAGTAATTATTACTATTAACTTCATGTTTGTTTAAAATAGATGCACAACATGGCCAGTCAAATGACATTACAGATAAGAAGGAACATCAACTGATGCATAACCGGTACATACAATTGTTCTGATGCAAAATTATCATCAGTATAAGTTTGATCAAAAGGTGAATTACCTTGTGTAGCTTAATTTGTAACATAACTTCAGCGACAAGGTTATATGATTCTTAGAAACTGGAAACAAGTTCATGCACAGATGAAGAACCTAATCACCAGCCCATTTTCCTGCTCAGAGGAACACAATTGGCTACTACTGTTTGAGGAGGTACCACTGTATGTACAGTTATGTTATCTTGCTCCAGGCACTGGTTGGAGACCGGTCAAGTGATCCAGATGACCGGATATACTCAGTACGAAGGTTCCAGTGCTTTGGTCTTTTCCAATCCCACATTGTTGAAGACAGGAGGAGCTCGGATGCTGACTGGTTTACTTACACATCGCAAGAATTTGAAAAACTGAACCTACTTGTCAGGTAAATATTATGCCATTAGTGGCTGCAATAATCACAATAGTAGGACAACCAAGAAGTAATTAGCAGCAGAATACTGGGAATGTGAAATAGCAGAGAGAATCACTGAGTTTGTTTGTCTTTTGTGTTTTGTTAACATTGCAGAAGATGAAGCACTGGTTTTACCATGCAATGTGACATGATGGATACATGTTTGTTTGTTTGTTGCTTAACTTCGCACTCAGCAATATTCCAGCTATATTATGGTGGTCTGTAAATAATCGAATCTGGACCAGACAATGCAGTCATTGCTATCATGAGCATCGATTTACGCAATTGGGATACGATGACATAACTCAACCAAGTCAGCGAGCCTGACCACCTGATCCCGGTAGTTGCCTCTTACAACAAGCATGGGTTGCTGAAGGCCTATTCTACCCCGGATCTTTCACGGGTTGATAGATACATTTAGTATATAAATATTCTTGTATGACATTGCATGCCTTGTATATTTAGAGGCCTATATAGAGAGGGGTGTTTGATAGCAAAAAGCACACAATTTCCCTTCTTAAGTAAGAACTTCCAATTCCTGTGGTTTGTTTATTGAGCTATGGGGCCAAATTGAAGAGGTGCCTGTGATTGTTATGAGTTGATTGGCATGTCCCTGTGGGGATCTGAGAGTAGAATTGGTCCTCACTGACTATGCTTGTTGTACAAGTCTATCAGATGGTCTAGCCCTGTAACTTGGACGAGTGTGTTCTTATGCCTTTTTTTCACTCACGTGTTTGGCTGTCCCAGCATTGATTATTAATTAACAGGCTGCCAATCAGCCATATACATTGTATCTGGAATATTGCTGACTGTGGTGTAAAACAACATTCATTCACCCACTCTTTGTTTATCGTGATCATAATATACTACTCCACTTCTGATAGGGATATTGTTATGTTTCATTTGACACACAAGAATTATTCTTATAATACGGCAGGTGTGGGGCTGGGACGAGTCCAAGTTAACACCCGGGTACCCACCCCCCTACTACATGACCCTACCCAGGTACCCGATGTAGGTCTCATGAGAAAGGTACAAACTGTCTGATTGGGAAGGGTTTGACCGTAGCCCTTACGAAATGTACTAGATACACCTTTAAAACCTTCTGGTCATGCATACACTGAAGTTGACTGAAAATATAAAAGTCCGATGGAATGGATGTATAGTCCAAAAGACAGATTAGTGAATTGTGGTGTAACCATAGAGTTTTAGAATTTTTTTGTCATTAAACAATACATCACGTGACTAACCACGGATCCGGGTAGACCTGTGGGTCCCCATGTCATACTCAGAACCCACCCGACCCGAGTACCCAAGTTACCCGTCCCAGCCCTAGGCAAGTGTATGTTTAAATAGAAGGACAAATGTGATCAACCCTATCAAACGTTGAGTAGTATATGTGAAATGTCATCTGGATTCCAATGTGGTGACAAGACACTCTTTCTTCAGGCAACTGCGAGCCGAGAGTACAGTGAAAATAGATTCCCTTCTTGGATTTAACAACACAGGCAATATATGTAAGTCATCCAGAAGGTTATACATGATATAGTCTCGTTCTTCTATTCTCTGCACAGATGTATTTGCTTGGTGAATAGATATACATTTATGGTAGTTTGTATGTGATAGTGTCTGTACACTTGAACAAGAAAACTCAACTTCAACAAAAAATTTAGCAGTTATAAGCTTTTCTCAGAACTCAAATGAGCATGCCACCTGTCGCCATCCTGGGACCCCCTTGTTCATGCCTTGGACACCCCAAATCATAACTGACAGTTGAGACTCTCCGATAGACAAATAGACATCTTCCCGGGGTAAGGGTCCCTGATGCTTGCTGAACTAGGCTGGAATTCTAGAGTTACATTTTGGCAGGACTAACGAGTCCATGCATAGTCAAATCAAAATCGCGTAATGAACTAGACATCCTGTCCATAAACAACATGGATTTCAACATGCAGATTTCTGTCAACTGTAGGATTTGCAAAACAAGTGTACCGCCAACTGGGCATTGACAGAGATTTTGCAAATCTTTTCATGTTTATTATCAACGTGTTCAAATGATTTGAGGCACTTCGCAAGGTAAGGCCCGTTTTATGATGATATAGATCTTGACTATCGATGGGATGGTCTTGACTGGGCGCCACCATTTTGTTTAAAGCAATTGTAAGTGATAGAAGAGGTGGAATCTGATTTGTCAATAGGAGTGACATAGAAGAGACATAACCCGTAATAGCCACTGGTGGCGCTTCGATTGAGCCTGGAAATGCCAGCAAAGTTCGTCGAGGGTGGAAACTGGACTTTTATTGTCAGTTAATGCCCTTGTCTCAGGAAGATGACAAATAGATAGACCCAGGCAAATCTCAGGTGATGAAGGTGTATTGTTTTTGATCGTTACAAATGGTTTATGTATTTGCCAACTCAAAACTTTTGTAGAATACAATACATATTTTTATTAAAGTTAAATAATTTCAGCAATTCTGATAAGCATCAGAGATGTGTTCAAAGCAAGTGAATGTGTGTTGGGTACAACTTGAAATTAAGACAAACAATTTTACAATTCTGTTTTATTTCACACGACCAATGTGTTTATTTGGGCCACTGATTCTATATTTTTTGGAAAGAAATCTATAAACCAAGTGATTAGAAAAGATAGCACTAAGTTGCCATTAATCTCTCTGATCATAATACCTGTATATAATATAATTTACTATATAAAGGTAGACATCTTATTGTCAATACACAAGTGGCAACTATTTGTTTCTTTGACAGGTATCTGGCCATCTGAAGAAGTTATGACATATCACTGCCTCAAGGATGTAAACTGGTTTAGGTGAGCAATATCCGCTTGGATAGAACTGATTGAATTCTTATGGACATACCGTAGTTCCTCTAATAGATGAATGGTGTGAAGGGTAGCATCTCATAACTGATGGAGCATGGATACATTGTAAGTGCTGAGACACAACAGTACAGTTTAACAGGGCATCACTGTCAAGTGGATCTCATAATTATCAAAATAAGAAAACAAACTTCAGAGGATTTCAAATTTATGGAACCTACTTGGCATACTTCATACATAGTCATACAGGGTTTATTGTCAGGTCTCAACTCAACTTATCTTGGCTTACCATCAACTTATCCTGGCTTACCATCAACTTATCCTGGCTTACCGTCAACATATCCTGGCTTACCGTCAACTAATCCTGGCTTACCATCAACTTGTCCTGGCTTACCATCAACTAATCCTGGCTTACCATCAACTAATCCCGGCTTACCATCAACTAATCCTGGCTTACCATCAACTTATCCTGGCTTACTGGTAGTTTTCAATATGTTGACTATGTTGCTGAAATATTTGAAATAATTGTGTTATTTCTATTCCAGGAATAAAAGTGTTATAGAACTGGGCGGAGGAATGACCTGTCTGGCAGGTATTGCTGTGAGTAGAATCTCATCTCAGTTAGAGCACACACTGATTGTGCATTTTGTCATAACTATGTGAGTGTTTAATTAAGAAATAAACAATGCATGGTCCGGCAGTGTTTTATTGTATGATGGTACAAATGATGAGAAGATAGTGTTCAACTCTTTATTGCCCGAGTCATATCTCATCCACTTTTGGGGGCAGTCGGGTAGCCTAGTGGTTAAAGCGTTTGCTCGTCACGCCGAAGACCCGGGTTCGAATCCCGACATGAGTACAATGTGTGAAGCCCATTTCTGGTGTCCCCCGCCGTGATATTACTGGAATATTGCTAAAAGCGGCCTTAAACCAAACTCACTCACTCACTCTCCCACTTTTGGATGCGATCGTTCGGAACAACTCACTAGACACTTCCCTCTCAAAAATATTGTTTGTCCAATTTACGACGTCATCAAGTTGCGAACGCATATTCGAATCTCCAGAAATGACGTCATGATAGAACAATGTTTTATTGTGAAATAAATCAAGCTTTGTTCTTCATTGTTCTTTGCAATTCATCGCATAGCTATCTTATATTACTTCATGCGGCCACAGCCCCTACTAACAGTGACATGCCTCAGATGTTGGAGGTGAGGAGATGCATGTATACATGATGTAGAAACAGATGTAGACATGTGTATTTGTTTGTAGGTGGCTGCTTGCACAGAAGCTTCATGTGTTGTGCTCACGGATGGTAATGGAGACTCGGTTAAAAGTGAGCTATACCCTACTTAATATATTATCTGATCAGTCTTGTCACATATTTACCTGATGTTTGTTGTAGAAGCATTTGCTCAGAATGAACAGCAAACTCTAACCTACCAAAAGTAAACATGTAGAACATCAAGATACAGTCAAACACCGTTGTGTCGAATTTGAAGGGACCTTGGTAAATACTTCAAGTTATCTGAGGTTCAACACAACTTTTTACTTTGAGACAACATACATTCCACACATCAAAGTCCGACACAATGGTGTTTGGCTGGATATCATGATCACGATGATTACTTTATCTAGGGATGGTTGAAAGACTATGTCCCTGGAGGCAGAAGTAATTGTGATTGTGTATTTAGAAACACACAACACCCCCTTGTTTCTATCAACATATCAAGTTCACTGCTGTTTAATTGGTCTTTAGATTGATGCTTTTGAAAGATGTTAACACGCACACACAAAAATTCCATATGCTGATCAGAAGAGGCTATATGATGGATCGAGGGGGGGTCAGACTCAATGACCTGGTTGATTGCATGTCATTGTACCTTGATTGTAAACATTAAATGCATTAAGGAGTAATACAGGATAAGTATACAAACGGAAAAAAATATTTAGATTTTACTAATACTTGTTCACAATGATTTTCCTAGTATTTCATAATAAAAACTTTGTTTCAGATCTGGATTTGATGATCAATGAGAACAAGGAGAGCTTCAGTACCACCGCCGTGTCTTCCAGGTACTGTAGGCCTCAGTGCAGCTGTAATAGCAGACTACATCCTTCAGTGCAGCTGTCATAGCAGACTACATCCATCAGTGCAGCTGTCATAGCAGACTACATCCATCAGTGCAGCTGTCATAGCAGACTACATCCATCAGTGCAGCTGTCATAGCAGACTACATCCATCAGTGCAGCTGTCATAGCAGACTACATCCATCAGTGCAGCTGTCATGGCAGACTACATCCATCAGTGCAGCTGTCATAGCAGACTACATCCTTCACTGCAGCTGTCAGGGCAACTGAGTCCATCAGTGCAGCTGTCAGGGCAACTGTGTCCATCAGTGCAGCTGTCAGGGCAACTGAGTCCATCAGTGCAGCTGTCATAGCAGACTACATCCTTCACTGCAGCTGTCATGGCAACTGAGTCCATCAGTGCAGCTGTCAGGGCAACTGAGTCCATCAGTGCAGCTGTCAGGGCAACTGTGTCCATCAGTGCAGCTGTCAGGGCAACTTAGTCCATCAGTGCAGCTGTCTGGATAGACTACATCCATCAGTGCAGCTGTCCGGTCAACTGAGTCCATCAGTGCAGCTGTCATGGCAACTGAGTCCATCAGTGCAGCTGTCAGGTCAATTGAGTCCATCAGTGCAGTTTCATGGCAACTGAGTCCATCATTGCAGCTTTCATGGCAACTGAGTCCATCAGTGCAGCTGTCATGGCAACTGAGTCCATCAGTGCAGCTGTCAGGGCAACTGTGTCCATCAGTGTAGCTGTCAGGTCAACTGAGTCCATCATTGCAGCTGTCAGGTCAACTGAGTCCATCAGTGCAGCTGTCAGGGCAACTGTGTCCATCAGTGTAGCTGTCAGGTCAACTGTCAGGTCAACTGAGTCCATCAGTGTAGCTGTCATGGCAACTGTCTATCGTTGCAGATGTCATGGCAACTGAGTCCATCCTGTCTAATTCCTTCACTGGCTAAAATACACTGGTGACTTGGTCCAAGATGAAAATAAAAATAGAAAAAATTAAGAACCTTTAGTATGTATAGATGTCGTGATTAATGTTAGGTGACAACGTATGTTACGTCTTTTTAAGACTGTGGTTCATTTAGTTGTGAGTTGCATGACAGTTTTGTTATTTTTGACAGAAGAAGCTTACGACAATGTACTTTGATTTGTTGTTTCCATGGCAAACTTTCACTTCCATTACGGTTTATGTATTTCCAGATTACTGCGCTGGGGCCCCGGTGAGGTGGCTACAGACCTAGAGGCCAGATTTGACTGTGTACTTTGTGCTGACTGGTAAGAGTGCTGATATCTTAAGCCATGCTATAAATCCATTACAAATAAGTTAATCCATATCATAGATTTTATTTTTATGACCACAAATCAATACACGATTGTTGATCTTGTAATCAGTGCCAGGTGTGTGGAAAACAGTGCCTTCCTGCCTGTAACCGTTTCCAGGGATTAGTAGATTGACGTCTGCCCGTATGTCAATACTTTGGCATGGTATCTCAGTGGTACCTCACCTCGCCTTCCTTGCATACAAGCAGGTTAAGAGAAGAACGCCTTACAAAGGACACTGCAAACAAGCGTGCCTTCAGTTGAGGTCATTAGTTGTTGTGTACTGTTTACCTTTTCACTTGGTCCATATTTAGGTATGTTCAATTTGGTAGGTTTAATAAATCAAACCGATGATTCCTGATGAATACATGACACTTTTTATAAATACATAAGAATTCACCTGATCAAGGAGCAAGGAGTACCTCTGAAATGTATAAGAATAAGTAGAAGTTTTTATCCATAAAATGTGTTATGTATTTATGTTCTACGGACCCGGGTTAGAATAGGTCTTCAGTAACCCATGCTTGCCATGAAAGGCGACTATGCTTGTCGTAAGAGGCGATGAACGGGATATGGTGGTCAGGCTAGCTGATTTGGTTGATGCATGTCATTTTATCCCAATTGCGTGGATCAATGCTCATGTCACTAGATTGTCTGGTCCAGACTTATTTTATTTACAGACTGCCATCATATAGCTGGGATATTGCTGAGTGTGGCGTAAAACAACAACAAAATAAACAAAACAAAATATGTTCTACCAACTTGTAACTGCCTATCAAAGACTTCATGATTCCTGATGATGTTTAGTTAAGTTGTTTTGTTCAGTTCAGCAAATTCTAGGATGATGTCCCGAGGCTTCATTGCAAAACATGCAAGTGCTGAGTTTCCATTCATTTTCAGTTTTTTCTTTGACGAGGGTCGCAATGACCTGGTGGATCTGGTGCATTCCTTGCTCTGGCCTGGGGGCCAGGCTGTAATGTTTGCTCCACACAGGGGCCCAACATTACAGGCGTTTGTCCATCTCGCCTCAGACAAGTTTGATGTTAAAGTTACAGATCATTACGATGACAAGATCTGGAGGTTACATCAACAGGTAACCATGGCAACACAGCGCACGTACACTGCTGGAAACTATTAGCTAATCGGATGCATGTTTAAGATATTAAGCTGTGCATGTATAATTGAATTATAAGTGCTCTTGAAGCAAGGATAAACAGAAAGCCAAAATAGTGTGTAGTATGTTATGTGGATGATATTTTGTATTAATTCTTACAGACACCATCTGTGTCAGTTTAAAATATATCTGTGACCATTTTCAACAATAAGAAAGGACGCCAAAGATGTTGAGGTATATCTATCAGAGGAATGTCTTAACAGATAGTGGTCTAGTGGTAGAGGGTCTGCCCGGAGAGCAGGAGATCCGATGTTTGATCCCAGGCCGCGTTATAACAAAAGACCCTGTCTGGCGCTCGGCATTAATGGGCTAAAACAAGGACTGGTCGGCTCGGAGTCAGTAAACTGTGTCTGAGTGGGGTATTCATGTTATATTCCAGCATGGTATCTCAGTGGGCTAGCACTTTAAATCGGCATCAGTCCGAACTAGTACAAGCCATACACATGCACGTCACTATATACATACCGGTAAGTGCAATAATCTTGGACGTGACATTAAACCCATTTCACCTCACCTCATCTTTGGAAATTAGTGAGAAGTGATGTTATAAATTCAGGAACAAATACCGGGTCATCTCAACATTTATCTGAAGGCTACGGGGATGAATGAGACCCTATTGACAGTGATGCCCTGTTAACCTGTACTCTTGTGTATCAGCAGTTATTATATATATGCATGCTACATCAGTTATGAGATGCTCCCCTTCTCGCTATGTAGTCTCGCAAGACTATAGTGAATGCCCCTTATTAATGAATCATTAAAACAGGGAGATAGGCTGGTGAGTGTCCGGACTACCAGGGTCAGATTAGGCTTAAAAAAAATAAAAGAATTGGTTCTCAGGCAATGGTTTTGGAAAATATAGTGCGGGCGGGCGGTGTCTTTTTTTGTTTTGTTTTTTGTTGTACAAACTAGTATGGAATCAATAAACAGTTGTGTAATCAATAAAACAATTGTGTACAATCAACCTGGGAAAGGGCCTCCCTACGTAAATGTATTCCTTGATGAGTAAAATACTAGAATACAAGTTGGAAATGGAATATTTAAGGATTTTTTATATATCTTTTTAAAAGTTGAAATAAAAAGAAAACATGCGGAGAACTTTATGATGATGCGGGCGGTGCCTGACAACCAAGACTATTATCTATTAGCCTTAGCAGGTTTCATTGTCCATCATAATGCAGTCCTAGAATGACATAGTCATGAAATGTTACTTTGTTGCAGATGAAAGTGAAAGGCCCTGAAGAATATGATGAGAACCTGCACTACCCAGTGTCGGTGTTGTTGAAGAAGACTGGATCTTCTTAACACTGACTTATATGTACCCACAGACTTACCTCCCCTGTCACAAGACCGACACTACCCAATATATGTGTTGCTGAAGAAGACTGGATCTTCCTAATACCCACAGACTTACCTCCCCTGTCACAAGACCGACACTACCCAGTAACAGTGTTGCTAAAGAAGACTGGATCTTCTTAACACTGACTTATATGTACCCACAGACTTACCTCCCCTGTCACAAGACCGACACTACCCAATATATGTGTTGCTGAAGAAGACTGGATCTTCCTAATACCCACAGACTTACCTCCCCTGTCACAAGACCGACACTACCCAGTAACAGTGTTGCTAAAGAAGACTGGATCTTCTTAACACTGACTTATATGTACCCACAGACTTACCTCCCCTGTCACAAGACCGACACTACCCAATATATGTGTTGCTGAAGAAGACTGGATCTTCCTAATACCCACAGACTTACCTCCCCTGTCACAAGACCGACACTACCCAGTAACAGTGTTGCTAAAGAAGACTGGATCTTCTTAACACTGACTTATATGTACCCACAGACTTACCTCCCCTGTCACAAGACCGACACTACCCAATATATGTGTTGCTGAAGAAGACTGGATCTTCCTAATACCCACAGACTTACCTCCCCTGTCACAAGACCGACACTACCCAGTAACAGTGTTGCTAAAGAAGACTGGATCTTCTTAACACTGACTTATATGTACCCACAGACTTACCTCCCCTGTCACAAGACCGACACTACCCAGTATCAGTGTTGCTGAAGAAGACTGGATCTTCTTAATACCCACAGACTTACCTCCCCTGTCAAAAGACCTACACTACCCAATATATGTGTTGCTGAAGAAGACTGGATGTTCTTAACACTGACTTATATGTACCCACAGACTTACCTCCCCTGTAACAAGACCGACACAACCCAATGCCAGTGTAGCTGAAGAAGACTGGATCTTCTTAATACCCACAGACTTACCTCCCCTGTCACGAAACCGACACTACCCAATATATGTGTTGCTGAAGAGACTGGATGTACTTAATACCCACAGACTTACCCCCCCTGTCACGAGCCCTACACTACCCAATGTCTGTGTTGCTGAAGAAGACCTCCCCAGTCTAACTGCCCTTGTCACAACTGCCTTGTTAACCAATGCCTTCACGGGTGTGTACACACAAACATCCAGACCCCAAGTCCCGATTTCACAATCAATCCAACCAGCTGTCCCTCGTGTTGCCTGGATGACACTAGTTTCCATGCAGACCATGGATTCATATTGTTGATGCTGTGGAAACTGAAGGTTCTGCATTGATGTGCAACAACAAGTCATATTTCAGTATACACTAACCCATGGGAGAAAACAGTGTCCATCACTATTGCTCCCTTCAATGTGACGCTAACTTGGTTATCGTGGGCAGTAGTGCATGGCTCCCAAAATGTATGTACATTTATAATAAAATCAAGTTTTGCACTAACACAATGTTTTTTCCCCATCACAAAAGACATTACCAGCTGATCACTGCGAGCTCGCAACACCGGAAATACCAATCAACAAATCCGAACTGCAGTCCGCAATTTTATCCTATTATTACACTATCTAATTACAAAAACATGTTTGTTGTATATCTTGACTTGTGTTTGTAATATATTTTATTAAGTTTATTCAAAAATTCATTCAATATTGTTTACATTAATTTTTGCATAATTGTTTGTGAAGTGATCGGTAGATGCACAACTCACAGTTATTTACAGCAACCACAGTCAGATTACCCCCATTGACGCCTTGAAACAAACTTTAGTTGACAGAGAATGGATACATGTATTATAAATGCCATGCTTTGACTTGTTAAGGCTTAAAAAAATAAAAGAATTGGTTCTCAGACAATGACTTTTGAAAATATAGCGGGCGATGTTTATTTATTTAGTTGTTTCTTTTGGTTGTTCACACTAGTATGTAACAAATAAACAGTTGTGTACAATCAACATGGAAAGGGCCTCCCTACATAAATGTATTCCTTGATGAATAAAATACTGGATTACAGTTTTTGACTACCGTTGGACCAATATATATAATTTTTTAGGACTTTTTTTTTTTTTTTAAATTGAAAAAAACCGAAACATGCGGCAAACTTTAGGATGATGCGGGGGGTGCCTGAGAACCAAGACTATCATTCTTTTAGCCTGAAGGGAATTTTTTTTTATCCCGACCAATTGCTGAATATATGCTGTATATATCTTTATAAGGAATTACAGTTATAACGAACTACAATTAGGGGTCCCTTTGAGTTCATTATAACCATATTTTACTGTACTCTTTGTGTTCATGGGGAGAAGTTGAATGTGTTTGATAGTGAGTGTTTGACTGTGAGTTTTTGATAGTAAGTGTTTGACTCTGAGTGTTTGATAGTGAATGTTTACTGTGAGTGTTTGACTGTGAGTATTAGATTGTGAGTCTTTGATAGTGAATGTTTGAGAGTGAGTGTTTGATATTGAATGTTTGTATAGGTGGACCCTGGATGTTGTGGACCTGATGTCCTGATGAGAGGATCGTTGTGTGTGACATTCCTTGTATATTACCCACACGGGTAGAATGGTTGAGCGTAATAACTGTCCGACATTTGCACATGTCCATTTTAGCAATTCTCCATGCAAATAGGTCAGTTGAAGCCATAATACGTCACAGAGCTTCATTGTTAAGAAAAATATGATGTATTCCATGTTTGTGACGTCACAAAGTGATTACGTGAGGTCATGGCAAACAATAGACTGATTTCATTGGCGTTTCTCTGTAGGGTTGATATTTCATACAGTTTTTCTTAATTCTCTCTCTTAAAATGTCAATTAGTGATATAAAGAATATATATATACTAGCCACATAAAGAAACTGTGCACGGAGAAAATATAGATGTAAGGGCACACCGTCCATATATGAAAGATAGGTTTGAACACAGCAATTATTGGAGACATTCAAACGCTCATGCACGTGCCATGCGATATGACGTCATTGATGGGGGCCTATGGACGTGCAATGTGTTACTGCACGTGCATCCTGTGCAGCTGTACACAGCATGTGCAACTCAAAATTCGCTGTCACTTTGGAAAGCATGATCTGTGGTCATTCAAAAGTTCAAAACTTCTCAGGCGCAGACACAAGCATATCACAAGCAAATCATGCCAAGATTGACAGCTGCACAGCGTCATGAAGCCATTGGAATGATCCGAGCGGGAATGGGGGCAACAACAGGTGGCAACACATTTCCAATGCCATCGTAACACGATATCGGCATTGGTGAGGCGTTATCAGAACACAAATGACGTTGCCGACCACCCACGTTCAGGACGTCCCCGAGTAACGACGCCAAGACAGGACAGATGGATTCGAGTTACACATCTCCGACACAGGATCCAAACGGCAGTAACGACGTCCCAGACAATTCCTGGACTGCGCCGTATCCATCCCAACACTGTCAGGAATCGTTTACGTCAGTACGAGATTCGACCACGACGCCCTGCCATACGTCCCATCCTGACACACCGTCATCGAGTCAACCGTCTAAGATGGTGTCGAAATCATGTTCGCCAACCTCGAATATGGTGGAGAAATGTTGTCTATACAGATGAATCGAGGTTCAACATTTCCCACAGTGACGGGCGCCAACGTGTCTACCGGCGTTTGGGAGAACGTTATGCACGCAACTGTATTGTGGAGAGGAATCGTTTTGGAGGTGGCTCTGTGATGATTTGGGGTGGGATAACAGCACGGCACCGAACCCCTTTGGTGGTTGCTCAGGGCAATCTCACCGGTGTTGGCTACAGAGATCAGATTCTGAGGCCTGTGGTCATTCCTTTCCTGCAACGTCATGGCCCGGGATTGACATTTCAACAGGACAACGCTCGTCCTCACACGGCTAGGGTCGCAATGGATTTCCTTCACCATAACAATGTCATGTTACTGCCATGGCCTGCAATTTCTCCAGATCTCTCCCCAATAGAGCATGTGTGGGATGAAATGGAGCGCCGTCTGCGTCGTCTTCCACATCCTCCAGATAACGTCCGTGACTTGGCACAGGATTTGAGGAGGATATGGCAGGCCATTCCCCAGGCCTTCCATGCCCATTTGGTGGACTCCATGCGTCGCCGATGCACTGCTGTGATTCACGCACAGGGTGGTCATACCCGTTATTGACTTTGTGACTTTGTCGTTTGACCCCCTACTCCATTTTGATCTTCTGACGTCATCGTAACAGATGTTGTTCAGGTCCCGTTGACATTTTCTTATGGTCCGATCATTCAGCTGCTACAGCGTTTGCATCATTTTGTTCTTGCTGTGTTGTATTTCAGTCCCGAATATATTTTCTCCGTGCACAGTTTCTTTATGTGGCTAGTATAGAATAAACTACTCCAAACTCAGAAATACGGTTATCTGGCCCTCTTGAATAAGTGCTGTTAGTCACTGACAAAGGCTCGGGATTAATATCGTTCATTCAGTCTGGGCAGATAATCTGTGATTCCTCGCAGGTCGTTGATTATTCTCGAGATATACATTGGCAATATGCACACTTCAACTTGTAACTATACATACAACATAGGTACTTCAAATTGTCGACCCGTGAAGATCGTGGGTAGAATAGGTCTTCAGCAACCCATGCTGGCGACTATTTTTGTCGTAAGAGGCGACTAAGGGGATCGGGTGGTCAGCCTAGCTGACTTGGTTGATGCATGTGATCAATCCCAATTGCGTAGATCGATGCTAATGATGTCAATCACTGGTTTATTTGGTCCAGACTCGATTATTTACAGACGGCCGTCATATAGGTGGAATATTGCTGAGTGCGGCGTTAAACAACAAACAAACATCAACCTGTCACTTTATATCCAGCATAGGTACATAAGTGAACTCGGGACCGCCCTCCAACTGATATGTATTTTGTCATGCATTCATTTCTGAATAAATAAACTGCAAGTTATTTTGTGGCGTTTGATTGTTAAATCAAGCAATTGTTTTTGCATTTATTTGTCCCAAATTATTTTTAGGCTCCGCACACTAACAGATTACTTTTTCCTGACAAATAACAATTGTGAACTATTGAAGTGATTTCCTCAACCGTGTAAAAGCTAAAGATGGAGGAGATGTGAAACACTACTCTAATTAACCCAATGGAAGAATCGGCTCAGATAATTACATGTAAATTACCACTGTAATAAAAGATTAAGTACTGATGTGGTGTTTCACTTCCACAGTTTCACCTTTATCAGCATCATATAACAGAAGCCTGTATTATATTACAGTGTGCTTATCGTAGTGTTCGTGGGGGCACAGGAGCCCTGAGTGTCGGGGTTGTTGCAATTCCATGAGTTGCCTCCCTTTGCTGCCAGGATCTGGGAGAGGGGTATCCAGAATAACCCGATTGTGAACCTTGATCTGACACCTCCCCTACTTGTGTGTTTCACCCAAGAACCGCCTGTGTTCTAGTGATTAGAGAGTCTGCCCTGAGACTGTCCAAGGTCTTGTAACGTCTGGCTGAACACCGCCTCCAAGTCCTAGTGGACAGAGCGCACACAAAGCAAAATTTATAGCCATCAATGACCATTGTACATTTAAACACATACCTCTTTGGCAATTAGATTGTGAATAGATATTGAAAATTCTTATAGAACAGGTAATCATTACACGTTCAGCTCGCCTGAACAAAATACCTTTCGGGCACACCTTGGCACAAAGTCAAAGGTAAGGGCACATTGTTCAATTATAATGTTTGCATAAACAATATCGATCACCAGAATATTGCCTTTGCTGTACGGTGACTTACTCTAGTTTTACATACACCTGATTCTTATACTGTCCCAGGTGAGACACACAGCCTTGTTTGTCACCAGTGACACAAAAAAGGAGGAAACTAGGTCAAGAACAATCACATGTTGTTTTATTTGTTTTGTGGATATCTAATGCAATTACAAGAACTCTGTACATCCATTCAATATCAAACTACCTATTCCCGAGATTCAACAAATATCAATGTGCATGTTCGTGGGACACTCAACTCATTACCTTAAAGAGTGGGTCATGGATCGAACTTTACTGCCAGAGGAATCATTGTACACTTCTTGTGCAGTTGTCGATGACCAAGCCTCGTGGCAATATGACGCACTGATATCGACTGCTTATACTGGTATTGTTACCAAGCGACTTGCACTTGTCTGTCTGAAGGTCAAACATTCGGAACATGGAACTAAACTGCCTGGCGAAAGAAAGGGTACACAATTCCTAATGGTGGTTTAAATGAAACAACCAAGAAATGGGTTTCGGTGGTGAAGTATTGATGCGGGTATCATAGTTGTGCTCTGGACTTTATTTGTACTGTCTCGGTGACTGTTAGCCTAGTAAAGGTTTGATAACGTTTGTAATTGTTTTTAGTTATCAAATCCAATTTTCAAGTCTATACTATCTTTTCCCCAGACAGTTTATCCTGGAAAGGTTAAATATTTCTTCGGGTATTGACATATTAATTGAGTCTTGGAATATTGTGACTTCAAAGTTATAGCAGATGATCAAGTAAGCTCCGATAAATACGATCTAGTATAACTCGCGACCCGTGATGATGCTTGCCGTAAAAGGTGACTATGCTTGTGAAAGGCGACTAAAGGGATCGTGTGGTCAGGCTCGCATACTTGGCATGGTATCGTATCTCAATTGCGTGGATCAGTGCTTATGATGTCTATCACTAGATTGTCTGGTCCTGACTCGATTATTTACAGGCCGCCGTCATATAGCTGAAATATTGCTGAGTGCGGCGTTAAACAACAAACAAACAACACAACTCGCATCGACGATGCCATACCGCTGGAATGACGTTCAGTAGCCACTGTGCTGTTAGTAGGGGACGTTACATGTGGTTTATACATTGTATAACGTGTGAAATTAAGTTCAGATTGGCGTTTGGGTATTCCTAGCTGTAATGTTTGAAAATGATAAGAATAATCCAATTGTTACAGAATTCACAAACATGTCGGAAGGGTATGTAGACACACGGTGTAGACTTGATTCCCGAAATCCATCTTCCCGAGGCAAGGGAGTTATAAGTATATATATATATATAATGTCCAGTTTCCACCGTTGCCGAACGAGGCTGGAATTGTGGAGTTAATTTTTGGCTGGACTAACGAGCCTGTGCATAGTCCAATCAAAATCGTGAAACGAAATCGACACCAGGTTCGCAAACTGCCGTGCAGATTTTGGTCGACTGCACTTTTTGCAAAGCATTTGTACTGTCAATATTTGCGTTAACAAATATTTTTCAAATCATTTCATGTTTTTGATAAAGATGCTGTCGCGATTTTATGCACTTCGCGAGGTAAGACCTGTTGTATTACAATTTTGATCTGGATTATTGGGTCAGATCGTCCTGACTGGGCCCCGCCATTTTGCTTGAAGCAAATGCATATGGTATGAGAGGTGGGACATAGAAGGGACGTAACTCGTAATAACCATTGGTGGCGCTACGATCGAGCATAGAAATTCCAGCCTAGTTCGGCAAGGGAGGAAACTCCCTTGCAACGGGAAGTGGCCCGAAATTAGGAACAGCATGTGACCACAGGATTAAGCTGAATCCCCAAATCAGGAATTGTATGTGGACACATGACGGACATCTCCGAAACAAGGAACAGAATGAGTGCACAAGATTACACCTGAGTACCTAACCATGGGGACTGTCGTGGTCAAGCGTCCGTCCGGAGAGCGGAAGGTCCGGGGGTACGATCCCCGGCCGCGTAAAAATACGTTAAAAGATGGGACTTGTTGTTACCCTGATCGGCTCGTCGTATAAAGTGTCTGAGTGAGGTATTCATGCGGCATGGTATCTCAGTGGGCGAGCTCTATAATTCGGCATCAGTCCGGACTAGTACAAGCAGCTACACAAACACACACGTGCATGCACGTCTCTATATAAGTGCAATAATCTCGGACGCGACGTTAAACCCAATTTCACTTCTCCTCACCTTACCATGACAACAGAGTCCCGAAATCAGGAAAGGTATGTGGACATATCATGAATAAGTCCTGAAACACCCCTAGCATGATGTAGGGATGTAGATGTCTGGCCTTTTGTCCGGAGACACGAGTGTCTGCAGGTTTTCCGTGTCCTCCCTTTTAAGGCCGGGCGGAACCATTTGGAAACAGGTGGAGTGGATCTGGAGCCGTCTCTGTCTAGACTCAACATCACGTAACAACATGGACATAGACTTGCCGTCCACGGTCATGCCACTACTTGACACGTTAATGTAACCAAGCTCCGACCTGTCGCCTTCTGGCTCAGTGGAGAAGAAACTGGTCTGTCTGGTTTGGGGTCTGGTACTAGGGGTCTTCTGGTCAGGGAGGCGGGGTGGATCATCGACTGGGTGAAGAATGGCTGTCACCCTCTGGAGGAGTGCTCTTGCCGTCCGGTCAGACAAAGGCGTCTTCTTTGTCATGAAGGACTGGAATGTCTTCAGGATGAGCTCGTCGTAAATCGGAGTGAGCATGTCGATTTTAGGAAGTTTGAGGGGGTTAGCCGCGCGCCTCGGCTTTGTGCGTGGTGATGTGTCGTTGACTTGGGTTGGTTCTAGTTTGCTATGTGTTGGTTCTTTGGGCTGCACCACTGGTTGCTTGATCTCAACAGCTATAAAGTCTTCAGCACTCTGATCTACCCTTGGAAGTTGGATGTTGCAACCTTTGGTTCCAGAAACATTCTTTGAAAAATGAACTTTCCTAGAAGAACAACTATCTGGCGAGTCGGATCTGTGTGTTTTACATTTGAGATCTGGTAGTCCAGTGTCACAGACTGAGAAGTGTGGTTTTTCAGGGCACCCTTGAGACCTATTGAAGCCATCCGAATCAACCCCAGATGCTTGAGAGTTCTCATCATCGTCAAAGAGATCATCACCGTTAACAAACAGCGTTTCTTGAGACCTAACATCCGATCTCTCCGATATTGAGTTAAAAGGAGTAGTGGGTTGTCTCGAAAGCCAAGGACTGACGGACTGAATAGCATTTGTCTTCATTTGCTCAACTTTAAGCCCCACTTGCGACCCTAGGGCCTTGACCTGCTTGATGTCTGCGTCATGCTGACGTTTCTTCTCCCTCCGTTTGGTAAGAAACTGATGACGACTTTTCGCTGCATAAGCTTTCCGCGATTGTCTCTGACCCTTATCAGGATAGTTCTCGGGGAGACAAGGAACTTTGTCCGCTTTTACAACAAAGTAGACGACCGGTAGCTGGAACGATGTTTTACTCTTGGATCCAACGAAACTAACGTGGTGGTTGCTGCTTGACGTCCCTCGTGACTTTTGGAAATGGAAGCTGGACTTTGACGATTCTAATCTTCCACGAGCTGATTTCAGTTTGGATTTGTAAGTGTCGTCGTCAAGAAGAACTGGCGACTTTCCCGCCAAGACGCCACGCCCAGCAGGTGTTATGTATCCTTGTCCACGGCTTGTAGGCACCTCGGGTAGCATGTTCACGTCCATGTCGCGAGGTATAGAATTTGGGTCGCCTGCCTTTGAGGTGAGCATGACATCCATGCCCTTTTCTATACACACCGTGTCCATGTTGTGTCCAGAAAGTGGACTCCGGAGATGACCATAATATCTGCAAGTACACAAAATTTCGAACTTAGGGAACATTTTATTTGTCAAATCCACACCAATAATTATTGATAGAAATGTAGCATCTCCGTCTCCGAAGAAGTCATGAGCTGCATGGTACAATTTTGGGCAACAGGTATCTTATTTGCCTCATGCATATTTTATATTGCACGAAATCACTACAGTGTATAAATTAACATAGACACACCAACCGGAACTAGTTCCTCGGTATATAAACTGCCGGACAAAAGAAAGTATACACTTGAAAACTGGATTTGACCCAAAAAAGTACAAGCGTTTAAAAACGTTACTAGGCTGAAAACGGTCGCCGAAACACTGCAAACCTAAGCTTCAAAACACATCTATGATACCCTTTTCAAATTACTTTATTATTGAATAATCATTTCTTGCTTGTACTGTCCTTTGCTTGGCAATTTAGCATACATGGGTTACTCCTGAATATTAGTGTTTTATAACTGACGATGAAACCCTAACTTGAACTCAATATAACGTCTCTTTTAACAAACAAAATAAGTGCCAAGAAGACCAAATGAGTATTATGATGAAACCAGCACTAAACAATAATGTCGACCTTGACCGGTTTGCTTTTTGTTGTTGTTGTTGTTGTTGTTGTTGTTGTTGTTGTTGTTATACCAGTCAACCCGTGAAGATCCGGGTCAGAGTTGGTCTTCAGCAACCCATGCTTGTCATAAGAGGCGACTAACTGGATCGGGTGGTCAGGCTCACTGACTTGGTTGATGCATGTCATCGTATCCTAACTGCGTAGATCGATTCTCATGATGTCAATCACTGTATTAAGTGGTCCAAACTTGATTATTTACAGACCGCCGTCATATAGCTGGAATATTGCTGAGTGCGGCGTTAAACAACAAACAAATGATAACAGTCACGACGCTAGACATATAAACATACGCTCAGTCTTCTGGTGTTTTGTCGTGCAGGTTGTTTACGTGTTACGGGATCACCTAGTGATGCCGGCGTCTCAGTCGTTACCTGTCCACCCAGACGTCCTCCGTGTCAAGCCTACATGTTTTAAGATTGATAATGCGATATCTCATTTCACCTCATATCAATCTCCGTGACATGGCTAGCGACTACTGGATACTCATAAGGCAGATACTGGATATCTTTCAAGAAAATATGATATCAGTATTTATGGATTATCTGTCACGAGCGAAATTAATGGTCCAGTTAACAAAATGTACGGGTTTCTATTACTGAAATTGTTTTGAATCTCTGACACCTACACGTAACTGAACAAAATATATGTTTATTTACCAAACTGACAATAGATATACTCCATGTATGTTTACGAGAGTTTGTCGGTTTGTTGTTTTATCATGTACATATATGATCTGTTTATGTATATTTAACTTTACAATCTCTCGGAGTGACCGACAGCGTCGCGGCACATATTAATATTCGGGTTAAACTAGTTTTTTCCGTTCCCATCTTTATGTACCGCATAAATACTTTTGATTAAGATCATGTACTTTATTTATGAATAACGAGATCAAAATAACAAAAAGGGACACCAGCTATCATTGGAGATTCTATTCTCACAAACCTTAACACATGCAACAATTCAATGTACAATAAAACAACTCTGGATCAACAATGCCTAAAAACACAAGAGATAGTATATGACCTATACATACCCTAGCACCTGTCAAGTTGTTGTCGTGCCCCTATAGACACCTGTGCAGGCAGTGGTACCCTGCCGAGTGTTAGTTTGTCCACAGTGTTGCGGAAAACCTATGTCGATTACAGGTGAAGCGTTGCCAATCTCTAATCCCACTAACGCCAGCATTGTTTCACTGGAACGCTAACCCATGCCGCGAATGTTACACCTTAAGATCTTCCACCAGATTTCACCTTTACAATGATCAAAGCATTTACCTGCGTTCTGGAGCAGGTCCCTGCGTTGGCTTGTTCACATGAACGGCGTTTCCACTGACGTCTGTGTTGAATTACCGCAAACCTACACCTAGCACTGCCTAGCTACCTGCACTACGGGACAACCCAATTAAAGGGTTCGCAGTACAACCCGTGTCTTTAAATCTGTTGCATATTAAACTTCAAGGTCAACGAGAAATTTGAACTTCTCGCTTTGTGAGATAGGTTTCATACGTCATAAGGTTTTGGAATTGTTCATGATATATTGAGAGTGAGTCTATCAAAACGTGTACAGATAAGGTGTGTTGGAGACGATTGATCGGCGCTCATGAAATATTGCTTTAAACTGAAACCTATACACTTACTTGTGATTTATGTGAACGAGATTTGTAAAACTTTTGAAGTACTTGTCATGCCTTATATGTAATGTACCCTTACACGATATTTTGAAAATATAAGCACGCTGTATCAGAATGTATGAGACGTATACTTTATGCATGTCTCATCATATATTTAAAATATAAGAATCGGGTGATCCTTAACATTTTTAGTAGTATATTTCGGCATATTGGTTGTTGTTTAACGCCGAAATCAGCAATATTCCAGCTATATGACGGTGGTCTGTAAATAATCGTGTCTGGACCAGACAATCCAGTGATTGACATCATGAGCATCGATCCACGAAATTGGGATCGATGACATGCATCAACCAAGTCAGCGAGCCTGACCACCCGATCCCGTTAGTCGCCTTTTACGACAAGCATATAGTCGCCTTTTACGGCAAGCATGGGTTACTGAAGACCTATTCTACCCCGGATCTTCACGGGTCATTTCGGCATATATTTACATATTCACCCGAGTTTGACGGTGCCACAGGTTGGGCAAGGTACGTTCACCTTTTCACGAACAAACAAATAAACATTATTTGATATTGATTCATAAACACATGCTCATGATGTAGGAATCGTATCTTGTCATCTTCGGTATTTCTTGATTTTATGATGATGATGATGATGATGATGATGATGATGATACTGTGAAAGTATGATATTGATCAGTAGTCATAGGAGTCACTGGTTTTGTTTGTTTGTTGTTTAACGCCGAACTCAGTAATAGTCCAACACGGATAACGGTCTGGACCGGACAATCCAGTGATTGACATTATGAGTATCGATGTACGCACCTGAGATACGATGACATGCATCACCAAGTCAGCGAACCTGACCACCCAATCCCGTTAGTCGCCTCTCAAGACAAGCATGGGTTTCTGAAGTAACCCGGATCTTCACCTAATGGAGAAGGGACACGAAGTAGCCCTGAAACGTCGTTACAAAAAATACAGTCTTGACTGTCATGTATGTCAGTCTAACACTGTTATTAATTAAGAAGATATTATTCTATATAAATCAGTTCTTCACGGTATCACGACCAATATCATTATGGGACCGAAAGTTTAATTCTCAGAATGTTATAAGGATTATGTTATACATTGGCAGTGACGTGCGTCACGCACTCCATAATAGCCGCCGTTTTAGGGTGGCTTGTCGACAGTCATGTGTGTCCGCGTAATCAGCGCAGCGTTTTATCAGATGGATGAAGGCACGGAAGTCTCCGGGGTATAGCTGCTATAGTTAATTAGCCCCGACATGAAAACACACACAGACTTGCTGTGTGCTGGTCCAGTCATAACCGGCCATGATCTATGGCACGAGCTCACGCGAGAAACTCTGCATCAATGCTGGGCAGTAAAGAGGCTGATTGTTATGCCTCATCATGAGAACGATGTAGTTTCACTTTATTGGGTATATACAATACCGACATATTAATTATTCAGGTAATCAGTGGACATTCCCACATATAGATTTGATATCACTATGGCAACTGATTTAAACAAGCTACTTCTCAACCAATACTGAATTAGTGTAAAAAGTGCGGAAAAAACAGTTAACGGACTCTTAGAAGCAGGTGGACAGTCACACGCGCTGAAGTGGTTTACTGTTGGTATAAATCATTTTTCATAACAGTAACTATTGAACTTAGTTTACACCCGACATTGTCACTCGAGAGCTTCTGAAGGACAAGTTATGTAGGTTAACATTAACTGTAGGTGAGTGGGCATCGCTCATCAGTATGATGATCGGGTTATATTAGACTGCAAGGGAACACTGATGACCATTCACATATATAATCGGACTGAATGGTCTGACTGTATGGAGACATATGTACCTGCAGATAAACAGACTCTGGTTTGTCTGCACGAAGACACTATTGAATATGACCTGCAGATAAACAGACTCTGGTCTGACTGCACGAAGACACTATTGAATATGACCTGCAGATAATCAGACTCTGGTCTAACTGCACAAAGACACTATTGAATATTACCTGCAGAAAATCAGACTCTACGGTCTGACTACATGAAGACACTGGTGCATTTTTCCTGCGATGAATATGTGTGAAAACGTGTTCACATTTTGCAAAACAGCGATTGCTTCCGAGCTACAAAGGGTTAATCGCCGGATGTTTCATGTGCCCCTGTCTAGGCAGGTCGTCCACACGTCTACAGTCCTTGTGCAGTAATTAGAACACATTTAATTTCGGATTGTTTTTTTCTCTAAAATGTCGTCTTTGATGTTATTAAAAAAAACATTGACAGTCGTGAAGAAAGCTGTCTGCGTTGTCGTCCACGGTCAACCTACTTCACAGAAACAACCCAGGAACAGGTGATGCGTGGGTATACTGTCCTCAATATCAGAACAACTCACACATATTCAGGATCAATCCATGTTGCTCTGCAATACCAACGGCGTCGATAAACAGGTGTGATGATATACTAGTGTGACTGCGACTACATATAACAGCGGGTGTATTGGAACACCAGGATCTGGAGCAGTACCTTGATGCCATCGGTGTTCTTTGTTTGTCTCTGTGATGCAAGCGTGGGAGACGGAACCCAGGACGTAATAGCATGATACGTCAGTGTTGACTGTCAACAGAAGGAACAGTATAGCGCTGAGGACAATAACAGCATGGGGAAGTTTGGTCTGGTTCCGTTGGCATGTGAGTATCAATAGTACATTTTTATACCATCCACGACCATTCCGCGTTCGAGCCTCTGCGTGAGGTACATATAGGCTTTGATTTCGGGTATAAGTAGTCTGAAAACGATTTTTGTATCGGCGAAAATTATATGTCGTGGTATCTGATGTATCAAGTAATAAGTCGGCATGGGCTTGTTTTTCTCCTTCAGTCAACAGAAATAAATCACATATTTATTAACTAAATAGTCTACTGGCACTTTTAGAATGGATGATGGTAATATTCGTGGAGGTAGTTGAAGGCGAATAAAAATGAATTCTATGTTGCGTGTATTTCAGGATTTGAAATGTCCACAAGGAGCATGTTATGTTGCCTGTGGCATTGGTGAGGAAATGTTTACACGTGGCGGGTCTGTTACAAGAAATTAATCATTCTGTGTTGATTCCGATCTCTGATACAGATTGGACACTCTAGGCTATGTGTCAATATTTAGCACCGTTGTTGACAAGTACTGGTGGAGGATGTTGGGGCTATATTAATATGGTAACAACCTTCAGTCAGAGTTAGTTTCAAGGTACATCTCACTTTACTTACACAGCATCTGTTCCTGTTGTCTACATACAAACTATACTGCACGTGACCGCCAAGTGAGATCAGTGAGTCAACCAGAAGCTATCCGTGACATGACTTAAGGCTAAATAATTTAATTTTTAGATTTCCAGTACAATATACAGTTTGTTACATATTTTTACAACCTGAAAAATCTTTGTAAATTAACTGTCGATTGATATGAAGAATATATGTTTGGTTGGACATAGGGTGTATTTCGTAAAGTGGGGGAACACATTCAGTGATGTGTTTCGTCTTAAGGTACTTTGGAACAAGACAATTATGCGAGGTGAGGCGTCCGGTAGTGATGCGTAGGGACGAAGAACTATGAAATGATCTTATTCCATGACGAATGGTCATGTTCACACATTCATGTAGTGTCTAGCCAAGCATTTCGTTACAGTATATATATATAACTAGTTCTTTGACATCATCCGTGTTTGTAGATGCCCCAAGCATGTTAAATGTACATGCTTTTTGTCTTTGGGAGACATGTAGAGGAATACTTACTCGTATGTATGTATCTAACTCGAAGTGATTCGTACCTTGCACAAGCCTAAATAAAATAGTACTCATCTTCAATAATTATGCCCTTCATTGCAAAACTGGCATTCTCGTTTAATAGTTTGTTTGTTTGTTGTTTAACGCAGCACTCAGCAATATCCCATATATATGACGGCGGTCTGTAAATAATCGAGTCTGAACCATGCTTGCCGTGAGAGGCGACTAACGGGATCGGATGGTCATGTTCGCTGACTTGGTTGATGCATGTCATCGTATCCCAAATGCGAGATCCGATGCTCATGATGTCGGCGGTCTGTAAGTAATCGAGTCTGGACCAAACAATCCAGTCATTGACATCATGAGCGTCGATCTACGCACTTGGGATACGATGACATGCATCAACCGAGTCAGCAAGCCTGACCACCCGATCCCGTCAGTCGCCTCTTACGACAAGCATAGTCGCCCCTTACGGCAAGCATGGATTGCTCAAACCCTATTGTACCCCGGATCTTGACGGGTCGTTAATAGTAAAATAATAGTGCAAATTTTGTTCTGATCATATTTAGTGAGATATAATCGAAAGTCTTTTAATTAGTAGATTACATACAATTCGTCTCTGATTCAAGTGGTATCAATGACTCTGTGTCAGGTTAACGTTATTGTGCCACCGAATCTGGTGCACACTCGTATACTCCGCGATGTCTACCAGTTACTTTCCAGAGTTGAAAGACAAGCAAGCTTACTATTAGTAGGGCTACCCCTTCCCTACCCCTGCACAGTATCATGTGAGGGACCCGTCCCTGCCAACAAGTATGTTTGAGTGAAAATTGTAATCCGAATGTATTATCTGTACCTAGCTTCGGTCATGGGAGTCGTGTCTATGTACACCTATCGGAGGGCTAAACAAAGTACGTGATCTAGACTACCAGTTTCGGTTGCTGAGTGGGTTAGATCGCTGAATTTGTGTTCTGGCGATTAGTAGCCTCACCCCGAGAGTGTGGGTTCGAATCCCGGAAGGGCCTCCAATAAATATAGTGCTAGAATTTGTACTTTACCAAGAAAATATATTCCCAGATATAACATGTTATGTTTGACCACTTTCCCTTAATTTGACATATTTCTTGAGAAATATATATTGAGTGCGAAGTGAAATACATTATCCTGGCGACCTGAAATACACTATCCTGACACTATCTATGAAGTTTCATGTGGTTTGTTTCTGCACATGATTCTCTACGTTTGTACTCAATGATGTGTGGAAAAGTTAATTCTTCCCCCATTTGTTTCAGCCCCGTCAACGCCGGTCTGGCACGCAGTGTGGGTGCTGCTTGTCGTGCAGGCATATGGGGCACCCACCAGCTCAACGCTCGACACCAACTCTACTCTCATCAACCAGACCCAAACAAGTCAGGACCAACCTGTGTTAGATTCTACATTCAGCAGCCAGGCCCAAACAAGTCAGGGCCAACCTGTGTTAGATTCTACATTCAGCAACCAGGCACAAACAAGTCAGGGCCAACCTGTGTTAGATTCTACATTCAGCAACCAGGCCCAAACAAGTCAGGACCAACCTGTGTTAGATTCTACATTCAGCAGCCAGGCACAAACAAGTCAGGGCCAACCTGTGTTAGATTCTACATTCAGCAACCAGGCACAAACAAGTCAGGGCCAACCTGTGTTAGATTCTACATTCAGCAACCAGGCCAAAACAAGTCAGGACCAACCTGTGTTAGATTCTACATTCAGCAGCCAGACGCAGACAAGTCAGGACCAACCTGTGTTAGATTCTACATTCAGCAGCCAGACGCAGACAAGTCAGGACCAACCTGTGTTAGATTCTACATTCAGCAACCAGACGCAGACAAGTCAGGACCAACCTGTGTTAGATTCTACATTCAGCAACCAGACCCAAACAAGTCAGGACCAACCTGTGTTAGATTCTACATTCAGCAGCCAGACGCAGACAAGTCAGGACCAACCTGTGTTAGATTCTACATTCAGCAACCAGGCCCAAACAAGTCAGGACCAACCTGTGTTAGATTCTACATTCAGCAACCAGGCCCAAACAAGTCAGGACCAACCTGTGTTAGATTCTACATTGAGCAGCCAGGCCCAAACAAGTCAGGACCAACCTGTGTTAGATTCTACATTCAGCAACCAGGCCAAAACAAGTCAGGACCAACCTGTGTTAGATTCTACATTCAGCAGCCAGACGCAGACAAGTCAGGATGATCCTTTGTCAGATTCTACATTGGTCACCAAGACAGTGACACCCCACGAGCAACTTATGTCTGATTTTCCAACATCACCTGCAGGGTCGGACCTCCAGACATCAGTCATAAATACTGATTCCCCAACTGCTCCGTTATCAAGCATACTGTCACCGACAGGCAACGGTATCATAGCACCATCAAGCACGTCACAAAATGAAAGTCTGACATTCAAATCTGACTCTGTTAGAAATGCCAACCAAATGCAGCCATTAGACAAACAGTCTGATCTTACCGAAATATTAGCAAATAAAACTCATGTCCCTGATCCATCTCGAACTTGGGTAGAGTCAAGCAGCTCCTCGCTATCTCTCAATGATTACATCCTGCAGCTGTTTGATCCTGACGCCTCGTACAGAAAGTGCACGGACGTCGTTAGCAGTTGGTATGACGCTTGGAGAAAGGCAAGACTAAGATCTACCCAGCATTCCGAAATACACTCTTCAAGCCCCGGATGCTATTCTGATTCAATGTCAAACATTGGCTGCGTAAGTGAAGCTCCTACCGAACACTACACTCAGATTGAGCCAAGTGCGAGCTTCCGGTTCCGGTCTGATCCTAATGAACTTTCAAGCCTTGACTCGACTGAAACGGGCGAGGTCATGTCCTACACCAGTGAAGCTAGCCTTCCTTTTAGCCCAGGTTCAGAGATATCAGAACTTATTATGCCTGAAACAACAGCGCACGAAACCATGTCCTCTTCGTCTGCAGTTGATAGTGTCATCGTTTCATCAGTGAATTATACATCGTCTGCTACTGACAATGCAACTGTAGAATTCGTTTCAGAAATGTACAACATGTCATCGTCGTTTGTACCAGACACTGTACCTTCTAGGTTCTCGGGGACGCCAGTATCGACACTGACGACTAACGATATGGATTGCACTGACTGCATCACACCATCTTCCGTAACATTATCTCGGAGTACTCCAAACAAAACAAGCATATTTCAAGGTCCTCAGCAAACAACGCCCTTAAATATATCTTTGGTAGTTTCAACAGGAACTATGAACGTAGAACCAGATTTGCAATCGAGTACGTCTGAAGTCCCAACAATGATTGTTTATTACAATTTCTCAGGGTCTATAGTTTTCTGTGAAACTACAATACCACCTAAAGTGCAGGTTTCTAGCAGTTCAGAGTTTCTACAGTCATTGTCAGACTCTACCAACTCTCTGTCATCTGCGACAACTATCACAGAAGGTACTGGGAACAATGTTGGAGGTGGAGGAACAGTAACAGACGACACGACCCCGAAGATAGGATCCACTGCAGGGGGAACCACGGCTGTACCAGACGGATCCATCGGGTCCGTCTCATCTGGATCTGGCACTGGAAGCGGGGGAGTTTCTGTCACTACAGGGGGACTGGGGCCCGGAAGGACGGAGTCGGGGGGAACAGGGACAGGGACGTCACTAGAAGTCCAAGTCCTCAGAACAACACCACAGCCGACCACTAGAAAAAAAGTAAGTCGGTCAAAATTTCTCTGAAAACAGTACTTTACAGTCTGGGTAATTCATGTTCCGACATATAAATATATCTTTTCCGATACATACCCATTTCTTTTTCAAATCGTTTAGGGGGTATTCGACCCCCTTTTTTATATTATCACACTATATATACACTTCCACTGAAACCGATTCAGGGGAGCTGCTGACAGGAGGGTATGGTCGTTTCCGAAACAATTCTAAAAGATCTTTCCAGACATTGTTTGAAATGTCAAATGAATCCAGTATTTGCCTTAATTCTCTAGTTCATAAGTATACTCCACTTTGCTGACCTAACAGCTTCCTGTTAGGTGCTCAGAAGTTTTTTTATCAAGGTTCAAAGAATTTTATGTAGACATGAGGACATTTCCAAATTTGACTCATCTGTGACAAAAACGATGTCTGATTCAATTCCCTATTTTGACTTGTACCACATGTTTCAGTGTATGTTCAGGTGAACAATTGACTTGCCTTTGTATGCGTTTGTGACGGAATAGTTGGAATCGTACAATCGACTCTGCTTTTAGCAGAGATTTCGTAATATGGAAAGGGTTTATTATGATTATGATTATGAAAAGGGCTATATCGATTATATTTAACAGCTTCCTTCCTCGCCATAAATAGAATCATATCTAGGCCTAAACGTTGTCATATAATTAGTATTGCATTAAATATCAGCCAAATGCATAATATGACAGAGGCAGAGATTGACGCCCCCATATGTGTAGTGGGGCCACGGCTGATAATAACATTGTGAAAAACAACAGGCCCGATTTTTGAAAGCCTTATTTACGCGAGTGTTAGTCATATTCTGCCTGTATTATTTCTAAGTGTAAAATATTAATCTTTAGACGAGATGATAATTATTCTATAGTTAACATTACATATAAGATTTCGAAGCAAATGCCGTAAAAACATCTACTATTTTAGCTCACCTGAACTTTCAATTCAAGTGAACTTATGGCGTGAGGTATTTCCATCGTCCGTCCACCTGCCCGTTTATATTCCCGTCTGAAACCACATGGCTAATGAAACTTTGCAAGAGTGGTCCCAGCTATCGTGTCTCTGAACTTGCGAACAGAATTCTGATCCGTCACGACAGCTATGTAATGTTTGCCCATTATCCAACCATTTCGGTATGTATCATTATGAAATTCGACATGCAGCAAGTATGTTGTGAGCTCAGCGACATATTGTAAGTTTGTGTCGCATTTTGAATTTCATCTAAATCTTTACATTATTTCTGTCTTCCCATCCCTCAATATCCAGTATAGCTTATTATTCGACAATTTCTCCAAAACCTAATAGTTAATGAAGCTGAAATTTGTTGTTTGCTGATCACAGCATTTATGTTTCTTAAATTACTCACAGAATTCACATCCGATTTCAAACATCGTCGCAATGTCAGCCATATTTGAAATGTTATTTTTGCCGTTCATGTGTGTCAAAAAGAAAATAGCCTTGCTGTTTTACTGTTACTTAATTTTGAATATGCTGTGTTTACCCTTTCCGTATGACCTAATTTTTCGAATATTCCCGAACATTTTGGTGAGCCTGTATTTGTCACTTTCTGACACGTTTCCATTTCAGTCGAACAATGTGTCCCGGTCCGTGGTGATTGGCCTTGTGTGTGGGGTAGCCTTCTGTGTCGGCTTCCTGGTCATGTGTCTGTGCTTCTTCAAGTTCTGCTGCAACGGCCCCAGCATCTCCCCCCAGCTGTACAACTACAAGCCCCATAACCCCAACGACCCCCAGCTCGCCCCCTCACCCCCCACCACCCACAGGGCGAAGAAGATATTTGTTGCCGATTGATCCTTGGAAATTCAATAAAAACAACAAAAGTCGACATTGAAGACAATAAGAAGAAGATTCACTTGCAAGAGAGTGAGTGTATAGGGTTCTACTCTACAACCGAGTCTGGACTAGGCAAGCAAGTGGTTGATAGTGTGAGCACTCATTGTAGTTACATCGTCTGCGAGGATCACCTGTATCTACATATTATGACCTGACTTGATTGCAGTGAGGATAATACAAATGAGAGTCCGTGTCTCAAGCGTATATCCTTCTGCATACTACATGGAACGGGGTGAGACCCGTGAAGATCCGGGGTAGAAATAGGCCTGCAGCAACCCATGCTTGCCGTGAGAGGCGACTAACGGGATCGGGTGGTCAGGTTCGCTGACTTGGTTGATGCATATCATCGTATCCCAAATGCGTGATCCGATGCTCATGATGTCGGCGGTCAGTAAATAATCGAGTCTGGACCAAACAATCCAGTCATTGACATCATGAGCATCGATCTACGCAATTGAGATACGTTAACATGCATCAACCAAGTAAGCGAGCCTGACCACCCGATCCCGTTAGTCGCCTCTTACAAGCATAGTCGCCTCTTACAGCAAGCATGGGCTGCTGAAGACCTATTCTAACCCGGATCTTAACTATATATTTTATTGTCATTAGGATGGATGACCGTCATTGCGAAGTGACCTTTTAGGGCATGTGGGTAGCATTTTACAGGACGTGTCATGAAGGCCGCGTTGCGATACTTATCAATGGAGATTCAGTTTAAGGAGGTATCATGGAATTATTTCTCCTTATAGACGTGTTTTTATGGTTATCATTAATGGCGAGATTGGTGTGCATAATTTAGGTACGTCTGGTGACCAATCAAGTTGCGTTTGTACGATATGTAAGTGCGTGAGTTGGGCTTGACCATGTTCCAGTATTCCGGTTATATCGCGGCTGTCAGGGTAATATGGGAAAACCATCCTAAGAGAATCAGACAGCCGACGTTAACCACGCATGTAATACCTACAAGTGAAGGTCTGGTTACTGACAATAGATCTTACTCGGGGCGAATCTTGGATTCAACCCATGGCCATCGGATCTGTCATCCTGGCACCAATTCTGTACAGCGATTTCTATCGCTTTTAGCGACTGGGCCACCCGTTCCCCCAAATCTGGACTCAAACATACCCGGACTGCAAACTGGCACTAGTTCAGTTTAAGTAAGAATTGACTTTCACTTTGCGTGAGTTCACTTGAGTATGAACCTTCATAGACTGTATGAACATCGGAGCATAAATTAACCTTTGCTAGAAGTTAATATTTTACCACGTTTCAAGATTAATTTGTTAATCAAGCAGATTGTTTTAAGAATCTGAATTCCATACACTATTGCTGACTTGCACATATAGTTGTTTATGACCGGAGAGTGCAACAAGCAATTCTCCCTTACCTTATTCCTTGATTGTACAGTTATATTCTTCCTATTCTGATACCATTAGATGTCATGTTTATACAAGTCTTCAACGAAGAAGGTATGTCGTCGTCCTTGTCATTGAAACACATATCACTGTAAATAAAGTTATGTTTGTGAGCGCCCAATGTACTTTATTATGTTAATGGTCTTGAGCGATGCGACTGTGCATCTACAAAGTTAGTCCAGCTATATGACAGCGTTAGTCCAGCTATATGACAGCGTTAGTCCAGTTATATGACGGCAATCTGATAATAACCGAGTCTGGACCAGACACTCTGGTGATTGGCATCATGAGCATCAATCTACTCCATTGGGATACAATGACATGCATCAACCACGGCATCGAACCTGACAACCCGATCGCCTAACAGCCATGGGTTGCAGATGACCATTCTGGCCTGGATCTTCAGGGTTATTAAAGAGAGTTTAATGGGACACTCAGACTAATCCATACAACGCCAGATTTGTTGGATAATTATCAAATCTAGATCAGGCGACCAGTGACTGAAAGGGTAAGTACCGATCCACGACACTGGAACAGGATGACACCTTTCAACCAGGTCCCTGTTATATGACCCTTTAAAGACCGAGAAGGGTGGAATTTGCTTCAAGTTGTTGCTAATAGTTTATCAAAATGTAAGTGACAGGCAGACATGAGATTTGGAATCTACTGATAAGGGCGAGGGGACTATGATGGCTGGAATGACCTGTTTGTTTATACACAGTGGGAGCTTGCTTCTGCTGCCCCGTCTCCCAATCTCAAGCCTCTCCCCACTGTCTGCAGTTAGCCTTTCTCCTTGTATTGAAGGATAAGTCAATGGGTGTTCTATCCTTATAATAGGCAAATCTAGATAAGTGGTCATTTTGAGGAGGTCTTTTATTTATATAATCTTGAAATTAGTATTTTAATGATTGATTGTTGCCTTAGAGACTTGTGCAAGTCTATTTCTTTAGTCCGCTTGCCACTTTGGTATAGAAAAAAGGAAAAACTCACTAGACACTTTGTACAATTTATACACTTTATAAACTATATACGCTTTGTACAATTTATACACTTTATAAACTATATACACTATATACACTTTATATACTTTATACATTACATACAATTTATACACTTTATACATTGTATATATATACATTATATATATTTAAACATGTCATTATGTCTAAGTAAAGTACTACTTCTACAATAAATTAAAATTGTTTATTATCCCAGCTTTATACTGGAAATAAGTATACAATAGTACCGGTAAATAAATATTGGTATGTCGGCATTATAATGAACAATGTCTCAAAATAGCATCTAGGATTCCGACAATATACATTTGTCATTGCAAATATACAACTACTTATACACTAAATTCCTACTTATACCACTTCTGTTATGATACATATACATAAACATAAGACATCTTCCATAACTCGAAAATTCGAGATAAAAAATCAACTCTTAGGTATGGAAAAAGTATCCAAAACATTAAGAATATCAAAATGTTATTAAATGAGAAGCACATCACATCATCTAAAAGAGAGCTTAAAATATGTACAAATTTCCAATTTATATCAACTGGCCATAAATTAAATAATCTAATATCCTGCCTGTAATATTAGCGATGTTTTTTACTCATAAAAAAAACACAAATATTTATATGACTTGTGTATATTCACATACTTCATACTGATATTTACATAGGATCAAGATAGAATTAGGTGATCAGTTTGTCACAGGTCCATGTAAGTCCTCACTGATTATAGTCAATCTCTTCATCTGAAGCGCTTTCTCTCTCATCATCAATATCACTGTAACTCAGGTTATTCTCTGCTGGCATATCATCTTCAGAATTAACCGTCTGTAGTAGTATCCAAATTTTGTCCACAAATTTAAAACTTTTCTGCGTGTAACATTTTTTCCCAGTGCTTCTGTTTGGATGTTGTACTCTGAGTCGCTGGTATCTAGACGAGAAAGGTCTGTCCACATGTTCATTCCAGTCTAAAATAGCCAGGCTCATTCTTGTTTTGTACATTAGTGTTTTATAATGTATTCTCTTGTCCAGATATGCTAAACATGCATTGTTAAAAGACTCTACATAAAACGTGCTGTAACCCAAAATATAGTCCAAAATCTGTTGTGCTTTGATGAATTTTGTCAATAGTTCTACTGCAACTGGGTCCGTTTTAATTCTCCATTCTGGAACATAGTCTTCTGTTCTACATTCAGAATCCTCGTGGCTTGTATGATGGTTGTTCTGGAAGTGCATTACACATGATAAAAGAAGTTGTTGGAGACATTGTGGATCTCTTTGGCAGTTGTCCATTGACCAATAAAAATGGTTTTTAACCATTGATCCTTTGTCTACAAGTTCTGGGTGCCATGTTTTCAATTTGTCACAAACGCGACCATTCGATATTTTGCGAAAGCATTTTGAGACAGATTTCGCACAGTGCCACTTGTCATTGCAGTTTTGCACATGGGGCTGATGTGTTCGAAGATATTAATTTATTTATGGATGCATTTCGGTCATGTACATGACTGACAACAGGAATGTTGTGTTCTTCAAATGACTGGTACATGTTTTCACATCCCACAAGTTCATGTTTTTGGGAAAAACGCTCATCTGATTTAGTTATCAGTTGATGATCAATAACTTTATGAGTCAAATGTCCAAGTGCAATATGATCAGAATGAAACGAGTTTTTCCGACAGCCATGTCTAGCATCTGTCATAATTTCCATCCCATCTAATGCGCTGTCCCTTGATGCTGCAAGTTCATCAAATCGAGCTATGCTTATATTCTCATGCAGAAGAACAGAGATAACGGATGAAAGAGTCTTGATACTTTGATCCTTGAAGTGACGTGTTGGTTCACCAATGTCAAAAAATTGACAAAATCTAGTGTACTTGTTTGGTGGCATACCTGATGAGATGTATGCACTGACACTGTGATACTTTATCTTAAAATTGTTCTTCATATTTGTTGATGAATTCCAAATGAAAGAATGGTTCTGTTGACATTGCATGATGATAGTGGCAACGTGTCCAGTGTGGGAGGCACTGATGGGATAAATGGATGAAGAACAATTTGAGTTGTGATCAGCAGCAAAAGATTATAGTTCCCACAAACATGTCAGTTCACATATGAAATAACTGATTTCATTTTGGACAATCTTCTATATCCCACTTGAAAGGACGGAATACTTTCTCTGCATTTGTGGAATTTCCTCCATTGTGTTTAGTACATTCTCCATTTGCAGAATCATAATGCATTGCAGAGCTCTCACTTTCAGGTGTATTGTCGTCAACAACGACAAGTTAAAATCCTTTGCAGGGAATCGAACCCTAGTTTTCAAGGAGACAATTGCTATAAAGGCACAGAATAAGTCATATCGACTTGCGTATTGATTGGTCCTGAAGAATGTGGTGCAATCATTTTATCCTCCAAAGTGAGTATTGTTTTACGCTGCTTTTTGCAATAATCCAGCAATATCACAGCGAGGGACACCAGAAATGGGCTTCACACATTGTACCCATGTCGGGAACTGAACCCGGGTCTTTGGCGTGACGAGCAAACGCTTTAACCAATCGACTTAACCAACCCTTATCCTCCAAAATTGGCTACCACAGGGGTATCGCTTGGGTGAAATCAATGGAATTGTACAGCTTTGCAGACCATTGTGACACCATCAGTTACCATGACATCACAATCAAATGACATCACCAAGCTCTCTGCACGGAAGCTTTAGCTGAACTATTTACACTTGTTGAATGAGTTTGGATGATAAATAGAATCTCACCCTTGTGTGTTCCAAGCTCAAATATATCAAGACTCAGAGACAAAAATATCCTCATCAAGCCTTGGATATTTGAAACTTTTGACAAGTCTTGAAATATTTGATCCTGGAAGTCACAAGGGTGAGATTCTCAATGTATTCCAGTCCACTGTTTGCTACAGCGATGCTCTGTTCCCTTGTCCCTGAGAGTTGCCTGCATCCTCCATTGTGAATACAGTGGAATTAAACAGAACAATGTATAAATCCTCCCACACATCTAGTGGAATATCCTGATGCCTCCATCCCAGCTACAACACACAACAGTGCTGGCTAGGACAGGGTGACACATCGCGTCCACACACACACACACACATCTAGTGGAATATCCTGATGCCTCCATCCCAGCTACAACACACAACAGTGCTGGCTAGGACAGGGTGACACATCACGTCCACACACATACACGTCTAGTGGAATATCCTGATGCCTCCATCCCAGCTACAACACACAACAGTGCTGGCTAGGACAGAGTGACACATCACATCCACACACACACACGTCTAGTGGAATATCCTGATGCCTCCATCCCAGCTACAACACACAACAGTGCTGGCTAGGACAGGGTGACACATCACGTCCACACACACATCAAGGCCACTAGCCAGCTGCTTCTTCAACTTGCCAGTCTGGAAGTCGTAGAAGTGAATCTTGCCATCAGAGCTCCCACTTACAACAAGGCTGCCATCACGACTCACATCAAACCCTATGCTGTATCCTAGCAACTGAAACAGATATACACTCATCAGTCAGTATTTAGCTGTTAAAGACATAATTTGAGTGTGATTTTGTGCAGCAAGACTTCTCAGTTAATTTTAGAAAATCAAGTATTATATTTCCGTGTTATGGGTTTTGGAGTTTGTAGTTTCCTCAAATAACATGAACAACTGTAAAACATCTCCCAGATCAGATAAATGACAACTTTCTCTTAAAAACAAGCCATCATCTGAGTATTCACAATGTCTTGGGATGCTACACTCTTTGTTATAGTGCAAGTACTCGCGATAAACATAGTTGTCTGAAAAGGTATGATGTCCAAAAACCTATGATTCGACGATATGTGGTGGTGGGGTGTCCAAGGGAATCAGGGGAGGGTCACACAATAAGTAATACACAAAATTGGAGAGGGTCATGATAAAAGTGACATTTTATAATAAAATATAAAGTAATTTTGCATTTGGGGAGGGTCATGAAAAAAATGTACATGGACATGGGGAGGGTAATCTAAAAATATGAGAAGCATAAGGGGAGGGTCATCATTAACAGAACATTAGTCAACAACACCCCCTCACCCCCACCCCCCTTACCCTGCAATAAATGGCCAGTCCCTAACAATGAAATAGAACTAAGGAAATGAGAATGAGCCTGTATTTGCTTCAATTTCATCATGTACAATTAACTTTAAGACTAGATCTGTGAAATAGAACTTCAGAGTTACCCCCAACATCATGCTCTGAAAGATGCTGAAGATGCAAAGAATAATTCCAAATTACAAAACAGATGCATTATTCACTATCAGACATACCCCCAAACATCCCTAAATCACTATTAACATTACTATTACAGTATACTGGTTCAATGTGTACGACTTACAGTGTGTCCCTCAAACCTCTTAGATCTGACCATCTTGTAGGGCCTAGTTGTGGAGAACAGGGCCACATAGCCCCCGTGACTCTGGGCTAGGAAGTGGCTACTTGTTGGGTGTAACTTCAGCCTAACGCATGCATACCGCTCCTACAGGAAAAAAACACAAAGAATCAAATCATCTTTTTCTTATGCACTGAAGTTTAAAAAATAACATCAAATAATTAAAAGCTAATCAAAATGATGTGTTGGATTGAAATTTACCCAATCTCATTAAAATCAGATCTTAGTTCTCGCTACCTCTAAACATAGATCTGAGAACACCCCATTACGGGTCACGTCAGACTGACCTTACGCAAACTTTAACCGACCAATGGATTGACTGACAAGAAGTCGACATTAGCCAATCAGAAGGCAGCTTTCTTGTGCACTAATTTCAAATTGGCGACTACGCTTCGGAACATATTTTGACAAATTCTCGATTAAAGATTTGAAACCTGAACAAAAGAACATTCTGGAATGGCTAATAGATGGTCTAGATTGTATGGATTCAGTTGTTAAGCCTGTAACAATTGTTCCAAATACCCCAAGTTAAAGTTTACAAGGTTGCATGATTAGAAATCACATTCTGACTGTCACTTTCATGATCTGGTAAGCGACGCTCTGATTGGTCGGATGAAAGGTCATTCTGTCATGACACCCAATGGGATGTCCTCAGATCTTGGTTTAGCGATAGTGAGAAATAAGGTCTGATTTTAATGAGATTTGGAAATTTACCTTAATTTGAATATTTGTATAAACTTTCTGTTGGAAATTAAATCAAAAGTATAGAGTACAAAAAATTATGATGATTAGTTATCTAATTTCTATCAATATGATCTTTCTAATATTTTTGTCTCGAACTCCCGTACCTGGTATATTTGATTTGAGAGGGGGACACCCGAGCTGAAGTCCCAGGCCATGATGTTGCGGTCGGCGGAGTCCCGGGTCACCATATCGCTGCAGGTGAAGAACTGGTTCCCATCTTTACTGAACAACACATCCTGCATCTGAATAGAAGCAGGCACACAGTGTCACACACATTCGGACGTAACAGGCAATGGCCAAACAGTGGACTGTCAATCTGTGACAAGACCTGGAAGGTAAACCATGAACTGTCTGTCTGTGACATAAACCATGAACTGTCGGTCTGTGACATAAACCATGAACTATCGGTCAGTGACACAAACCAGGAACTGTCAGTCTGTGACATAAACCAGGAACTGTCAGTCTGTGACATAAACCATGAATTGTCGGTCTGTGACATAAACCAGGAACTGTCAGTCTGTGACATAAACCATGAACTGTCAGTCTGTGACATAAACCATGAACTGTCAGTCTGTGACATAAACCATGAACTGTCAGTCTGTGACATAAACCAGGAACTGTCAGTCTGTGACATAAACCATGAATTGTCGGTCTGTGACATAAACCATGAACTATGAGATAAAGATCAACAGACATGGGATGGAACACAAAACTACAAGAAACAAAAACACATGATGCATGCTGACAGACATTAAAGTGATATGATGTAATAGAACACTTAAAGGTAGTCGATAAGCTTTCCAGTTAATCTCTCATGACATTTTTTTCATATGACTACAGACATCTGTAATGACATGACAAGTTTATAATAGTCAAAGGAAAAAACTGAGTGTTCTTAAACTGTTTTTGAGCAGTAGGTAACCAGGTGAGATTATCCAAAATTATTCTTCCAACATTTCAGTTTGTAAACAGTAATAACCAGATTTGAGTGTAAAAAGTCCAGGGCCCCGTTCCACAAAGCAATCTTAGCGCTAAGTCGATCGTAACTCCCATTCTTTAACACTGACTTACGACAGTCGTAGCGCTAAGATCGCTTTGTGGAACGGGTACCAGGTAACCAACTTCAGTGGCCAAGAGATTAGTGATATAATTTGATTGTGACATCATGGGTACCGACTGTGACATCATGGTAACCGATGACGTCACAATCTGAAATCTGGTCTGAAAAGCACTGTGTTTTCTCGCTTGATCTCCCTAAGTGACATCTCCTGTGGAATGATCACGAGTCGTTTATTTCTTATATAAGATATCACCATCATGTACAGCCTCTTTTAGGGTGTTGGAAACAAATGTACAAGCCATAAAAATAGTTACCTTAATTTTAGTCATAATGACTTCCTGAATAGAAGCTGACTTCGGCGATGTCGGACAAGACCATTTTATGAACAGGTATTTCCCGCATATTCTCACAATCCTCACATCGATTAGCTGTATATTTTCTCCTAATACCGCTTGTCATATTTTTTTTGAAGCAATCGTTCGGCCATGGCGTTTATCTGCATACCCCAGCTACATCCATGGGGAACAACTCACTAGACACTTCCCTCTCAAAAATGACGTCCAATTTACGACGTCATCAAGTTGCGAGCACATATTCGAATCTCGAGAAATGATGTCATGATAGAACAATGTTTTATCATGAAATAAACCACATTTCTTCTGTTCTTTGGGATCTTAGCTATCTTATATAACACATTAACTTGTCATCAAGAAAATAATAACGTCCTAAAAGGGACGATATATTTACTATCTACCAAGGCTGAAACACAAGTATATATAAGCATGACTAACACAGACATCTGCTGACTGTGTCCTTATACCTACAAGACATTTTCCATTTGGGTAAAGTTATTTATCAATTAAATCTAATATTTCTGAGAAGTTGAAATGGACTAAATACCTGCCCCAAGTCATCATGGTACTGGAAGTTCTTACATGCAGTGTGAGGAGTTCTAATGTCCCAGTGCTGTAGACTGTTAGTGGAGCCTGTCACCACTTGACTTCTCCTCACAGGGTTGAACTTCCCGCAGGTCACATACCCAGCATGCTCCAGTTTACACACTTGCTTTCCTGACAACAAAAACAATTTTCAAATTAACAGCATCCCAAAATGTTTGAAGTCTTTCAGCACATGATAATTGAATACATATACACCAGTGTAACCATTGTCATAATTTTAATTAATTACTGAGATATTATTATTAATAATTGTAATATTATTGTTATAACAACAACAACAACAACAACAACAACAACAACCCAGGACTCTGATCCTAACCAATGGATTTGCCATACACAATTACACCTGGTCAGAACTGAAACCAAATATAAAACATTGGTGCATTCAAGTCTTTTAACAATTTCTGCAAACTTTCAGCTAAGTGTGAGTGGGTTGGGTAAAAACACAGCTTTGAACAGTATTTCAGCGATATAACGGGAGTGTCACCGTAATGTGGAATAAAAAAGACAGGTGATCCAGGGCTTGGCTCTTTGTCACATTGGTGACACCCACAAGCGTTTTATGGTGAAGGAATCAAATTTGGGAGGGTTGATGGTTACTATGCATACAGACCCGTGAAAATCCAGGGTAGAATTGGTCTTCAGCAAGCCGTGCTTGCCGTATAAGGATATGCTTGTCAAAAGACGCGACTAACGGGATTGGGTTTTTTGCATGGATCGATGCTCATGTTGTCAATTATGTACAGACAACTGTCATATAGCTGGAATATTGCTGAGTGCGGCATAAAAAAAACAAATAAAACTATGCATACATGGTATATTGTTCCATTGTTTAATAATTAACTATTCAAGATAATGACCACCCCAAGAATTACAACAAATGCCCCAATCAAACTGATAACTGCAACTGCCAGACAGTGTTTGAAATAATTGTAAAACCCAACAAGATAGTCAGGCAGTTGACCCATAAATGTTGCCTGCCCATCTTCAAACTTATCTGTCCCAAGACATAATAAATTTTGAAAGATCATGAAAAATTAGAGACAAGTCGCATCTTGATTCAGTTGAAATAATGCAAACAGTTACTTGAAAATCTACAAGAAGGTATGATAAAACGGATATGATACAGTAGTCTTAAAATTATCTGCTAGACAGGCGGGCAGGTGGAGGAAAATTTCAGTCAGCCCCACAGAAATGTTACCAGGTGGGCAGGCGGGCAGGTGGGCATTTCAGACACTGCTGCTCAATTAGTTTTATCTCTACCTGTTTCAACATCGGTGAGAACAGCACTTCGATCATAGCTACAACTGAGTATGTTCCGACCATCGTGGCTCCATTCTGCATCCTTGACTGCCTTCCCATGATGCATCAGATTCCTCATGCAGGCACTTTCAGCAGAAAATGCATTCCAGATCTTCACACAGGAATCCATGCTTGTTGTCAGGAAAAGGTGACTAAATGATGGAATATTCCATTTCACTCGATTTACAACACCCCCATGACCAGCAATGTGCCGGTCAAGTTTTTCAGGGGGGTTATTGTGGGAAAGCGTATGCATTCTGGGTTGGATTTTAGGATGAATATAAAACAATTTTCTTTGCAAGCTTACAGTATCATTTGATTTTGAGGAATAAACCTGCTTTGTTGCTTTTGAAGGTTGTGGTCTAACTGGATAGCTGTTTTTACACAACCCATCATGCTTCCGTTTTGCAGGAGAACCTAATTTCTGTACAGGTATTTCTGACAGTGTCCTGCTTGTATCAGACTTTATTTGTTTGAGATCATCACTAGTAAGTTCTCTCCAGAAATCACTATCTGGTATGTCAACTCCTGATTCACCAATCTCCAAGTGTCCATCGGTGCGGTTGATACCCTTATTACATGAACTGTAATCGCTGTGATTGCTATTGTGTTCTATTCCAAAATAGTTGGTTTCTTTTTCAACCTCTGTTACGTTGTCCTTCCTAATCACTGCTTCACAGTTTGATGTCTCTTTGGCATTTTCGTCCTCTTTATCACTCTCTCCTGAACTGACATCATACGACCGAAGAAGTTCCATTCTGGTGATGATATGGCTCTAACACAAACGCCTATAGAAAAGAAAAGTCTCACTTAATGAGCAATAAAAATTACATTCCTTCATCATGTGTTGTACTTTGCATGTTAATGATGTCACATATACTGACTTTTACACCTTCATTTACCTTTAGCATTGATTAATCAGATACTATTCAAAAATAAAAACTGAATAATTAATCTTGATGGCACTAATTTGGTATGTTGCAGCTCTGTCACAGATTTAATTTTCATGGAATAGGCCTATGTTTGAAATGGAACAAACTTTGCTTCAGTCCAGATATACCATATTTCCTCTATTAGATGCCCAAACTCCAATACACACACTAGGGCTGGGACGAGTCCAAATTTACTACCCGGGTACCCATCCTCCTATTACCAGACCCTACCTGGGTACCCACTGTTGGTCTCAAGAGATAGGTACAAAATGGCCGATTGGGAATAGTTTGACTGAGCCCGTCCAAAATGTATTTAGATACACGTATAAATTGATCTGGTCATACACTATATGTTGACATATAAAAGTCTGGGTGCATAGTCAGAAAGAAATGCGAACATTAGTGACTTGTAGTGTAACCATATAATTCAAGATAGTTTTTGTCACTAAACAATATATCATATGACCAACCACTGGTCCGGGTAGTACTGTGGGTACCCGGGTCCTTCTCAATACCCCCGACCCAAGTACCCGGGTTACCCGTCCCAGCCCTAACACACATGCCTCTAATTGATCCTGGATCATACGCTCTGTCCCAAAAATAGAAGCTGGGCCTCAATTAGATGCTAGGTCTCTAATATATATCCTTTCATACCGTGATATGTTGGTGATTAATAATGACTGTTTCCTGCTAAAGTACTCTTGTATGACTCCATAATTTAGGATTTGGTAAGGTGGTGAGTTGCCATGAGCCAGCATTAAACAGAATAGACTATCTTAGTTGTCGGGCCAAGGGCTTGCACAAATTAATACACATCTGAGCATCTGATAGAGGTAATACGGTAGTCTCTGTCATAAGTGATTCAGGACACATGTGACCAAGGCGTCGTAACTTCACTCTGCAGAGTTGCATCCCTAAAGTGTGCCATAAACCAATGATCGTAGTAGGGATGGTAAGTAACTTGTATACTTGGATTGGGTGGGTACTGGGTATGACACGGGTACCACCAGGTCTACCCAGACCCTTGGTTAGTCACGTGATATATTGTTTAATGACAAAAAAATCCAAGAACTCAATGGTAACACTACATGTCACTATATAATGTTTGCGTTTGTTAGCACCTATCCCGAGCTCTTAGGTTTTCACTGATGTAGCAAACGCCTTAGATTTGCAACACTTTCTTTCCAAATCAGTCTGACACGCAGACATATAACTTAAATACTGTTCAACTGTCATCAAGCCAAATTCAATCCAAATGTGTCTTATATCTAGGCCTACTACCTAATCGATAAGGTAAAAACGCCACCAATAAAAGGGTTATAGCGAAAACGGCACCTCAGCAAAACGTCACCGGGCGAAAACGGCACTGATTGGTGAAAACGGCACCTCGACTCAAGCGAAAACGGCTACTATTGCCTGGCGAAAACGGCACCTTATTTTTTTTTTTTACCTTGGTCAAAAAAGTGCTATTAAACTTATATGGTAACTTGCAAACACCAATATAATTGTGAGATGCTAAAAACAAGTTTACATTAGCCTCTACTCCAACTATAATCCAACTTAGCTTATACACAACACAACTTATTGTGAAAACATGACATGCTTTGAAGAAAAATAATAGAAATTAAACTCACGTCGTCTTTACAAACACAAATAACTGTGAAATTGTGAAATAAAACAAGTAAGAAATTAGACCCTTACTCCAATTTACTCGCCCACTGATTGGGAGGCGCAGTTAACTTAATGTGAAAACACTATATGCTTTGAAGTGTTAAGTACCTCAGAGACCATATAGTCTCTGAGTACCTTTACTCAATTTAAACTGAAACTGTATTTAAGAGGCCTAACATGGTGCTGTCAGATCACAATTATTTACAATGGCCTTTCGATGTGTTGCATGAGAGAAGAATGTCAGAAAACAACAACATGCTGTGATAACTGTGACATGAAAATAAACCATATATATTACCACAAAAATCGTTCTTATCATTATTAAAAATAGAGGTGCCGTTTTCGCCCGTCACATAGTAGCCGTTTTCGCCAAATGCGGTGCCGTTTTCGCCAGAGAAATCGGTGACGTTTTGCTGAAGTGCCGTTTTCGCCTGCACCCCCAATAAAACCCTAAGTTTGGAAAACAAAACATTTTTTTGACAGTTGAAGAAGATTGCTTACAAGTGAAATATTTTCACATTGCTACCAAGTTTCATCATTGGATACGTCCTACTAATACCATGGTGAAACGTGACATACAGGAGAGAAATATCCTCCATGGGCGCAGCCATTTTGGAAATCTACCGATTAATAACCAATGATGATACAGTTCACAAATCTCGTAGGCGTGACCTACCAATCACAGCGTGTGTTACAGGCGTCGCCATCGTCTGCACGAATGATGCAACACGTGTGTATGTCGATAGAGATTCGATACTTCCTATGATATTTAAACATCGGAAATGATATAAAAGAATCAGATAGATGTTCAATATATGGTCGAAATAGTCACCTAGAGAAAGTGATCTAGGCCTGTGAATCTCATACAAAGGAGCCTGTTTCGTTTGTTTACGTGAGCAGTAATAGCCAATATGGCTGATGAACAATCCGCAGCTGTTCAGAACATGAGTATCGGCGATGGCCTGGACAAGACTCAGGAAGAGGATTTCGTTGATCCGTGGAATGTTGCAAGTTCATCTGCGAAGGGAATCGATTACGATAAATTGATAGGTGAGTTGTACCAGAGACCGTAACTTATAGTCCATTGTATTGTGTACGTTTTTAATTTTTCGTTCAAAAAATTTGGAGATTTGCATCTGTATGTATTTTTACATACTATAGAGGCTACTCAACATAAAAACCAATGTTTCCAATTTTTGGGGTCCATAGTTTGCGAATAAATGACGCTCAAACTTGACCACTTGATGCCAGGGTAAATGACAGCAATAATGACTAGTTGTAGGTAAATATTATGAAAATGAGTTATCTCCCCTTGTGACATTGACCTTTCAAGTCAACATGGCCGAGACAACTCTGACAAGAAGAGTTTTTCCATCATCAAGGAAGGCTTATCATCAACCAAGACTTGCTGAAATTCATCTAAATAGGTGAGTGAATATTTATAGAATATTATGACGCGTGCTATCTATGTTGGTTTATTGATAATTATTGAGAAATTGAATGGCAATGATTTCTTCATAATAACATGACTGACAACATAGGCTTGATCTGTTTCATTAAAAGTATATTGCAACCATTTGCTACATGTTAAACTTAACTAGAAATGCTTCCTAGCGTATATTCAGTTTCAGGAAATTTCAATTTTAGTGTAAACTATTCTATTTAGCTCAAGTTATGCTACATAAAAGTTATATGCTGTCTGATACCTTGGGGCCCGTTTAGGGATTCAGTATAATTATTTTTGTTAAATATTGCAATTATTCTTGTTTCTTAAATTTTTCATAGATAATTTATATACTTTACGTAGCATGCCAATCTTTTAAAAGTACATGTAATAATTTTATATGCTTGCATTAAAAACAATTTTCAATACATCCTTAAAAGGGCCCCACTGCAATGGTCTGTGCATGTCACATATTGTTGTGTCCAGACAACTAATTACTTTTGCTTGCAGACCTCAGATGATACGTTAAATATTTTGGTAATTTCACTTGCAAAATAAAACCCATAAGATATTGTAGTATACATGAAACATTTTTAGTAATGTTTTCCTAACAACTATGAATAATAGCAAATTCTAGTATGAAGACTTGAAATGAATTTTTTTACTAAAGAGCACAAACACTTTTTAAAAATATTTCTGGACATATATTTTTAATAAAGGATGTTTGATTATAAAACAAACAAAAAATACTATTTCTATTTTCTTCTATTTTTACTTTATGATCAGTATTGTTTGTTTCAGGAAAGTTTCAACCTAAATGATGATATCATTACCACAGCTTGGGCAAGTGAGTCAGAAGATATCAACATCAGTCACTACAGATTGGAATCTTTGTATTCTGTGCCAAAAGAATGCCCATCATGGATCATCCATACCAGTATCCCAACCAAGATTTTATTCTTACGACCGCTTACTCCATGTTTTGTTTGAACGAGCGAATGTCCATGATGGTGAATATACTAGTATATGGCGAAGACTTGAAGGCTGTGACAGAGAGACTTTATCATCTCACAGTGCTGCCTGGCATCGGACTTGCTACTCCAATGCTACCAACAGCGATCAAATACAGCGAGCACGAGACAGGACACAGAAAGGAATACTTGATGATTCCACACCTTCAAAAAAGAGAGGCCGTAAAAGGAAAGGAACAGATCTCCATGAGGAAACATCCACACCATTTACACGGTCGTCTACAATGCCATTGGTCAAGGACTTGTGCTTCTTTTGCCAGGAAGAGGACAGACAGCCACTTTTTAATGTCAGGACCTTAAATGCTGGGGAAGATTTAAGATATGCCGTTGAAATTTCAAACAATCCTGCCTTAAAGACCAGACTTTATTCATCAATCTCTCCTAGTGATGCCCATTCCATTGATGTAAGATACCACAAAAACTGCTGGACTACAAATGTATTTCATGTTTTCGCCAGGAAGCCCACAAAGAAAACAAGCGATCTGAATCTGGACATCAAAGTGCCTGTTTAACCGAACTTATTAATCTGGTATGTAGACAGACAGACAACAAGGCCTATCTGTCAATGGGAGATATTGAAGTTACATATATCAACATGCTGGGAGGTATAGACTGCTTGTCTGACCATGTACCTACTTATTCCAGGCAGTGGCTGAAAGATAGGATACTTACAGAATTACCATCCGTCAGATCTGTTCAGCAAAAAGACCGAAGACAACCGGCTGTTCTCTACTCCCCTGAAGCCTGCGAGAAAGAGATGGTGCATGCTGCAATTGAAAACGACCAGGGCATGGACAACATGAAGGTTATATACAAGTCAGCACAGCTTGTACGAAAGAGTATAGAAGCCTTTGACAGAGATGACAAAATAAACAATCCCCTATCTGTTACAAGTAACATTAATGACGTCCCAATCGAGCTGTACACTCTGATACGCTGGATGATGGTGGGAACTGTTGAAAACCTTCAGAATGAAGCAATAGCCAGCGTTGTTGACAGAACAGTACTGACTGTATGCCAGAACATAATGTACGGTTTCAAGTCAAGAAGACAAGTTAAATATACACAGAAAAGAGAATGTGAAACATTCAGATCTCACAATGGAAGAGAAAATCCTCAAATAATAGGATTAGGCCTTACAGTCCACCATGACACAAGAAACAAGATGATCATGGATCTACTCAGTGCACACAACTATTGCATTCCATACAGACGTTCTCTAATGTTGGAAACAGCTCTGGCCAATGCAGTTGTGAAGAACACCAGACAGTTCCAAGGGTTATATGTTCCACCATTTCTGAGGAAAGGTTCCTTTGTCTTTTTTGCTGTGACAACACAGACTTTGATGAGGACACTCATGATGGCAAAGGCACCACACATGGGACTATTACTGCTGTATATCAGAGCACTGGAGCAACTGGACAGCAGATATCACCACCCCTTGAGATCACTGAAGCAAACAGTCTCTCTGTGGCTCCCTACCATACCAAGATGCTTCACTGTGAAAAACCAAATCCAAGAAACCATCCACATTCAAAAGACAAAGAATTTATAACCAACAAAGCAGGTATTGGAAAGTCATATCACTTGACACACTTTGGCTGGGTTGTTGCTTCCATGATAGCCAGAACAGATGATGAGAAAGAAGCTAGCATGATTCCTGGATGGGCTGGCTACATGTCTTTGTTGTCAGAGAGACAATCAACAACTAGAGTTGGTGCCCTACCACTCCTTCCAGAAGTAGCACATGAATGGTCTACACTGCTCACTGTCATATTGCAAGCTAAGAAGTTGAAAGAACTAGCAGTTGGAAATGAACATCCTACAGTCATCACATTTGACATGACCCTTTATGAGAAGGTAATCAAACTCCTAGATGCTAAGCCTGAACTGAAAGAAAACATTGTGCCACGACTGGGAGAACTGCATGTTGTCATGGCTGCGCTGAGAGCTTTAGGCACGTCCATAGAAACCTCTGGCATTGATGATGCATGGATGGAAGCTGATGTCTTTGGCCCCACAACAACAAGACAGGTTCTTACATGTACGCATTACAAACGTTGTCTGCGGGCTCATATGTATACCTACATGGCACTCTATGAATTAGCATTGCAAGAGTTCTTCAAGGATTATCCTCAACTTCAAGAAGTTTGTGTGGAAACAGCAGCTGAAATCGAAAGGGCATGCAGGAAGACTGATAAATCATCAAAGGCTAAAATTGTCAAAGATGAACATTCTAATGGTCAAATTCAGAATGAAGAAGTCATGGAATCATTTCTGAAATGGGAGACTGAGAAATCAAAGAATGCTATGTTCAAATCACTGATGAATTATCTACATCGAGTTGAGACAATTCTGTTCTTCATAGCAGCTTCTCGCAATGCAGATCTGAAGCTTCATCTTGAGGCTGGAGAAGAACTGAGCGGATTATTCTTTGCTATGGACCGACTCAAGTACAAACGACTGTGGCCCCGATATATTGCTGACATGCATGCCCTGAAGATCGACTTCCCCGAGACTTGGAAGGAGTTTGAAGCTGGAAACATATCAGTTACAAAGAAAGACATTCCATTTACATCCATAGGAGCTGATCATGCATGTGAACATCTGAACAGATTAATGAAAGTTCACTCAGGCTTGATTGGTATCTCAAACAATTCCAATGCCAGGCAGCATTTCTTTTTGGCCTCTCCAGAACTCTCTCGTCTTGCTAGTGAGTACAAAAGTCAGTTTCATCAAGAGGCAAAAGATATGGAAGAACATCATGACCTTTCACCAGGAGTCATTTGTCGGGATCACACTGCAGTTGACAAGATCAAATCTGCTGTTCTGGATCATGGTAATCCATTTGCTTTTGAAGGTGACAAGATCTTTAACTTAATGACGCATGCCTATGTCCCTGAAGAGTTTGTGTCTCAGATCCTACACATTGATGAAACAGGAAAGAAGCTCTATGAAGAGTACGTGTCTCAACGAATCAACGGGCCAGTGAGTCTTTGGGCACCAGTGAAGAGGGAAAACAACAAGATGTACATGTCAGGATGCCAAAAGCAAACAGTTCGTCTCCGAGATAAGAATGTGGATCTCAGAGAAACAAAAGATTTGTATGGAAGGCTGATGGTTCTTGCCAGATCAAGTAGAGACATTGACTTGAAACAAGCAATTGGTAACTTTGAGTTCACACTGACTCCAAGGTCACTGTTTTCACCAAGTGGATTGCTGTTACCATGCACTGACAAGTCCAAGTTGATCAGCAGTCTTACAAAGTTTGTAAATGAAGAAGCAATGAACTATGAAGCAAGTCAGCCAGAGAACACAGTTGATGACAGTGACACAGAACAAAATCAAACCTTCAACAACATCCCAAGAAAAATTGCTGTTATAGATGGGATGGTTGTACTTCAGAAGATGACAAAGTTACCAAATACAGTGGAAACAGTTGAAGATCTCAGTCAGTGCTTCGATGACAGAGTGATGAACCTGGCAAGAGGGTTTGATGAGGTCATACTTGCTTTTGACACATACAAGCAAGATTCCCTCAAATCTGCAACAAGAGAAAAGAGACGCCAAGGAAG